TATTTATGCATCTCTCTTTCGGCCTCTCGATCTGCCTGGCCTGTCTATCTACCTATCTGTCTATCCATCTATCTATCTGTCTATCTGTCTGTTTGCCTATCTATCGATCTGCCGATCGATCGATCTATGGATGCATCTTTCCTTTTTTTCTGTTCATCTGTTTGAGTCAACCTATCAGTCTGTCGAACTTTGAGTACACTCTACTACCAACGACAGCACCACCGGAACTAGCATCGCCACCGGCACCACCCCCACCCCGACCACCACCACCACCACCACCGCCACCACCACCGCCACTGCCACCGCGACCACCAGCGCCACCACCGCGACCACCACGACTACGGCCAACACCACCACCACCAACAACGACGACAACGACCACGACAGCACCAGCAGCAACAACAACCACCACCACCACCACCACCACCACCACCACCACCACCACCACAACCACAACGACAACTCTCACAACAGCAGCAGCAGCAGCAGCCACAACAACAACAACAACAACAACACCAACAACATCAACGGCAGCAGCAACAACAGCAACAACAACAATAGCAACAACGGCAACATCATCAACCCCAACAACTGTTCAACCACAACACAACCCCAGCCACAACCACCGCCACAACCACAACGACAATAACAACAACCCTCGATGACCACCACTACCACCAGCTCCAGCACCACCACCATCACCACCACCAAACCCACCACCACAGCAACCGCAACCACTACCGCAACGACAACGACAGGAACCGCGGCAACCACAAACAACACAACACCAACAAGAGCAAGAGCAACTGCAACAGCAGCGACAATTAAGCAATAAACAACAATAACCACCACACCGACAACACGAAAGCAATAACGGCGACATCAAGAAGCCCCACCAAGTCGTAACACTAACAAGCATAGCCAGATTATGTAGTCATGATGAAAAGGGAATGATGAGGAATACTTTGCAGGATCATGAGAATGATCAGGAGAATTCTCTGTAACGACAATGGGATTCGTGTTTAATGTCATGACCCAGGTGATACCTGCAGCAGTAGTCGTAGTAGTAGTGGTAGTAGTGGTTGTAGTAGTAGTAGTAGTAGTAGTAGTAGTAGTAGTAGTAGTAGTAGTAGTAGTAGTAGTGGTAGTGGTAGTAGCAGCAGCAGCTGCAGGAGTAGTAGTAGTAGTAGTAGTAGTAGTAGTAGTAGTAGTAGTAGTAGTAGTAGTAGTAGTAGTAGTAGTAGTAGTAGTAGTAGTATTAGTAGTAGTAATAGTAGTAGTAGTAGTAGTAGTAGTAGTAGTAGTAGTAGTAGTAGTAGTAGTAGTAGTAGTAGTAGTAGTGGCAGTAGTGGTAGTTTTCGTCGTCGTCGTTGTCGTAGAGGCATGGGTGAGCTCTGAAGCCAATACCCAGTAGTAAAGTAGGTAACCTTTAACCTTTTTTGGGTAGTGTAGTCCCTATATAACCAAAAAGGTTAAACTTTAGTTCTCCATGATACCCGACAAGTAGGAATATAGTCCCTAGCACATCGTCTCCATCAGATCGTTCTCGTGGGCTTTGTGCTTGCCTTCCTTTCCCTGGCCTGGGAGAGATCCGTGCTTGCCTCAGCCATTGGGTCGGGTATAGGGTAGGATAGGCTAGGGTAGGGTCGGGTGGGGTGGGGTAGGGTAGGGTAGGGTTGCGAGAGTTTCAGTTTCAATGATTTGTGCTTGTGTGTGTGTGTGCTCTTCTTTGTGTTAGCGGGCTTCGGCTCTATGGTTCATTTTTTGGATGGCCCGGGGACGGGGGGGGGGGCGGGGTGCGAGGAGCATTCGGGTTCTGAGCTTGAAGAAATTAGCGGAATTAGCGTCCATAGTCTGTCTCTGGTGTTCGGGGAGTTTCGCTGCTGGGACAGCGTTGAAACCTTTCCGTCTTATTGGGCGAAGGCACCCGTGTGTTTTGTTGTTATTGGCTTGTTTGATTTTTGGTGTGTTGAATGCCAGGAGACTAAACTCAATGTGAACTCGACTGCCTTGCCTCACGGCCCATAATCCATACTCGCAGGTTCCTGTTATAATTTCTATGGCTGTAGTTCAACACGTGCACCAAACACTTGGCGATAGACAACTGAGGCATGCCGCCGGCCTGCTGTCAGATGCTGTTCTCGCAAGGCTGCGATCCGTCCGTCCCAGACCCGTGTCTCGGGTTAGGGGTTTAGGGTTTGGGTTTCTCATTTACACCCCCCAAACAAAAAAACTACAATACGGTAGAGACATCACAGTCGAAGCCTCATGCTTAGTATAGAGGCCTCCGCCGGACTCCTCTTTATAAGTACATGCAAGATAACAGTATGTTTACTGTACCCCCAAAGCCGTGTTCAAGCTATTAAGGAGCCTGTATAGGAAAGGTTTGGGTTTAAGGTTTAGGGTTCAAGGTATTTGGGTTCAGGGTCTAAGGTTTATGCTAAACTCCCTAGAGTCTGTTATCCCAAGTGAAGCTCCAGATACACTCGAGTTTCTCAGGCCCTTGATACCCGATCCTGCAAGTAGAGACCGTGCTGAATGTTGGGGTGGGCCGGGCCTTGGGAGCTCTAGCTGCGAGATTCACATGGGAGTTTCCGAAAGTAATTGGGGGCCCCGAATATAGTACCCTAAATAGTAGGATCCTTACTTTGAAAGACCCCAAAATAAGGGTACCCCTAATTTTCGCAAACAAAAAACCCACATAGTCAGCATTCTCGGGTTCCGTCGGTTTAGGGTCTACCTTAACGCTGAATAACCTACCTTTTTAGGGTTCCTTGTTGTGATTTCTTTGTTTGAGTCCTTAAACATGTAGGTTCTTCGGGGTTGAGGTAGGAGTTAGGCACTGGTCTGGTAGTAAAAGCCCTAAACTCTAAGCCCCAATTTGGGGAAACTTGCATCCTGAAAGGAAGTCGCAGAATCCTGTTTTGACTTTTCCTACAAGAGGCCCCAACTGTGACAGGGGCTGGAAAACTAGAATCAGGTTGTGGTCTCTTTCCAGTATACTTAAGCCCAAAGGGTCCTTTGTACCGATATAGTCTAGTAGAATGTAGGGTTTCCATATCAGGAATTACTATTATGGCTTAGGGAAGTATCCCGCATAGCAGTACATAGGACCCGTTGGGTATGAGGGCAGTACCCAAACAGTATACCTTAACCTACCAAGCCCTACATTTTTGTAGGGTCTCATTATAAACCTTAATATGGAATATGTAGGGACCCTACTTTTTTGTAGGTTTTGGTAGGTTAAGGTTGAGGTTTAGAGTTTCAGGTTCGCAGTTCGCTTCAAGGTCTGTGCTTTGAGTTGAGCTTGAGGATACCAGCTACACGTCTTGATACCATTGTAGGATTGGCCGAGTCCTTCAAACTTCAAGAACGTCTGCACGCCAGAGCCATGAAGCTATGCGAAGTAGGAGTGATATTACTGTCCTCATAAAAACGTCCAAATATATTACGTCGCAAAGAAGACTCCCGGCCTAGTGTAAACCGCCTTTGTTTTTTGCGGCTCACTCGCTTCCGGTCGCAGATCTGGCTTATGAGCGGGCTAGGGCATAAGACTCAACCTATAGCTGAGGCTCACAGGCAAGTCGAACATTCAAAGCGCCCGCGACCCCATCTTTCAACAAGCACCGTAGGCCCTGAGACACAAGTTGTACCCCGTAATTGCCCCGAATCCGGTATACATCCCCACCTTATACCCTGCACCACGCTGCACCACTCTTGCAATGCCAAGCCCTGTCAGACCACACCCAACCATGAGTTGAACCCTGTGCCGGGAAATCACGGTACCTTCCGAGGCAGCATTCTTACCTTCAGCAGCTCCAACAGACCCAAGTTCCCGGTGCTGATGTTGTAGCATAGGGGCAGCATCATGGTCCGGCGCGGTGCAGACGCATTTTGCATTCTGCTGCTCGTCCGCCCTGACATGACGAAAGTACGTGTCACTTCTATCGTGCTTTGAATAATCATGAATTAGTTTGCTGATTCAGAACTAGTTCTATTGCGGCAGTTACCACTTCCCGTACTGCTACTGCTCCTAATGCTACTGCTGCAACTGCTGCTACTACTGCTAAGTAAAGCTACTGCTATAGTTCGAACAGCTATCAGTGGTGCTACGACGACGACTACTACTACTACTACTGCTGCTGTTACGACGACGACTACTACTACCAGAACAAGGACTACTACGACTACTACTGCGACGACTACTACGACTACGACTGTAGGGGTTCTAATTTTGGATTCCTACGGACACCTTAACCCTATACCGAGACCATGAGCTTTACAGGTTGCAGCACTTACATGACTGTAGATGCTGAGAGTATTTAGTTTGACAGCCGTTTCGGCTGTTTAACGAGTCTGAAGAATTAGTGATGACATAACCGCTTTGATGATAGTATTCCCCCCCTTAGTCCCTATAAATTTGTATTGTAGCATAGCCCAAGCACCCTAAACGTCCTAAACCAAAGCCACACTCGAAGTAGTTGAGTTCAGCCCTTTATTCGGCTTTAGGCTTCGGCGCTATTAAAGGGCTCTTGGGGGGTTCCTGGTTCGTATGATGTCCTTGTAATACAATTCCTTTTGTTAAAAACGTAGGTGAGTTGGTGTTGAGGTTTAGGGATTAGGGCTTGTGTTAGGATGACCATAGCAGCACTCTGGGAGAGTTCTTCGTTCTCGCGTCTAAACTCGGACTTGTTAGTATGACACAGGGCGCAGTCCTGAAGTAACGGGCCCGAAGCACTAGACTCAAACCCTATTATAAGCCCTAGTCTTAGTCACCATTCCTGACAGGTTCAGGGTTCAGCGTTTTCAACTTGTAGGGGCTTTGGGCACCCTGGGCCCTGCCCCAAGGGTCCAAGTACTTAATAATCATATACCCATCCAAGCCTTTACCTACAAAACTACGATCCCAACCCTGAGGACCTAATTGTTAGATTCTTTGGACCCGTAAGGCTGGAATGAGCGACTGCTAGAGAACGGTACGAACTCAGGTCCCGCGCCTCATGCGCCCCGCGCTTCATGTGCCTGAAGCCGGCAGTTCTCAAAGAGTCCTACGTTCCTACGGGGGATACTTACCCAAACCATAGGAGTAACTTTTAGCTCCTACTAGACTTGTTGAAACCCTACTTTCTTAATGTAGGAACCTGATTAAGAATCCTCGGGCCTACAGCCCAAAAATAGTAGGATTCAACCCCCCAAAAACGCCCCAGGTTTATTAATCAGGTTCCTACATTACATGCAGGTACTTTGGAGCCTTTGGGTAGGTATGCCAGCCATGGGGCCCACGTTAGGGACCTTACCATTTAGAATGAGGTACTGGGGTATAGTATGCAGTTGAGTCATCAGAACCATAACCTGCAACCCCCTGCCCTAGAAAATGCTAGGCGATGAAGCAATAGCGTATAATCCCTTAAACAGATAGATTGGGATCCCCAGCAAGGAAATATACTAGGTTCCCCCGTAGTGCCCTGTTGCTCCTTGCCAATTGGGGTTCCCTTATTAAAAACCAAATAGTACGATCCCATATTAAAAACCAAATAGTACGAACAAAGTTACCCTTACTACGCGGCTACTCTGGGGAAACTAGTATAGCTATAACTACTAGCTCAAGCCTCTGTAGTAGGGGCTCTGCGGAGTCCCGAATAAATACACTGGTTTAAGGCTTTTTGGGTTTGAGGGTTTGTTATAACAGTACTACAACATACCCCAGAATATTGTTGTTATGGTTTTGATGATTCTTGTTGAGGGTTCTGTATTGTGTAGGGATATAGGGCTTTAGGACTGCATCCATGGCTTTAGGGCTTTGTGGTGCTGAGTTTCTCTTCAGGGGTTTTAAACTTGAGTTTCAACTGTCAGCGGGTGCAGGGCATCGGATTTGGTAATTACCGGGTTTCAGCTCGAAGATTCGTCTGGTTCGGACACTGCATTGATCCTCTGCAAGGCCGTCGCAGGATAGTGGCAGTCCGGGTGATCCTCCTCACGCTCCTGGTGCTCCGCGCGATGTTGCTACAGTTCAGGCAGGTCCCGTCCTGTCCTGGCTCTGCCGGATGGTACAATTGGAGGGGATGTTCCTCTTAGTGCTTCCTTGGCGCTATGTGATAACGCTGCTCCTTGTCATGGTTTGGAACTACTCACAAATGCCAGTAGAGTTGCTGGGGAATGCCCTAACGACGGACATGGCCTACCTGTTCGTGTTGTCGCTGCAATGCCGAAGAAGAAGCGGTGGTTGTCATAGATTGAAGCGAAGCCCGGGATGATCACGCTGTGGGGTTTGGCTGCCTAGTTTAAGCGCAGGCCCACCATGGGCAGGACATGCAGTGCGAACGTCCAGTGCACCCCGTAGCACAACCCTCAGTCTTTAGCGCTGAGCTCTATTCTTCCTAACCCCTCTTTTCGGATACTTCAAGGTTTATGGTTAGGATCTGTTATATAGAAAAGTAGATACCCAACAAAAAAAAATTAGGGTATGAGCCTACATTTAAATCCTACGCCCTACACCCTAGCTTTAAAGCCCAACTCTGCCTAAACCCTAGACCCTAAATCCTACGCCCTAAAGCCTAGCTTTGGGGCCCCTAGGTGACCCCGAATCTTCAGCGTCTCCCGGAGTTTCCAGGCCTGGGAAGCCGGGCCTTTGGGGTTTGTTTTTTTTGTTTTAGGGTGTGGGGTATAGGGCTTTGGGTTTACACCCTAGCTTAAGCCCGCGTCGAACTGGCTGATTGGCGTTTCGACCGTTTCGGAGTTTATATAGGTTTGACAGTGTTTGAACTAGGACCTAGAGTAGCCCTTATTCCCTTTTTCTAGGATTCAGGTTACCTTATAAGCCCCTTTAAACCAAAAAGGGCACCCTTTTTATTCCTAGGTTACTCTTGGGTCTAGTTTTAGGGTGTGGGGGTTTTGGGGTTTAGGGTTTAGGGTTTATACAGGAGGTTTGGGTTAATAGTGAACTCCAAAAAAAGCTGGAACATGCACTGGGGATGAGTAGTGCTAGGGTTCCTTATACTGCACCTTAAGGGTATATATGAGGATAATGATGTTCCAACTTTCTGGCTTCTACTGTCCTATAGGGGCCTGAATAACTACCTACATTATTTTGGTGGTTCCTTATTATAGTTCTAGTATAATATTTGTTAAAACCTTATTCCAATTATCAAGGCTCCAATATTAAGGGGTTTGTGGGCCTCGCCTTAAGGACGAAGTGCGTCGGGCCCGAAAGGGCTTTGGGCCTTGGGGTTTAGGGTCCTGGAAGGGTGTAGGGTGTAGGGTTTAGAGCCCTAAGCGGGTTTAGGGTTTAAGGTTCAAACACCGCATGAAATTTTCATAGCATATGGCCCCGGGTATAGGGCTGCTACTTTTCGGGATCGTTTGGAGGGGATGTAGGGGAAAAAGGGGATGAGGTGTTAACGAATTTATGCAAGCAGTCATTGCGGACGCTTGGGGGTTAGGGTTCAGGGCCTTGAAGGGAGCCCTCAAAAGGAAATCTTAATGAAGGCCCTTCAAGGAACCCTCAAAGGAGGAGCGCTTAGGGGAAATGCAGCGCAAACCACTAAACCCCCGGACCCGCAAGCCCCTGACCCCTTGAACCCTGAGCCCATTTATTTCCTTGAGGGTTTAGCGTTTAGGGCTATAGTTCGTAAATCCTTTAAAGGCCATCAACGGAACCCGCAAAGGCCCCGCAAGGAACCCTTAACGGCCCAAATACTCAAGCAGCACACAGACGCAGGACCCTAAGTTGGCAGATAAGAAGGTCATTTGGCCTGGGTGGCTAAGTGACGAGTATAAACAGAAACTCAGCATTCTCAAAAAAGCAAAACCCAGGCTCTAGTTTAGCTCTTGGACTCTCCAGGGTTAGGAGTGAAATTTTTAGGAGCGCTCTTTAGGGTTGGGATGTAGAGCCAACTTAGGGTATGTTTTGCAGTGCAGTTCCGGTTGGGAGCATAAGCATTTAGTGTCAGGTTGTAGTCAGCCAGGACCCCCCCAATGGCCCTTTAATGGAGCCCTTTAACAGTGCGTATTTAGGGTATATCCACAAAATAGATCCCTTAATGGGGGTTTCTATAGAGTGCCCTTAGTAGAATAGGGCCCCAAATTAGGGGATCTACTTTCTAGATCCTGCCGGGGGTCTGGGTGGGGGGTTAAAGAGTTTAAGATCCTTGCCTTTAAGCAGTGGTAGCGACGAGCAGGCACCGGGAAGCTCTCCAGGTGGCCCGGCCCCTGAACCAATCACGTTGCATGCGCCTGTCTGGTTGCCCTAAGGGTCCAAGTGCTCAATATTATGGGACTTTTGGGGACTTTTTGGGTATCAAAAACAATAAATAAGGACTACTTGGGACCCTTAGGGTTGGGGTTTCTGATCCCCTAGCCCTTTATGTCGCAGCCGATCAAGACTGTGTAAACCCTTACAGAATCCTCAAGTATGAAAGAGTTACAAGACCCTCTTTCAGCAATTCAAAGCCTCAAGCCCTGCCCACAGGGGACGAGCCACTGGTGGTAGACGAGGAGACGGCATGCATGCAGCTTGCAATCTTCACTCCGCTTTGTATGGGCTTTTGGGACTCCGGATGAAGTTTGTTCAGCCTCAGCACGTTCTACTTTGCAATGTCGAGTCCTAGATGGTTTCAACAGGTTCTTTGGTTCGTTGGTTTAAGAGTTCAGGCGGTTTAGGGGTTTACAGTGCAGGGCTTAGGGTTTCAAATTCATTCTCAGGCTTAGGATTAGGTGATTAGGCCCTAAACCCTACACCTTAAAGAGGGTTTTTGCGATCTTGTGATTTCCCAGGTATCTCCATTACAAAAACTGCAAGGCTTCCATACGGCTTCGTAGGGTTTAGGGGACTTGTGAGATCTTGCCAGAATGTTACGGCTTTGTGATGTGTTTTGGCTTGTAGGCTTTAGGATCAGGTGACGGTTCAAGGATTTTTTGGACCTAAATGACTCTGCATTGCTAGAAAGTAGAATGTAGTGTTTCTATAGCAGGAGTTATTATTGTGGTTATGGTAAGAAACCCAATATTGGTACTTTGCACTCCATTGGGTTTGGTTAGATGGCCTCTACATCCAGCCATCCGCTAAGACCTCGCTGGGCGTGCGGCGTGTGACACGCTCATCTGCTTCATAGGGGCATGTCACCTTTTGGAAATGCCAAGCACAACAGCATTCGTAGTGTATTATGTATATAGTACAACCACGCGTGTAACGTATCAACACTGAATCCCAAACACTAAACCCTAAGCCAACATCCCCATGGCAGTGTAGCACATCTAGAAGCCTGACTGGCCTAGAAAGAACCCCGGATTAAACTTGTCGATGCAGAAGCACATGTCACTCATTTGAAGGTTTATTCAACTATATTCAGTTGGGAGTTTCATGTCAGGGTCCTCATAGTCAGTAGGGATCGTATGTCAACCCTAAACCCCAAACGCTGAATCCTAACTGTTCCTTAAGCCCGCAACTCAAACACCCCAAGCTCGCGAGCCATCGGCTCTAAGCATTCCTTCATCTAGAACTGTCTCGACCTAAACCAAGGTCAATCTTGAACTTACGTATTTATCTGAAGAAAAACATATAGTTATCATAAAACCTCATGGAAACACCTAAACCGCATACCCTAAACCCTAAACCCTTGCAGGACTTTAGTGGCTCGGACTCCAGCGATGAGGAGGCTGCGATCGACCTCGCACAGGCCTCCAACCGGAGTTTCTGAACACCTCGCTGCTTCTTTCTTTTAGGGTTCAGGGTTTTTTGGGTTGTTGCTGTTGTTGCGGAGCTACCTGTGTTTGAGTGTGTCGACACCTCACTCTTGTCACGTTTGTTGGCTACAAACCGGTTCAGGGCACCCATCGGTTTCGAGCAGGACTTTTGGGATCTTGCAAGTGTTTGTGCTGAAAGAGTCGATGGCCTGCCTGGAACGTCTCACGACCCCTCATGCAAGTACTGTTTGGTGCGGTGAATTTAGGCCTTTTGACACCTGGCCAGTGCACTTGTAACTTTGCAACCGTGGGGGGCAAATCCTCAGGCACTGTACCTTTTTTACGTCCTCCGTGATTGTCGATGAAAGCACCGCAGCATTCTACTATCACGCTGGCTATCTCTTGCAAAGCAAAGCTGGTGTTTTCTAAGGTTACGAGCCCAAAGGGTCCTATGTACCGATATAGTAGAATGTAGGGTTTCCATATTAAGAATTACTATTATGACTTAGGGAGGTATTCTCCCCATAACAGTATATAGGACCCTTTGGGGAGACGACACACACTCTGTGGATCACTGACAGGGCAGCCTGCTTGAAACACAGGGTCTCGAGCACCGTCCCACAAAGGTGAAAACCCAGACGCCCGGGAAGATCCAAGAAGTAGATCCCGTAATGGGGGTTCCTTTTAAGGGTTCCTTGAAGGGTCCCTTTAAGGGATCTGTAGGGTTTTTGGGGTTTAGGGTTTAGAGTAGATCCCTTACTGGGGGTTCCTTTTAAGGGTTCCTTTAAGGGCCCCTTTAAGGGATCTATAGGGGACTGTGGGGTTTAGGGTTTAGAGTAGATCCCTTACTGGGGGTTCCTTTTAAGGGTTCCTTTAAGGGTCCCTTTAAGGGATCTATAGGGGACTTTGGGGTTTAGGGTTTAGAGTAGATCCCTTAATGGGGGTTCCTATAAAGTAGCCCTTAGCAGTATAAGGGCCCGAAATTAGGTGATCTACTTTCTAGATCCTCCCGGGGTCTGGGAACAGAGCAAGGTAAAAATGGTCCATGCTGGCTTCATTTCATCAACGATAGAAATGTGTGTGGGCATTTAGTCCAAGTCATTTAAAAATTATGCACCTCGAACCCCAGCCCAACGTCTGTGCGAATCTTATGTAGCCGGGAAGCGTTCACAAAGCCACAGACAAGACTGTGTCACGATTGTCGCACCGATACCATATCAATAGCTGGTCTAAAGATAAAACATCAGCGCTCCTCACCCATACTTCTGTAAAGCCTACCCTAAACCTCAAACCCTGTTAGCTTGTGAAGACCGTGCCGGAGATCGAATCAACATTTAAAATGTAAGTTCGAACTAAACCGAGAAAATGGCAACTACCGAATCACACAAAACAACACTGAACGCGCAACTCCAAACCCTAGACTCCTAAACTTTTCCCTAAACTCTAAGCCCCATCAAGCCCCTAACGTTAAACCCCAAATCCTGCTCTTGCAGTACCCTTATGGAACCTTTTACAGGAACCCTAAGCCCTAAACCCGAAAGCCTATTGTTCCAACTTGTTGGGGTTTAGGTAAACCTTGAACCCTCAAAACACAGAAATCTTAAAGCGTACCCTTATAGAGCGCTTTAAAGGAACCCTAAACCCTATAAGCCCTGAACCCTAAAAAATTCGAAAAGCACCTAAACCCCAAACCCTACACCCTAAACCCTTAGCACTTTTATAATCAGCCCTCACAGGAACCCTAAACCGCAAACCCTAAACACACCGAGACCCTAAAGCCTAGCATCCTTTTAGCGACCCTTATAGATCCCTTAAAGGAATCCTATAGTACTCTTATAGTACCCTTGTAGAGCCCTCTACGTAATGGAATCCTAAACTAGGATGCCCAGTAGTACCCTTATTACCTTTTTCTAGTCCTAGGTTCCTTATAAGGTTACCCAATACCAAAAAGAGAGGCCTTTTTATTCCTAGGTTACTGGGTATCCTAGTATTAGAATCCTAAACTTAACAAAAGCCCGAAACCCTCCAAGAGGCCGCGAGCAGCGCAAGAAGCGCTCTGCAACGCCTGGCTGCTCGTCAGGTCGCCCCTAGGGTTCCTTTATGGTAGAAGCCAGAAAGTTGGAATATCATTATCGTATCCCCTTTAAGGTAAATAATAGGGGATCCTACCACTAATCCATATTCCAACTTTCTGGAGTTCCCTTTATAGGAACCAGGGTTTAGGGTTTCAGTTTGGGCTGTATTGGGTTTAGGGCTTAGGGTTCAGGGTTTAGGGTTCAGGGTTTGAGGTTGAGGGGTTTAGGCTTCGTTCCTTTAAACGGGTTCTCTAAGGGTACTACAAGGGTCACTAAAAGGGATCTGCCCCATGAGGGTCCGATGTATGCATGTATGTATGTATGTATGTATGTATGTATGAGTGTATGTATGTATGTGTAAGACAAGCCCATACCTATGTGTATAATATGTTCATATATACATATACAGACACAGAATATATGTATATATATATATATATATATATGCAGCTGTATGTATATGTATGTATATGTATGTATGTAACCTTGCGGCTAGGGTTTCAGAGTTTTGCGTTCTTCTGAAGGTTCCTTGAGGGATCCATCGAGGCTCAAGGTTCAGGCTCGAGAGTTTGGGGTGTGAAGTTTAGGGTTTAGGGCTCTAGGGCTTTAGGGGTTAAGTAGGGTTTGAAGCTTTCAGGGCTTTAGGGATTCAGGGTTTAGGGCTTTAGGGTTTTAGGGGCTCCGGCATTGGGGCTTAGGGTTCCAAGTTCGGGTTCAGAGTTTTGGGTTGTGTCTTGCTTATAGCTTTAGTGGTGCAAGTTTTAGGATTTAGAAGGTTTGAGGCCTATGAGGTTAGGGCTTAGGCGTTAGGGTTCGGGTTTCTTTATTCAGGTTCCTACATTATCTTCAATACACACCGTTCAGGAGCTCTGCTCACGGGCACAAGGGGGGGATCCCTTGCGGCTGTCTTAGTTCTATTTGGGAGTTTCCGAAAACAGGGGGTACCTTATTTTGGGGTCCTTATAGTAAGGATCCTACTATTTTAGGTACTATAGTAGGGTCCCTATTTTGGGAAACCCTGATTTCTCTATGCCTGAGAACCTTATGTATTCTAACTGTCGTTCAGTATCAGGGCCCCCATACTTGACTTCTCCACCCAAAACCCCCCTTAAACCCTAAACTCTGAAAGTTCTGAACCCTCGGCCCTGAAGCCCAAACCCAGAAGTGAACCCAAAGGGTCCTATGCACCGATATAGTAAAATGTACAGTTTCCATATTAGGAGTTACTATAATGACTTAGGGAAGTATCCCCCCCCATAACAGTACATAGGACCCTTTGGGGCAACCCCCTGTTCTCCATGGCAGGACCTCTTCCTGCCGGCCTCGTGGGCTGATGAGGTGGGACTTGGAGGGGTTTGTTTTGGCCCATCAAACAGGCGATCGTGTTGCAGAACCCTATCGTATCCGTTAACCCGTTAGGGGTGCCCTACTTTGGAACCCTATAGTACTCTCATGGGGGTTACTTTCAGGGCTCATTTGATCTTTTGGGTTCGGGGACGGCTGTAGGCCGTTGTGGTTCCGTGATTGACAGCCGCCTTCAGTACGGGTGCCCAAAGTACCTACATAGTAGAAATTCGTTTCTATAGTAGGAATTACTAGTATGATTTCTGAAAGTATGTCCTCACTTTTAAGAACTTAGGACGCTTTGGGTTGGGGCCCGTGCTTCCTGCGAGGACAGCGAGGCCCGCCGTGATCCCGAAGCTGAGGCTGGCTGTTGTTCCTTTGGCTCGTCGCTAAGATGCTGGGTTGTAATGTTCAGAGGTTAGGAGCTTAAGGCAGGGTTTAGGGTTTGTGCCAGGGTTCGGGGCAGGGATTAGGGGTTTAGGGTCGTTTAGTATGCCTTCTGCTTGGGGGTGGGCGGGTGCAGAAGAGTTGTGTGGATGTTTCGCAGGAGTTGGGGGGTTGTGGCGTTGGCTTTGGTGGGATTACTTGAAAGGCCGGTTTCTCCGTGTGTCTTGGTAATCTTCGCTCTACCCTGACTTGGGGGACACAGCTACAGCCACGATGTGCTATAGGGGTGCCGCTTTCTGTTTACTAGGAATACGAGCCTCGCGGATAGCGCGACTGGCACCATGAGTGCGGATTTTAAAGTGATGGTCATCGTTTTGTAGGACTGTCCCGGTGGCAGTGGTCGTGGTGGTCCTCGTCTACATCATGGTAGTTTTTCGTCGTCGTGTTCGTCGCAGTCGTCGTGGTCTTAGTCCTGACATAGCGATTCGCAAGACCTTGAAAAGTGTCTTAGTGTCAAAACTTACAAGTGTTAGAAGTTAGAAAGATAGTGTCAAGCACCTCAGCAATCGTGGAAATGGTGCTTACCCAAAGGGTCCTATGTACTGTCATGGGGGATACTTCCCTAAGTCATAACAGTAACTCCTAATATGGAAACCCTACATTCTACCATATCGGTACATAGGACCCGTTGGGACCAATCCAGGACTACCCTAAGGCTCCATAGTAGCTCCTTGTTGGGGTTCATACTATGAACCCAATAAGGAACTACTATGGAGCCTTAGGGTATATCTTAAGTCATATTAGGATGTCCAAAGGGTGCTTTCCGAAAGGAGCCTTCACCGTGCAATCTGCACTCAAGCACTGCGCAAAATGGCTGACACAGCCCGGCCATAAAGTTAAACCCAAAGGGTCCTATGTACCGATGTAGTAGAATGTAGGGTTTCCATATTAGGAGCTACTACTATGACTTAGGGAAGTATCCCCCCATAACAGTACATAGGACCCTTTGGGAAAGTTAACAAACTTTTTGATGCGCCGACCGAACCACTAAATAGGGACCTACATTTCTTAACTATTGGCTCCTTGGACACCATAATCCCTAAACCCCAAGACTCTCCCCCCTGAGCTGTGTGAAGAAACCGTAGAAGCCCCCCCCCCCCCCGGACCCTAGTGTTGCAAACTCCCATAAACCGACATCTCAGCAGAACTCAACACCCTCAGCGCGCGCAGAAAAACCCTCAACGAACCCTTTATGATCCGATATGAAATGTTTCAGCCCAGCAAACAACTTACAAGAGCTTTACAAACACTTCATACAGCCTCCTTAAAACTCTGTTTAACAAACACAACCTTGACAGGACCGCACATCTATTTGGTGAACGCCTGATAGAAATCGTGCAAACTACCTACACACCCCTCAGAAAATCCCTTAACAAGATTAATGGCATCCCCGTAAGCCCCTAGCCAAAGTTCATGAAAGCCTCTAAAGCCCTTGACAAACCCTGGCAAAGCCACAAAAACGCTTGGGAAAGCCTTGAACAGACCTTCAGGTCATAACCACTTATAACTCATAGAGCTTTTATAAAGCCCTTAGCAACCTCATATAAAGCCCTGCTAAAGACCTTTAAAAGGGTTGACATGAGCCTTATGAATCCCCCCCAACACTGAACCCAAGCCCTACACTCAAAAAAACATGAAGGGAGCCTATACATTTCGTGTGTGTGTATATATATATACATATATATATATATACACACATATGTGCATATACATATAATGTGTGCATGTTTTTTATGTCTAATTAATGTATACATAATATATATATATATATATATATATATACATATATATATATATATTTATGTAATTTAGTGGGATGGAGAGAGAGAGAGAGAGAGAGAGAGAGAGAGAGAGAGAGAGAGAGAGAGAGAGAGAGAGAGAGAGAGAGAGAGAGAGAGAGAGAGAGAGAGAGAGAGAGAGAGCGAGAGAGCAAGAGAGCGAGAGAGCGAGAGAGCGAGAGAGCGAGAGAGAGAGAGAGAGAGAGAGCGAGAGAGAGAGAGAGAGAGAGAGAGAGAGAGAGAGAGAGAGAGAGAAGGCGAGAAGGCGAGAGAGAAAAGGGTGACTAACGGTTTTAAAAGCTGTCTGCAAGGCCTCTTCTGAGCTCGTGGGGACACTGAGGGAGCTTGCGGCAGCTCAGCTGTCAGCTGCGTTTGGGGCTTGGGGGGTTCGAAGGTCTTGCAGGCTGCTATTGGGTTGTATCCTGTAGGTTTTCGGAGGGTCTCATATGGTTTTCTAGGGCTTCAGGGCTTTAATTATTGGGTTCTGTACAGGTTCACAAGGTTTCATATTGCTTTTGAATGGGGCTGTTTGGGATGTGAGGGTTTCAATGCTGTACAGGGCTTTTGGGGGTTGAGGGCTCAGGGAGATAGGGGTTTCAGGGTTTGGGATTAGGGTTTAGGGTTTAGGGTTTAGGGTTTAGGGTTTAGGGTTTAAGGTTTAGGGTTTAGGGTCTAGGGTTTAGGGTTTAGGGTTTAGGGTTTAAGGTTTAGGGTCTAGGGTTTAGGGTTTAGGGTTTTGGGTTTTGGGTTTAGGGTTTTAGGGTTTAGGGGTTCGGAGTTTCATGGTTGAGGGTTCCAGGTTTTGGTGTTTAGGGTTTGGTAAGTGTGCTGCGTGTTTGCTGTAACTTTGCTAGTGTGGTCTTTTGGAGTTTGGGGTTTTAGGGTTGGGCTTCAGGGGTTCCTGCTGCTTCCCGCTAGTTGGGTTCCAAGTTTAGGGTCTGAAAAAGGCTTGGGGTGGGGTCGGGGGTTTAGGGAACCCTTAAACGTTGCCCGAAACCCTGCACCCTGACGGTCAGCCTCAAGCCTCAAACCCGAAACCTCGAAACCTTAGGATCCTAAAGCCTAACCGCCCAAAGCCCTAAACCCAAAAACCCTCAACCCTAAACCCCTAAACCCTAAACCCCTAAACCCCTCAACCCCTAAACCCTAAAACCCCTAAACCCTAAACCCCTAAAGCCCGAAACCCTAAAACCCCCAACCCGAAACCCTAAAGCCCTAAACCCTCAAACCCTAAAACCCCCAATCCGAAACCCTAAACCCCTAAAGCCCTAAACGCTAAACCCTCAAACCCTAAAACCCCCAACCCGAAACCCTAAAACCCTAAACCGTCTAAACCCGCACACGTTCTTTTGACCGACATGGGAGTTTCCGAGAATATTGTGGGACCCTTACAGTAAAGATCCTATTATTTATTAGGGTACTATATCAGGGTCCCCTAGGGGATATCCCTATCACGTTGGGCTTCATTATGAGGGGCTTATATGGGATATGCCCATTTTTGCTTATGTGCTTTGTTGGCGCCCTAAAATCCAAGGAGGTTTCGGCCCACCATGGGCGGCACTCGAGCCGAAGCCGTAACAGCTCCTCTGGACTGGGTGCCCCGTCATCTCTCTTCGGTTTTTTGAGGGGTACCTTTTAAAGGGGTCCTTTAAAGGGTTCCTTAAAGGGATCTGTAAGGATTCTAGAAAGGGTTTAGGGTGTAGGGCTTATAGGGAGTTTCGGAAAATTAGGTGGTACCTTATTTTGGGGTCCTTGTAAGAAGGATCCTACTATTTAGGGTGCCGCATTAGGGTCCGAATTTGTTCGGAAACACCCATGTCTGCCCATGTCTTAATAGCTGAGTGGATACACTGTACACTTTTTGGGTTAATACTACCCACCATAAAAGAGAAAGTGTAAACCCTTGGGGGGCGCCTATGTACTCAGCAACTAAGATGTCAAGTCTTATTACAAAAGGGTTTCGAGTTTAGGTGTTAAGGTCTACCTTGCGATGCAACAGCCTTTGCTTTTTGGGGGGTAGGTTTTCGCCTGAACCGCCTTAACCAATGGGAACATAGCCTACTAGTTTGCAGGGTTTGGGGTCACAGGTGGTAGAGTTTGGAATTTGGGATTGGAGGAGCTGTGTTTTGTGCTAAGGTGGGTTCAACATGGGGATGGTGTTGGGTTCGTTGACGGGTCTGCGAAGGGTTGGATGTGTGATGCGGGCCTTCAGGGTTGACGATTTACGTCGTTGGAGTTGACTGCTGTTCAAACTGAAGGGATTGCTTGAAGTGCGCGTAGGTTCACTCGGTTATTGCTGCTTGACTGTTTTTGCTCCGGGCAACTGACGTTCGAACGTTCTGGCTTGTCCGTGCAAGATGCGGCGTCTAGTACACGCAAGGCTTGAAGCCACATCTCGAGGGCCGCTGAAACCTTAAACCTACGGAGCCCTCATAGGAAGCAGCTTCCTGGATTGTGAACACTGACTGGACCCTGAGAGTATGTAGAACAATGGCCGCTTGTTGGTTTGGGGTCATTAGTTTACCCTCTTTTCCGGGGTTTAGGTCAACCCTAACCCTGTCTGACCCAGACTTTCAGGTGTTCGGCCCCGTCGTGTTTCCACCTACCCGGACTTCTTGGAGAAGGATGATGCGAACCATTCTGCAGCCCTTGCCTCAGGGTCTAGGGTTTAGGAAGGGTGCGAGCTATGTAACTGTTGCCTTGGTACCTGGGTTGGCTGGGTTTAGGTTTGGAAGTGGGGTTCCAGCAGCGTTTCTTGCAACATCTGTTCGGAAACTTCGAAAAAGTCCCTAGGCTGGGGGTAGGGGGGTCGTCAGTCCTTAATATATTCCTAGGTAGTATTAGGGAGACCCCTTAAAGGCAACCCGTCTTAAGCCTACTTCTGGCTCTCGTAAAAAGGGACCTCATTTAGAGGGTTTAGATCCCCAATCCTAACTCCTATATATGGGCCTACTTACTTACGAATACAGTTTTTTGCGTTCCTTTAGTATTCTTATCGTGTACTATATCCCAAAACCTTATTCTAATCAGTAAGGCCTTTACATTAGGGCTGTTAGGGTTCAGGGTATGGGTGCAGGGCACACTACGCAGACTTTTGACGGGGTGGAAAGTTTTGTCTTGAGGCCGTTGGAAGTTTAGGGCTTAGACTCTAGGATTTGAGGTTGCTTTCGCAGTTTTCGCGCTGAAAGTAAGTAACCTTCGGTCCAATGCTGAGACTAGGCGGTGACTGGATGTTATTGAATTCTCTTCCTCTTCTAAGAGTCAGCGCTTGAGCCTTAAACCCTTTGCATCAACACCTCTCCCTACAAGGAACCGGTAAGTTTCTTCGAATAACCCAACATGTCGGAGCATGGGTTGATAAATTGGGAGTTCCTGTCAACTTGGTTTGTTGCCACTTTGAACAAGCTTTGCACCCTAAACCCCCCAAGTACTAAACCCCACATCCTGCAGCCATAAATCTGACGCCTCGAACCATAAGCCTGTCCTTAAGCACGGAATGAATGGTTTTGGGTTCATATACCATATAGGGGTTCATACTACAGGCATATGGGGCCCCTACTTTTCATCAAATCCAGAGCACAAACCAGACGCTAGGACGCAGTACATTCTATGGGCAACCACCGTTTAGAGTTTAGGGGTTTAGGGTTGACTTTTTTTTTGGCTTGCCCCCCTACTGGTAAGAGTAATAAACTAAGGCAGCCACAAAACGTACTACATCCTATCGTCTAGGTAAGACGGGGTTTAGCATTCTGGGACCCTATAAACCCCAAATCCCCCAAGCTGTCCCAACCCCTTAGCATAAACCCACATGAATCAAAAGCTTTCAGATCTGAAACTCATTTACTGGGTTCTGGTTGGGGCATTTGTGTCAAGTTACCATCGTAAGGAAACAATGCCATTTGATGACACAGGACTCAGTTTCCCGTGTTGTCCGTTTTCTTCGGCGGGGTCAGTGTATTTTCATGCCGAAGCACAAGTGGCATCCAAACCCTAAAGCCTCTAAACCCTACAAGCCCTGAACACCCTATAAACCCCATGAGCCCTACCCTGACCCCAAATTACCTACCTCTTTAAGGACTTACATAAGGATATCATAATGGGGAACTCTAAAGGAAGGTTTTAGGTCCAGGTATAGATCCGAAACCTTAAGCCCTAAACCCCATAAGCCCTCTAGGCCCGACCCCCAACAAAAAGACCTCAAAACCGGATCCTAGGGCCCAGCTATACGTCGCATCCGCTCGGCGCAGCACTGTCCAGCGGAGGCACAGGGGTGGGGTGGGGGTGCTGATGTAGCGGACCGTACCACGGTTTCAGGTTTTGAACAGGATTAGGCTGACAGTTTGAGTTTGAGGCTTAAAGGTGTAGGGTGATAGAACAGGGTTTTTGGGTAAAGTAGGAACCTGATTAAGAATTCCTGGGCATACAACCCCAAGATAGTAATTAGGACTCATACAAAGATACCTAGTAAAGGCCCAAGGTTTCTTAATCAGGTTCCTGCATTAGCCGAGGGTTTTTGGCTATAGCTACTAAGCTACTACCTAAACCCTGAACTGCCTACCGTTTTAGGGTTCCTTATTATAGTTTCCTTATATAAGGCCTGAACAGGGTTTCGGTTGAGCGACCTCTACAGAAAGAGTTGTGGGGTTTACCTAGAACCCCCAACTGTTTTCGGGTTTAGGGTTTAGGGTTTCGGGGTTTACCTAGAACCCCCAACTACACCTTATTGAAGCCCCTGTACGTAATTGCCACTTAATGAGAAATGGCAGAGCTCTGTACAGTCAATCTGATAAAGTTGGAAACCGGATAAAGGCCAAATAGGGCTGGGAGCCCCTATACATTCTCTTAGCTGGGCTTTGGAGTACCATACTTTAAGACTTTTTTCTTAAAAGGAACCCTTATGAAATAAAAGTTTATACGTTTTTCTCCCTGGTTACCTAAAAGCCCAGTTAAGGATTGAGTCTATGGGGTTTCCAACTTTTGGGCTTTTACTGTAACGGGTACTTGGGGGAGTGTTTTGGGGTTTAGGGTTTAGGGTCCAGTGGCCCTGAAGGTCTGAATTCGTTTTCTGAGTGGTTCCGGGATTCCATATTAATATACTTCACCTAAACCCTACACCCTAAATCCTGGTGGTGCAGCTGGATCTTTCTTGACATAGCGGGCACGGATGCACATGCTGACTTTGTCCGCGCACAGTTGATGGACCAGGCGACTTAGTTATTTCAAAGCAGGGCACCGGTGCAGTTACAAGGATTTCAAACCGGCTTTCATCATAACAACACCTGTACAAGTTTAGAAAATGGGAGTTGAGGCCCATGTTAACATAATGTAGGTGCTTTTTTTTTTTGCGGGGGTGGGGAGGCGGGCATTCTGGGGGGTCTTTGCAATAGTGAGGATCCTATCCTCTACAGGCCTTATACCCCGGCCATCTCCGGCCCCCATGTAAACTTAGGGGTACTTAGAAATATTTTTTACTTTTTGTTATTATAATCCCTAAGAAACAACTAAAATTCTAATATTTGCTAGGGTTCTAAGTTCAGTATAGTAAACTCCAACATGCAAGGAAAGGGCTGGACTCTGAGTACTTAAAACTTATAAGTCACGTTATCTCCAAACCCCGAAACCGTCTCAACACTCCAAGAAACTTCTCCCTAAACAGCCTGCACTTGAAGCTCGCCGAAGTTGTTTCGGCTTGCCGCGTCGCACGCCATTAGACTTGGGAGAATTTTGTTTATGGTTGAGGCTGATAGGGATTATTGTCCTAGTAGTAGAGTAGGTAACCTTTAACCTTTTTTGGGAGTATAGTCCCTATATAACCCCTATAGAACCAAAAAGATTAACCTTTGGTTCCCCATGATACCCGACAAGTAGGTCGTGGAGATATCGGGCACTATAACCCCTCAACCCTAAATACCCACAGGGTCCTATAAAATGCCACGGGAGATACTTCCCCAAGTCATAGTAGTAATTCCTGATATATTAGAAGCCCTACATTCTACTATATGGGGGTTTCCGAAAATAGGGGTACCTTATTTTGGGGTCTTTTTATTAGGGATCCTACTATTTAGGGTACTAGATCAGGGTCCCCTATTTTCGGAAACTCCCATATCGGTACATAGGACCCTTTGGGATACTTGGAGGGTCGGGGGACTTAGTAACTGGTTACTTTAGGGACTTATAAGTACCATAACCCCAATTAGGGTCCCTTCTAGGGTACTTATAAGTCTACTTACTACCTACTTACTAAGTCCCCCGACCCTCCAAGTAGTGGAACCCCAAGGCCCAAGACTTGCGCCCCGACTCCCAATCTTTGCAGCCTTCCACGCACCGACAAATCGTGTTGCTAAAGCAAAAGCCAGAAAGTTGGAATATGGTTATCCTAAACCCTTTATGGTAAATTATAAGGTACCCTACCTTGAAACCCTTAAACCCTAAACCCTAAACCCTTTATGGTAAATTATAAGGTATCCTACCTTGAAACCATATTCCAACTTTCTGGAGTTCTCTTTATGAGGAGGGGGTCCGGCGCCCTTCCGCTCTGGAGGCCTCCCATGCCCTTCTCGGGTTTTCTTACATTAGCTGTACTTGTTCTATTAGGGTTTGGGTGCATTAACTGTTGGTTTGTGTGGTTGTGGTGTTTCTGCTTCTTTTTGTGGTTGTTGTTGTGTTCCGTGTCGTGTGCGTGTGTTTGTTTGTTTCGTTCCGTTTCGTTTTGTGCCTGCTAGTCCTTGTGTGTGTGTGTGTGTGTGTGTGCGTTTGTGTGTGTGTGTGTGTTTGCGCGGTGTCTTGGTGGGCTGTAGGTCTTATAGATTGGTTGGAACATGTTGCACCCTAAACCCTAAATCCGCAACCGATTATCAGGGCTTCGTAGTTGTAATCTCTCCGCTCAGGATCTACGTTGCACGGTGTGTTGTCACACTTGGGAGGGCCTCATACCCACACCTTCCAATATCCCTGAATTACGGAATGTACTTTAAGATCATATTAGGGATCTTACAACGTATAATTGATGGTAAGTTCCATTATATTCCTTCAAACTACGTAGAATTTGTGGTAAATCCCATTATCTCCCTTCAATAAGGAATGCTGGAAGGGCGGCCTCATACTTTGCACCACGAGCTTACGGTGGTTGTTTTGTAAGTTTCATCCTAGGGAGTCGGTACGCCAATGCGCCCGGGACCTCTACAGGGTTTAGGGTTTAGGGTTTAGGGTAAAGTTGGAAACCGGATTAAGGCCAAATGGTGCTGGGATTCCTTATACATTACTCTTGAAGATCGAGGCTATTGGGTTTCCAACTTTTGGGCTTCTACTGTATACCTTACCCCAAGGGTCCAAAGGACCCAATCGTTAGGTACTCGGTTTTAGGATAGTAACTATGTAGGTTAGGATTTTGGAGAGTGTATGATAGTAAGGTACTTGGACCCTTAGGGTTCCCTTAAGGACGACATGATCGCCAAAAGTATATAATACTGTTTGTGTACATGGACCCTTAGGGATAAAGGTAGAATTGGAATGCAGGTTCAGTCCCCTGAGCCTCGTAAGCCCTCAAGCAGTCAGATCTGAAATTAAAAGACAAACCCGAAAAGATGTTACAACGGTTAAGGTTTGGTGGCTTAGGGTGTCAGGGACCCGGTGATCTTCAAACCACGGCCGACACGATTCGTGGAACTTTTGCACACAAACGAGGATTCAGCAGGGGGGTGATAGCAACAGGAAAGACAGTCATTAATATAGGATTGTGAACCCAAAACCGTATAACCCTATGAACATAAACTGAGCAAGGCAGAGATGCCGGCGCAGGGCTCAGATTGGTTGAGCATCGGGCATAGTTTCCGAATCTTTGCTGGGTGTGAGATTCAGTGGAACACTGCGTTCTACGCCGAAATGATAGGTTTATGGGGTTTAGGGTTTAGGGGTTTAGAGTTCAGGGTTGCGGCAGTGTTTTGCATTTGGGGCGTGGTGGGGGTATTGTTGATTTGGGTGTAGGGGTTGCGGTTCGAGATTTCGCCAAGGACTCCAAGGTCCGGGAGGACGCGTAAATCTGGGAGAGCTCACGGGTGGTTGTTTTTTGCTGTCTTCAAGCCTTTGCACGCAAGGCCTAGCCCAGGGCAAAGGGGTCACTTGTGTACAGGGTTTGCGCAGGGTTTAGGGTTTACCTTAACCCCGAAGAACCTACATCTTAAGGACTTATATAAACAAGTCATACTAAGGAACCCTAAAAGGGTAGATTATTCAGGGTTCGGTAGGGTTTGGGATTTAGGGTTCAGGGTTTAGGGTTTAGAGTTGCGGCCAGAAGTACGATGATGGGCTCAGCAGGTAGTTACATAATCTAGTTGAGGTGTTCAACAGCCAATGGGGTGTACCCGGGAATGCAGCAAGGTTTACCCTAAGACTCCAAATAGCCCAAAGTAGGTAGTATCTATAAACTGTAGACTTTAGACCCCAAAGTAGGTACTATTTGTATACTTGGAGTCTTAGGTTTAGGGTTCGTGCCGGTGCAGTATGTCCTAGTGTTAAGGTCACTGACATCCCAAACTTACTCTAAACCCTACCTTAAGTCTGAATACCCTACCTTTTTAGGGTTCCTTATAACGATTTCCTTGTATAAGTCCTTTAAAAGGTAGGTTATTCGAAGTTTCCGTTTACCCTAAATCTTTCTGGTCAAGCTTCTCAAACAAAGCAGGGTGTCAATTCCAAGCCCCCCCCACTGCACCCGGCTTTTGTCTATGGCTCATTTGTCCGTCTATTTGCTCCAGTCTCTCCGTATCTTTCGCCAAACCATGTTTGCCGTCTTCTGGCTCCTAAAGCACCGACTATGTCATGACTTGGCCCTAAACCTTAACCCCTAAACAGTTCTGATCTTGCCTCATGCAGACGAACAGGGCCCTTAACAGAACACAGTTACAATTCAACCCTAAACACGAAACCCTCAACCCCCAAACCCTAAACCCTTAAAACATTAAACCCTATGACTTTTGGCAAGACGAGGTCCCTGACGAGGCTTTGCGCTACTCCAAGAGTCTTTCGTATGACGAGGTCCCAGAAGAGGCGGGCCCAGTTCAGCTTCTAGGGATCAAGATGATTTAGGGCTTAGGGTTTGGGTTGAGAGGGTTTGGGTTTAGGGCTTTGGTCTGGTTGAGAGGATTTAGGGTATATAGGGTTTAGGGTTGAGATGGTTTCGGGGCTTAGGGGTTTACGGGTGGTCAGGTTGGATTTAGGGTATGGGGTTTAGGCTTGAGGTGATTTAGGGGGTGTCTAGGGTTTAGGGAGGGCTTTGGGTTTAGAGGACTAGGGGTTCAAGATCCAGACTGGGTCTATATGTCTGTGTTCTGCTGTAGGATTAAGGTGCCCTGAACGCCACACTGTTTCCATCTACACTGCAAACCGTAGAGGAAGTTAGGAGCCACGTATTCTTTAGCAACCCTCGACGCCTGATAAAACAAACCCCTCTTCGATGATAAGAAGGATTGCAACAGTATAGGGATGCTAGCATGGATACCCTGAACACAGTGGTTGGTTCTTCCGGGGGATTCTGCATTATGACATTGCACTGCACCTCCGAAAAGCCTCAACACAGTGTTGTAAAGTCCATGGGTCCCTTGTAGTATCCTTAAGGGAGGGGGGTCCAAGGGGGGTATATAGCCTAGTGATCCCTAATTCTCCCTAGTACTCCCTAAGGTTCCCTTACAGTCCCCTAAGGATTCCTTATACCCTCCCCCCTTGAACCACCCTCCCTTAAGGATCCTATAACAAACCAGGGGCGGTTTAGGGTTTAGGTCTACAGTCCGAGGAAATCTACGGTGTACCGTAAACTACGAAGGCTCCAAGCTCTAAGCCCCAACTCCTAGATTTGGATCTCGGGTTTAGGGGAAAAGGAGGGACCCTAAATGGGGACCCCTACCCTATAATGGGCTATATAATGGGTATATAGTTGAGAGTTTTGGGGTTTCACCGGTAGGGTGTTCGGGATTGAAGTCTACATGCGGCCTTACTTCACAGTCAGATACAAGTAGAAGGTTAAGGGCTTAAAGCCTATGTGGTCTATGGCAGAAGGAAATCGGAACAAGGTCCTAAACCCTAATCCTAGACCCTAATCCCGGATCCCTAAACCCTAAACCCTAACCCTAAGCCGTCGTGAGGGCCGGGTGTCACCGCCGGACTCTCCGAAAACTTCGCCATGCTCTGCTCAGAGGCATCGTCCAAGGGCCGTCAACCCTAAACTAAACCTCTAGCCTAGTTTAGGGTGTAGAGGTTTAGGGTTTACAGGTTTAGGGTTTACAGGTTTAGGGTTTCGGGTTTAGGGTAGGGGCCTTTTAACTATTAGACTGGGTACTACATATAATAAGGATCCCCCAAAAGCCTATTCTAATTATTAAGGCTCCTACATTAGCCCAACAGCCTCCTTGTCTGGAGATCTTGGTCCTCAAATGCCAAGGCCCTATAATAAATAAAGATAAACCTTAGGGGTACTTAGAAAATTTTAAGTTTTGGTTATCATAATCCCTCAGAGACAGCTAAAATTGTAATTTTTGCTAGGGTTCTAAGTTCAGTATAGAAACACATCCAAATCTCAAAAGCCTGGCCCTTTCTAAGCCCTGACGTCTGAGCTTGATCCTTTCGGGTCTCTAATAACACCCAAAAGGGTCCTATGTAACGTTATGGGGATACTTCCCTAAGTCATAGTAGTAATTCCTAATACGGAAATTCCCCAAGTGTAGTAATTCCTAAACAAAGGGGTTAGGTTCCAGGGTTTATGGTTTAGGGCTTAGGGTCAGGGATCTACAGGAATGCAGATTTTGTGTAGTCGATTGCGGAGCCTGTGTTTCGTTGTGGGATATCAGTGGCCCATTTGGAAGAGTCGAGGATTTGATGTAGGGGTAGGAACATTTTCTGTCAGTGATCCCTTGTCAGCCCCGACACACTTGCAGCAACATGTACGCGGAGAAAACCCATTGTTAATGCCTCCATACTGTGATCCCGTTTTAGTTCCTACACAGTCGTAGGAACATATTACCCAAAGAAGTCGTTGTTCATGGCTCTATACTGGCGTCCACACTGTACCAGGTACAAGACCGTGCTGTACTGTTTCAGGTGCTCTTATGGGATCCTTGAAGTGTGTAAGGTACCTGGACCTTTAGGGATTCAAGTGGGGCTAGCTCCACAGGCCAACGGATCAGGCAGCCGCAGATGAGGAGGATTTGCCGTAGGTCAAGTGGGATCCTAGTTGCGGTTGGATGAAGCCTTCAAGACTGTTCGTTCGAGAGATTCGGCGTCAATATCGGTTTGGGCTTAGGCTTCGATCGTGTTGACGGTAAGGGTGTCTCTGACATGTTCCCTCAGATTTACTGCGTGTGCTAGAGCATGTCCACAAGCAGATTAGAGCATCACGCCGCATGACACAAGGTTCACAACTGAATATAATGTTTACAGGGTGTGCCAGGACGAAAAGGGATGTCTAAACCACGCCAATCTCCCTAGGGCTGTACGGACCTTCGCCTAACCGACTTGGTATCAAAGTCCTTGGTTGAAGGTGGGTTTCCGGATGTAGTGGAGCACTCACCCTAAACCCTAATCCCTAAAACCCTAAACCCTCAACCCTAGTCCCTAAACCCCAATCCCTAAAACCCTAAACCCTTATAATCACTAAAACTCTAAGCCCTAAACCCTACGTATGTAAACCCTAAATCCCAACTAGGACCCAGAGTAGGCCCTTATTCCCTTTTTTAGGGTTCAGGTTCCCTTATAAACCCCTTTAAACCAAAAAGGGCAGCCTTTTTATTCCTAGGTTACTCTTGGGTCTAGCCAAGGACAAGGATTCCACGCCTCCAACATTTACCTACGGTTCCTGGTAGCTCAAGCCCCAAGCGAGGGACGGTAGTTTTGGTAAGAGGGGTTTAGGCCCAGACCTTCCAAAATCCCTTAATTAAGGAATCTACCTTAAATCATATTAGGGATCCTACTATAATTTAAGGTATATTCCTTAATTAAGGGATTTTGGAAGGTCTGGGGGGTTTAGGGTTTGGCGCAACTCCCCCTAAGGCTCCATGTTCTTAAATCATATTTACTTTGGTCTGTAGGGGGGGGGGGGTGGGGCTTAGGGTTTATATGGGAGTTCCCGAAAATAGGGGACCCTAATTTGAAACGCTGCGCGTCGTCCGCCTCGGCCCGGCTGTACGCGCATGCGGCGAGTGGCTACTATCTGCAGCAAGCTCTTGTAGGAAAAAAGTAACAGTTGGAATCGCACTTATAGTAAAAGTAATGTTCATAGCAACACGAAGCAGGATGATTGTGAGTAGTATTAGTAGTGGTAGTATCAGTACGAATTTTGGTGTCGTCATTCCGAAACACTGGATACCAAGACTCTCGCAAGCGGCGGGATGCCTTAAGTATGGGCCGTTGAGGCTGTGGATTTCGTGGGCGTCTTGGATTAGGGAAGCATCACAGCCTTTTCAACCACGTTACTCCGCCTATCCCAACGAAAGGGCGTCTAAAACAAGCCTGAGACGCACATAGAGGGAGGGGGAAGCGAAGAAAATTGAATATTGGGGCCAAAATCCACTGGAGAAGGCGAAAATTCACCGCCGGACCTTGGGGCTCATCGACACGTTTCCATTTTTTAGGGGGGGGGGGGGGGTGGTGGCAGGATTTTGGGGTGGGGTCACTGGGGAGGGGATTAAGAGGTGGGGAATAGGAGAATCCGAATAGGAACCTCTGACCGCTTCGGCCGGGGCCGAGGCGAATATAGTACCATAAAAAGTAGGATCCTTGTTATAAGGACCCGAAAATAAGGTACTCCCTATTTTCGGAAACTCCCATATGGGTTTAGGGTTTGTAGGGTTTGATGGGGCTTCGGGTTTCGGGTAGGGGGGTCCAGGATTTTAAGTACCTAGAAAGCAACCCTTTTAAGGCCTAAGTATATACTAACCCAAAACCCTTAAACCCTAAACCCTTAACCCTTAAACTCTAGACCCTAAACCCTATACCTTAAACCCTTAAACCCTTAAACCCTTAAATCCTTAAACCCTACACCCTAAACCTTAAACCCTAAAACCTAAAACCTTAAACCCTTAAACCCTAGGCCCTAAACCCCTATGCCCTAGCCATTTTGGCTGAAGCCCAGCATTCCACCAGCACTCACATTCCACGTGGTCTGTGATAATCCATTGGCGGACGGCCCTGTTCCTGAAAAACAAGTTCCAGGTGTTGGAAAGCGAAAGTGCCGAGGACGAGTCTGTGGGGGAGATCAGCTCCGAGGCTTCTGCAGGGGAGGCGAAGCTAGCGAAGACCTGTTCACATGGGCATTCCACGCGCGGGAGGACCGGCGTACCTGGTTGTTCGTCCAGGCTTGCCGCCGCCACGTTGAGGTGGCTTGACCACCGGGCCACCGACTCGGCGGCCGGTCGATGCCTCGGCCACATGCAAGGAAGGGTTGCAGAGGTCCTTTCCCTTTTGGATCAGCGGCAGGCGTCCTTGAGGATTGCAGGTTTGCCGAAAATGGGGGACCCAAATATAGTATGCCAAATAGTAGGGTCCCCATTGTAAGTACCCCAAAATAAGGTACCCTAATTTTCGGAAACTCGCCATAGACCCCAAACCCTAAACCCTCTATAGAACCCTTACAGATCCCTTTAAGGAACCCGTTAACGGACCCCTTTAAACGTCCCCCCTAAATCCTAAACCCTAAACCCTTTATGGAACTCTTATGGATCCGTCTAAGGAACCCTTTAAAGGACACTTTTACGACGTGCCCCCCTATATCTAAACCCTGCAGTTCGAAGGAGCTCTCCGCATATCTGGACGCGCCCAGCGGCTGCTTGGGCTGTCTACTCACCCCTACCTGAACCCTAAGGAACCTGCCTTTTTAGGGTTCCCGAATATGATTTCTTTGTATAAGTCCTTAAAACGGTAGATTATTCAGGGTTAAGGTAGTAGTAGAGTAAGTAACCTTTTAACCCTTTGATTGGGTAGTATAGTCCTATATAATGAACCAAAAAGGTGAACCGTTAGTTCCCCATGAGACCCTAAACCCTAAACCTTAAACCCTAAACCCTAAACCCTAAACCCTAAACCTTAAACCCTAAACCCTAAACCCTAAACCCTAAACCCTAAACCGTAGTAGTAGTAGTAGTAGTAGTAGTAGTAGTAGTAGTAGTAGTAGTAGTAGTAGTAGTAGTAGTAGTAGTAGTAGTAGTAGTAGTAGTAGTACCGGGCTTCGTGTTCACTGTAGAAGCCTTGGGGTTTGCTATAATGCAGCCCAAAGGGTCCTATCGTTATGGGGGATACTTCCCTAAGTCATAAGAGTAATAATAGGGAAACCCAACATTCTACTATATCGGTGCATAGGACCCTTTTGGGTAGGGGCCTAAGCAATTAGAATAGGGTTTTGGGGCTCCTTTTATAGTGTATTCCTAGTAAGGAATCCTACGGAATAATATTGCTAATTATTTAGGCTTCTATGGTATGGGCTTTTGTGTTGAGGTCTCGGTTTGTTTTGAGTAGGGGCTGCTTTGGGGCCTTGGGAGTTTGAAGGTTTAGGGCGCTTTGTGTTGGGATTTGGGGTTTATAGGATGTAGGGTACCTTATTTCAGGGTTTCACGTTAAAGGTTGGGTGTTTAGAAACCCTAAACCGTAAACCCTAAAACCTAAATTCCAAACCCAAAACCCGAGAGCCCCACTGTACCCTTAAAATACCTCTAAACCCGTGCGCCTTGGCTTGACTCTCCGAAGACCACGAGCAAGACCCACCTTGGGTTATAAAATCTTCGGGTTTAGGGTTTAGGGATGAAACTAAACCCCGGAGCTCGGCAACATTGGATTTAGGGTTTAGGGAGCTGGGTTTACTGCCTGTGTGTTCAGGATTTAGGGTTTAGGGACTGGGGGACTTTAGAGAGCTTGGATTTATGATTCAGGCCTACACCTCAGCCTCATAGAAAGCTGGATCCTAAACCTCTGAACCTCAAAGGACTGTGGATGCTACACGGGCACGTCGAACACTCCGCAGTGTTTGTAGGCAGTCTCAGAGAATTGCGGACCCCGAGTAGTACGCCAAACGAATAGCAGTTTAAATGCCCACCACTACCTGTAGGCTCATACGCTATCTTTTTTAGGGTATCTACTTTTCTATACAACAGAGCCTACCCATAAAACTAGGTATCCTCAAAAAAGGGTAGGGTCTGAGCCTCTAGGTACGGACCAGAAGGGGTAGAGAGCTCCTATACCGATTCTAAAATCAGTGTATATGGACCCTCTTGGTACCTATTCTTGACTCATACCCTAAACCTGAAGCCTTGTCCACTATTAAACCCTAAACCCAGGAGAAGGACTGCGAGATTTTGCGGAGGATGGCAGAACGGGCACGCTGTCCGATGAGGGGAAGCGGCATTTGCAGTGAGCTGCAAGCGTCGTCAAGAATTATCTTCTCGAACGGGCCGCCAGCGGCGGAAAGCTCAAAGCCGTCTACGACAGGCTCGAAAGTTCAAGTCGGGCAAGTGGACCGAGGAACAGTTCAGGCAGACCTACACCAAAGCCGGGCTTCGCGACCCTTTTCCTTGGGAAGGCCAAGCCCAGGCTAATATTGAGCACAGGAGACGTGGGATGTGCCACTCATGTGTTTGATGCCGGCGCGCTCGAAAGCCAGGTCTTCTCTGATCCTTTGTTCGAGGAGCGATCGATGAAACATGCCACGCCGGAGCAGCTCACAAGACGGGTTTGTGCCGGGGCAAGGAAGTTTGACTTGGGAGTATGGATTTCGGATCCTTCGACACATGGCCTTTGCGGCTTCAAATCTGTAGGGCCTAGAGTTTTATATTCGCGACCTCAGGATCTGTAATCTCTAAGTCTTACATCTACCCCGATGCCAAACCGTAATCTCCAGCTTCCAAAGCCGGCAAGAAGAATGCCAACCTTATGATCCCAGCCTATCCCAATTGCAAAATGTTTTGAGCTTCGGCTTCGATATTTTCGTCTGTAGAGACGTAGAGTGACGTAGAGTAGAGCCTTGGATCACTGTTGAACCTAGTCCCCATGCCCTACATCTACACCTTGACCCCTGCACTGAGTGTTCCTTGAATACCAAGCGGCGGAGAGTTCTTTCGAAACTGCGGCTTTATGTAATGGGCACATGAAGGGGTTGCATTTACGGCTTCCTTTGTACAAGGGTCCAGATGGGCATATCGAAACCCGGGGTCAGGGTGATGCCCTGTAACCTAAACCATGAACCCTCAACCCCAAGCCCTAAACCCCGAAAAACCGAAAACCCTAAACTCCTAAACCCTAAACCCTAAGCCCGCAGCCTTAACCCCAAACCCTAAACCCCAGACCCCAAACCCTAAGCTCTAAACCCCAAACCCCAAACCCGAAAATTCCCCAACCCCAAGCAGTATCCAGTCTCCACCGAGGAATGCGACAGCGCCGCGTCTCGAAGCCTCCGGAGCCCATCGAAGAGGCCGCGCAAGCCAGGAATCAGAAGCCTTATAAGCAGCCCAAAGGGTCCTTTGTACCGATATAGTAATATAGTAGATTGTAGGGTTTCCATTTTAGGAATTACTATGATGACCTTAGGGAAGTATCCCCTATAACAGTACATAGGACCCTTATAAGGAGGAAGTGAAGCCCAAGAGGCTTCCTTACTCAGAGGATCTTGTGACTTAGTAACTAGGGAGGTAAGGGTCCCTTTAAGGGATCTACAGTAAACCCCATAAAGTTGGAAACCGGATTAAGGCCAAATAGTGCTGGGATTCCCTATACATTACTCTTAAGGATTGAGGCTATGGGGTTTCCAATTTTTGGGCTTCTACTGTATAGAGGTACTATAAGGGTTTTTGCGGGCCATTATTTCAGAAGCCTTATAGGGGTACTACTGGGTACACCATTTAATTCCTTTTTCAGGGGGGTCATTCGTCTAGGGTACCCTTTTAATGGCCTTACTTAGAGGATCATGAGACTTAGTGACTTAGTAGCTAGGGAGGAAAGGGTCCCTTTTTAAAGGGTTCTACAAGGGTTTTGCAAGGGCACATAGGGTTAAGGGCTTTCAAGGCTTATTTAAAGGATCATGAGACTGAGTAACTGAAAGGCGCCTCAAGCGGTGTCTTAAAGGAATCCTGAAAGTGGTTTAGAATGGGGTTCTAGGGTCTACTTGGAGGATCACGGGATTTAATAGCTAGGGTTATAGGTAGGGTAATTACAGTTATGATTACTTATATCCCCAACTAGGGTACCTATAAACTTACTTACTAAGTCACATGATCCTCCAAGTAGGTGTCTGGGTTAAGGATCCTACAAGGTAACTCCGAAAAGGCACTACAATGGAGACGTGAGGTCGGGTCAAGAGCATAGTGTCTCAGGATTCAGGATCTACCAAAACCCCAAAGAACCGCCTCTTTGGTGATTTCCTTATAAAAGTTACAAAAAGGTAAGGCCTATAGGGTTTTTTGAGCTTCGTTTCTTTTGGTTTAGGACAGTGGGCCTGAGGGTGAAGCCTCTGCCGCCGGAGCACAGGGGCTGAAAAGGGGACCACAGGGAGGGTTCCTCGAAGGTTCCATATTATAGGAATTACTATTATGACTTAGGGAAGTATTTCCCGTAAAAATACATAGGACCCTTTGGGCCGTTAGGTTTGGTTTGGGGTTTAGGGGTTTGGCTCCGCGATTACCTATATGACATCCTTGAAGGGGTCCTGTAAGGGATCCTTTATGGGGTAGACTTTGGCCTTACTTGTTGTGCCAAACTGTATCCAGTACAGTATAGGTACGTGGATGCTGACACCTTATTAAATCAAGCCCATATGGTATTTTCTTCAACCTTAAAATCCCAAAGCGTCCTAAAAGCACCTGCACCTGCAAAGTAATAAGTAAACGGTTTCTGTGGTAGGATTTTTAGTTCTGGTTTGGGTCAGAAAATGGCACTTAGGGGCCTGTGGGAATGAACCCTTCGAATCATACCTCCCCTGTTTGGGATGTTGTGCTATACTGCTATACCCAATGGGTCCTACCTATAGACTGTAGGGTTTCCATGTTAGGAATTACAAATATACTCAGGGAAGTACCCCCCCCCCCATAACAGTACGCAGGACCCTTCGGGATAGTGCCCAATCCACGGCTCCAAGGACAGCACCTGGCACGAGGAACCTGTATGGGAGGCGCCGCTGCACCTAGCATAGAGGTCTGAATAAGGTTGAGGGTTTACGGCATAGTGAGTGTGCTATGGCTCTCTCTCTCTCTCTCTCTCGCTCCCCCTCTCTCACTCTCTCTCTCTCTCTCTCTCTCTCTCTCTGCATACATACATATACGTTTTTATGCGCCGAACGAGCACGCTGCGCTTTCTGACCTCTCCCACGGACTCCCCAAAGGGTCCTGAGTTCCGACATAGCAGAAAGTTTAATAGGAGTTCTATAGTTATGGTTTTGGTATGTCCACTGTAAGTGTGGGCCCATAACCGGACCCGGAGGATCCCTCTTATAGTGCTCTTCACCGGGGCTCTAAGGAACGCCAAGAAGGGACCCCTGTTACCCCTATCTTTCGAGACTTAGGACACTTGGGGTCTGGCGCGAGCATGTCCCAGTGATGTTGCAGTTCATCGCGCCCGTGAACCTGAGTTTGGGGCTTACGGTTGAGGGTGTTGGGAAAGGTTTTTAGAGTACAGGGTTGAGGGCTTTTTAGAGTTTAGGGTACGGGTTAAGGGCTTTTAGCGTTTGAGGCTAAGCTCTCAGCCCAGAACCTTTTCTTTTAACTCTGTATCTGTAACCCCGTATGCCTGAACTTTAGGATCCAAGCAAGCCTTAGCGTGATGGCCACTCAGGCCTCGATCTACCCTCAATGGCCACACTTAATTAACCCTAAACCCTAAGCCCTAAACATGGTTTAAACCCTAAACCCTAAACCCTAAACCGTAGCCACCTGTAGCCCGAAGCCTTGGCAAAATCGTAGCTTTTTCCACACATAGCCCGGGTTGCGCAGGCAATCCCCAAGCGATGCAACCCTTCAAGAAATCCTAGAAGGGAACCCCGTTAAAACCATAAGCGGCAGGGGCGGCCTAGCGACGCCACCGAGCCAGAACAGCCCGTGCTGCCCTCACAGGTTTTGGAAACTACTTGCTTTAAGGTTTCCTCTAACATCGTCTAAGCATGCCATAAGGATTCCCTTCAGGCTTCGTTTGCAGGCTGATTTCCGGTGTGCCGTCAGGGTCCCTTTGATAGTTTCTTTATGGCTTCTTTGAAGGGTCGTGTAAGGGTCCTTAGGGTGCCGAAGGGGTTTAGGGTTATTGCATGGACCCCAAAACCCTATTCTAATTATTAAGGCCCTTGCATTAGAATTTTTACGACGGTCCCTATCTATTGTGAGGAGATACCCGCATGTGCGTTCCTTGGGCTGGTATATGGGAGTTTCCGAAAATATGGGACCCTAATATAGTACCCTAAATAGTAGGATCCTTATTATAAGGACCCCAAAGTAAGGTACCCCTAATTTCGGAAACTCCCATATGGGTAGTTGTCTAGGTTAGGATCCTTGTCTCGATGCTGAAAAGCCCAGACCTTCCAAAATCCTTAATTAAGGAATATACCTTAAATTATAGTAGGATCCCTAATATGATTTAAGGTAGATTCCTCAATTAAGGGATTTTGGAAGGTCTGGGAGTATGCATCACTCTCACACTTAGGACCCCAAAAGGGACCCATGGGTTGCTCAGGTCCTCTGTTACTTCAAGGGTCCTGAGTGCCTAGGGTTTAGGGTTTAGGGTTTAGGGGTTTAGGGTTTAGGGTTAGTTGCACAGTAGAGAGATGTAGAAAGTAGGGCTTCTACAGTAGGAGCTGTTGTTGCGGTTTGGATAAGATGGGCCCCAACTCCTAGACACCCAGAAACTTGCTCCCCGATCCCCAAATCACGAAGGCCTTCGTTTCGTAGATCCCATGAGCCCTAGCATGTATTAAACCAGAGACACTATTATTTAAAAAAGTTTGAAAAACCCATAAACCCGAAACCCTAGCAAGCATTCACTTGGAAGGTACCCAGCGAGTCTGGCACGAAGAGTCCCGCAGAAGGGAGCACTCATGAGGAGGCTTGGGGTAGGGTTTAATGTCGCAACCTGACTAAGAAACCCTGGCCCTATAACCCCCAAAATAGTAGGAAAAAGATCTCTTGATCAGGTTCCTACATTAGGGGTTCGGGTTTTAAGTGTCTTGTGATTCTCCGACATTTCGTATTATTGCCATCTTTCTGTGCAGCATAGACAGTGAATCTGCCTCACTGAAGTTAGCATGCTATATGGGCCTTAATGATTACCTATACTACTTTTTTTTTTTTTTGGGGGGGGGGGTCCTTATTGTAGTTATAGTCTACAGGGCCCCAAAACCCTATTCTAAGTGTCACGGCCCATATGTTAGCATCAGAGGGTTGCTGGGAGGAGCGGAATGGTACCCTAAACCCTAAACTCCTATACTAAACCCTATAAACCCTAAACCCTAATCCCTGCAAGCTTCAAGGATCGACTTAACCTGTCTTCTCCGGGACCCTTCAATATGGGGTTTCCGAAAAGAGGTAAGGTCCCCCAAATAAGGTACCCCTCATTTTCGGAAACTCCCATATAGCTCTTATGGCCCCTAGTAGTGGTTTGTTTTCCGTTTCATAGAAGGTAGTTGGAGTGGTTGGTCTAGGTAAAGCCTGAACCTTGCGACATAGGCCTTCAACGCCAAGCCCCCTTAAGCAACCACTGCGGAACCCTTGATTAGGATGGGGGTCACACAACACCCTAAACCCAAAGCCCTTGAAGCCCTGAACCCCAAAACCCCTAACCCCTTTAAGCCATATAAACCCTAAGATCGCCCCCCCTAAACCCACCGGTGGTGTTTAGGGCAGCAGGGTACCCAGGCAGCCCAATACCCCTTAATTAGGAATATAGCTTAAATCAAAATATGAAGCCCTATATAATTTAAGCCATCTTCCTTAATTAAGGGGTATTGGGATCCCTTAAACCCTAAACCCTACAGATCCCTTAAAGGATCCCTTTTAAAAGGAACCCTAGGCATTCCTTAATTAAGGGGTATTGGGTTCTCAGGGTAGCTTAGCCAGGCCAAAGATGCGTCTCCACCAGATTCGGTTCCACCCACTGCTGGGCCCAGGCCGTTGGGCTTCGATTTTTGGGAGTTTAAGATTTAATTAAAGGGTTTACGGTTTAGGGTTTAGGGGCTTAGGGTTTAGGGGTTTAGGGGTTTAGGGGTTTAGGTTTAGGGTTTAGGGTTTTAGGGTTTAGGGTTTAGGTTTAGGGTTTAGGATTTAGGGATTTCTCTTCGGAGTCTGGTTCGGCAGATCATTAGTTGACTTCGCAGGCTCAGTCTTGGGTTCTCAGACATGCCAGCTACTGGTTCTTAGTTTCTGGAGCTTTGGGCATAGACATTGGTCCAAAACGAGCTGCAAACCTCTGAAGCCTAAACCCTGTAGACTATAAGTAGGTACGTGGGTCTCGTATAGTGGCAATGTCGTTGGGAGGGAGTCTGTGGTTCCCTACCCCCAGGGTCCAAAGGACACAATTATTAGGTATTCGGTTTCAGGATAGTATTTATGTAGGTTAAGATTTTGGTGAGTATATGATTATCAGGTACTTGGACGCTTAGGGCTAAGGGTCCACGCGCCCCAATCGTAGGGTTTTAGGTGCCAAAACCCATTCTTATATAAGATGGAATTGGGGACTTGAAAAGCACCCCCATGTCAGTATTTGGACCTTCTGGGTTACTAGATACCTGCGTCTTTTAGATGACATCAGATTGCAGCGCTGTTTGCGCGTCTAAGTTTCAGGGTTTGGGTTTGGAGTGTCGGGTTTCTTGATTTACTACGGGGTTGTGGAGTATGTTGTTTTGGTCTTGGACGGGCGCAGACCCGTCGTTAGAACAAGGGTCTTGCTACAAACACCCTAAACCCTAAACCCTAAACCCCTAAACCCTAAACCCTAAAACGTATGTAGGTTCCATTTAAGGGTCCCGTAAGTTTCTGCAGCTCTCAAACTTACCATGTCAACCAAAACGAGCCCGCAACCCCAACTCCCCAAGTTCCTTCCCCAAGTTCAACAGCCTTGCTGCACACCCCCTCTCACCCTTCACAAACGAAGAACAAATCTACCTTCTTAATCCAAGGGTGAAAGGAGGGACCCTCAATAAGGACCCCTAGGTATATACCCTTAATATAGCTATATTATATACCCATCATATTAATCATTATATAGCCCATGATAGGGTAGGGGTCCCCACTAAGGGTCCCCTCTTTTCCCCTTTGACTTAAGGATGTACAGAAGGAAACAGGACTAGCTGCTCTCGGGCTTAGTATCTTCGCAAAAGTCGAAACCTGGCATGGTCTTCAAAAGGTACTTAGGGCCTTAGGGGTACTTAGAAAGAGTTTTTGTTTTTGGTTATTATAGTCCCTAAGAAGCAGCTAAAATTATGTTTTTTGCTAGGGTTCTAAGTTCAGTATCGTGGTAGAGTTGCAAGGGCTGCTCTGGGGTCTGTCTTCCTTACCCCAAGGGTCCAAGTACCCAATAACCATCTACTCTCGAAAATATCCTAACCTACATAAACTACTATCCTAAAACCCAAGTACCTAATTCTTTGGTCCTTTAAAGGACCCTTGTGGTTACCCCACTCAGAACTTATGAAGCTCACGATCCCCACGGTTGATGATATAAATCAGGCATGACCCAGAATAAGGAATACACCATAATTCCCATAGTTTAGGGTCCTGAAGGTAATGCAGGATTTATATCATCACCCAAACCCTGCACCCTAACCCTGCAGCAACATGCGCATTAAATCAAGCCCAAGAACGCTACGGTCAAGAAGAAACGGAATGAAAGTCTGAACTTTTAAGCCTAAACTTTAAGAAGACACGAATGTAAACCCTAAACCCTAAACTAGCCCTAAACCCCTGAACTTGCCCTAAACCCCTAAATCCCTAAATCCCTATACCATTAAACCCGCTAAACCCCTAAACCCTAATCCCTAAACCTTAAACCCCTAAACCCCTAAGCCCTAAACCCTGACGAGGGAAGATCCCAAGAGCCGCGAAGAAGAAGCGAACATGAGGCGGGGTTTGTGGTGTCTGGGCTTCAGGGAGTTTGGTGTTTGGGGCGTATAGAGCTCGGGGTTTAGGGGTTGGGGCTTAGGGGCGTATAGAGTTTAGGGCTCCGGGCTTAGGGGTTTTGGTGTTTAGGGCGTATAGAGTTGAGGGTTTAGGGGTTGGGGTTTAGGGGTTTAGGGCTTATAGGGTTTCTGGGTTTGCCAGCACCCCTCAAATACCCTTTCTAGGTTCCTGAGTAGTACCCTTTTGCCCTTATTGTTATAGGGTTCCCTTACAAAAACCGAACAGTAGGAAGATGGGTACCCTCATTATAAAGGGGCTACTCAGGAACCTAGCTTCAATGGAGCCTCAATAGTGGGTACGTAGGCTCTAATAAGGGGTAGTTGGGGGGTGCTGGTGGGTGACAACACGACTATGCCCTGAGGGAGCCCTTAAAAGGAGTCCTTAACATACCCCCCAACCCCACAGAGACCCTCCAAAACTGTTTATGGCACCCTACAAAGCCACAAAAGACGTTTACAAGGACACTTAAAGAAGCGCAGATGAACCTTCAGCAGAAACCTGGCAAAACCCCACGGGAGCATTTAATGCCACCTCCGCGAAAGACCATATACAAGCCGTAAAACCAAGAGGCTTGCATAGTAGATAATTACTACTTTTACGGAAGGTGGACCCAAAAGCATGACAACGATGTTCTTTCCGGGCATACTTCCATAGCCGTAGTATATACAAACTTTCTGGAAAGATACCTCAAACCCTAAACCCTAAAGCCCCCAACGCCGAACCCTACTTACTCCCACAGGGAACCCTTCAAGGAACCTTCAAAGGATGCCTTGAGACGATCCTCCTTAAGTGATCCTTTCAGGAGGGATTCTTTAAGGGGGACCTTTGAAGGATCCCTGACAAAAGGACCCCCGCAAAGCCCAAACCCTAAACCCTTAACTTAGGCCCTAAACCCTCAACCCCTAAACCTTAAACCCTAAAGCCTAAACCCAACACCCCCCCTCCCCCCGCGACCACCCAAAAAAAACAGGTTCTCCTTCGAAGCCGAGCTTGGGCCTCCGATCCTCATCGAAGGGCAGCTCTGGAAGAAGAGGCACAAACAAACGGGTTCCTGTTTTATTTAACGTGTCTTCAGGGGTTACTTTGAGGGATATGTAGGGGTTCCTTTTTCAGGATATGGGGATACAAAGGGTATCCTTTTAAGGGGTTTGTTTAGGGATTCCTTTCTAAGGATATAAGCGGCTTAGATAGTAGGGTCTAGATGGTATGATTTAGGTATTCGGGGCTCCTTTTTACAGAATGCTTCAGGGTTCTTTCGGGGACGAGGGAGTTCAGGGTTTTAGGTCTTTTGACGTTTCTATACGGGTTGAGGGCTTTAGGTGTTTCCTTGGGGTTTGGGGCTCCCCTAAAGCCGTGCCGCGCGGGTTCTGTGAGGGCTTAGGGAGTTGAGGGTGCTGGGTCGCTTGTTGGGTTTAGGGTTGGGAGAGGACTCCAGAAGGTTTCTTGAAGGTTTCCCTGACTCTTAGGGGTACTTAGAAATGATTTTTAATTTTTGGTTATTATAATCCCTAAGAAACAGCTAAACTTAGAATTTTTGCCAGGGTTCTAAGTTCAGTATAGGACTGGTTTCTTTACACCCGCCCCAACTTCGTTCCAGATCGGACACTGTCCTAAATTCAGCCTTGCAGAAGACCCCAAACCCCCCATCCTCGACTCCTCACCCAGAGACCTGATCCCAAACACTACGGTTGATGATATCAATCCTGCATTACCTTAAGGACCCTAAACTATGGGAATTATGGTGTATTCCTTATTATGGGTCATGCAGGATTTATATCATCAACCGTATGTTAAATGCTCAGCCCTAAACGTAATGTATCGCGTATTTGCCCCTACAGCAGGGTGCAGAGTTGTTGTTCACGAAGCATGTTGCTTATGTACTAAATTGTACATCGGTTGATCGCAATCACTTATCTTGTTAAGGCCTAGTGAAACCTGCTAAAATCCTAAAACTTACATTTCGAAACCCTAGACCCCATAAACCCTAAAACCCGATAAGCCTAAACCCCAATCCCGGAGTCCTGCAGCCCCGGAAAACAAGTCATGAGAAGTGAGCCAGGTTCTCTTTTTAGAAAGACTTCCCACCTGAACGACCCGAACAAGGCAAGCCAAAACTAAATACGTACATATGTACTTATTTGTACATATACATATACGTGGCTAGGCATCGGGTTAGATGGAACATCCTCAGCTTTCTGGACCATATAGGCCGTAAACGTTTAAACTCTACAACTCTAGAACTCCATTACGGTATCTAGGTTCCTGAGTAGTACCCTTTTGCCGTCTGTATTTTAGGGCTCCCGCTTTCATACCGAATAGTAGGAAAAAAAGGATACCCTGATTATAAAGGGGGTACCCAGGAACCTAGGTATAGCCCTTGAACCCTAAACCCCGACACACTGAAACCTGCCATGTCCCTGAGGCCGAAGCTGTCGCGAACGACGAAAGTCTTCAGGCTTCTTCGTCGGGAGGCATCAACGGTCTAGGACCATTCAGGGGGATTGGGGTTCAGGGTTTACGGTTGGCAGGCATCAACAGTCTAGGACAATTAAGGGGCATTGGGGTTCAGGGTCTACGGTTGGCAGCCCTCAAGTTTGTCAACAGTCTAGGATATAGGGGATAGGGTTTAGGGTCTGGGTTGGGAGGCATCATGAATGTAGGATATAGGTTATAGGCCATATATAGGAGTGCTCGTTAAAAACTATGCGAAGTAGCTAGGCTTGATGTTGGTTGTCTCCATGCCTAGGTGGACTAACAACCTTTAGCAGTTTCGGATGCATGGTATGCTTACATACATATATGTGTATATGTGGAGTTTTTTATTCGCACACATATACTCATATGTATATATATATATATATGTATGTATGTATACATATATATATATATATAAATGTAAGTTGCAGAACGGATGCATGCGTACATGCATGAATGACTGTGTGTACGTGTGAGTGTATACATGCAGTATACATGCATGTATGTATGTATATATGTATGTATGTATGTATGTATGTATGTATGTATGTATGTATGCATGTATGTATGTATGTATGTATGTATGTATGTATGTATGTACATATGCATGAACAGTAGGATACACATTTATTTATATATATATATATATACACATACATATGTATGTTAGTATTGTTTCACTTCGTCTCAAATTGAACCTAACAACCCTGTAACTCTGTGCCTTTAACACGGTATCTCTACATCCAAGTACAATCCCAGCCATGCTTTTGTTTGTTTTCTCAGTTGCTCTTTGTACGGCTTTCCGCGGAAATGTATGCTATGGCCACTCTAAGGGCGTCTTCTAGTCGCGCCTACACCCTCAGCCGCAGCTGAACCAGGCAAGAGCGCTGCTATCTCGAGGCCGCGGCAGCAAAGGGATGAATACTCTACACTGGGTGGGGTTGTAGGGTTTCGATGGTTTCTGTAGGGTTTTATAGGGCCTCTGCAGGGATCCAGGTAAACCCTGGCCGGTTTATTTGGGGATCGCCGTGGTTATAGCGCTGTCACGACTGTAAGAGTTAGGATGTCGGGTAGGGGGAGGAGCTTAGGGCTTAGGGCTGCTTGAAAAACACCCTAGGCACAACTACTGCTTTTCAAGTGGGTGCTGACAGGCTTTGGAGGGCTGTATGCGGCTGCATTTGGACCAGTATATCTTACTTTGTATGCTTATGGAATGGTCTCACCGGCATGGGTGCCAGCTTTCCTTGGAGACTACACGAACTCATGGCGACCACTCCGACCGACGTCCCAGCCCCGACAGCGGTCTAAAGGGGGCTTCAGAAGACATCGTCTGGGATGGTTTTTCGATGCTGGCACCGGAAGTCCCAGCTTGTGAAGACTGGTGAATCTTACTCCAAGACCATTAACACACCCTCAACCACAAAGCCTAGAACCCCAAACCCCAAACTCAAAGCCCGGGACGCTTAGGCCTAAATCCTGAACCCTTCATCAGTGTGACTTTTCCGTATTATGGAAGGCCTTAAAGCCTAGCTGATGGTCATGCACACCTGCCAACTCTAATAACCTATGCTACTGTCCTACACCCAAATACGCACAAGTTAAGAGGAACTGCTCGATCCTAGAATCCAAAACCCTAAAGCCCAAGCCTAAACCCTTGAACCTCAACCCCACCTAAAGTCTCCAGTGTCGTTCGTTTCTTTGGTCAGCCAGCTTTATATTGTCGGATCCTAGCCATAAATGTGTCAGTCCAAACCGAGGACTACAATGGAGCCTTTACAGGTCCGACCCAGACCTTCCAAAACCCATTAATTAAGGAATATACCTTAAATCATATTAAGGATCCTACTATAATTTAAGGTATATTCCTTAATTAAGGGGTTTTGGAGTCTCTGGGGACCCCTAAAACCCAGTTAGGGTCCCTTTTAGGGTACTTATAAGTCTACTTACTACTTACTTACTAAGTACCCCGACCCTCCAAGTACAGGCCCGACCCCTAAAGCCCACGAACCCGCGATCTTCCAACGACCGCGACCACAGCGCTGGCGGCTGGGACTGCTTTCAGGAGCGACCTAAAGGGAACTCCAGAAAGTTGGAATATGGAATATTGGCAGGATCCCCTATATTTTACCTTAAAGGGACTATGATAATGAAATTCCAACTTTCTGGCTTCTACTGTAAGGGGTTCATAGGCGTTTTGCACTCTTCGTTTGAGGGCTGCTATAGGGTTTCCATGCCTTTTTGGGAAAAGTGTTTTTGTTTTAAGGGGTTCGAAGAATTGTCATAGGGCGTTCTTAGGGCATGATGTAGCTGTTGGCTTAGAAGGCTAAAGCCGGACGCCATAGGATGCCACACAATCCCTTTTGCAATTTGCAATGACCATTTGTCAGGCTCTTGTTCGGGCCTAGGGCCTAGGGTTTAGGACCAGAAGTTGTGCCGCGGCCATGGCTAGTCGGTTCAGAGGGTTTAGGGTTTAGGGTTTAGGGCTCATGTGTATTATTTGATATGACATCCTACCCGGGTGCCAACATTACTTATTCCACAGGCCTAAATGGTTGCCAACACTATGGTAAACAAGGGTGCCTTGCGAGGAAAGACGGGGGATACAACGAACTCCCCCCTTCCAGTTGCAATTGCCTCACTTTGTATGAACCATCCATAAGGTAACCCTTACAGAACCTGAAAAGCAAAGCAACTTCATAGAAATTCTAGATTGCCTGCACGCCAGAAGTCTACGTTGCAGAGTGGCCTGCGATAGCGACGGCTTCTGGTACTTGGTCAGTAGGTTTTGCACAGGATAACAGAAAATGTGATGCACCCGAACACTCTCAAAGCCCGAAGTAGGTCTCCTTCAGAGACTTATATTAAGCCACTGGCTCACAAACGCTAAGCCGACAGCAGGCGGAGTTTAGGGTCTAGCGGTATGATGTAGGGGGCGACGCTTGATCCTATCGCTGGATCTCTGTTACCAGAAAAACCGCTGTGCAGCATTGTCATACTGTGACGTTGCCGGACGTGGCGTTCTGCTTAACTTGCAAAATGTGAAACTAAACAACTCTATTATAAGCACTTTTCCAGAGCGACTGGGTACTCCTACGTGTAGCCTGATTACGGAGTGCAAAACGGTGCAGAAGAAGTGCATCACGCGCTCAGCTGTTTATTGCCTCGCTGTAAAGCCTAAATTGCAAAAGAGTAGGTAGTCTCGCTACAAATCACGTCGTAGCGTATACAGAGCCAGATTAAACCTAAGCCTCTAACCCCAAACCTTAGACCCCACCGAAACCCCAAGAACCCTTCTTTTCGGCTGCTTTTCGTTGTATTCGTCCTAAAAAAAGTAGCGCGGTCAGGGCTCAAGACCTTAAACCCTAAACAACCCCAAATCCTAAGTTTTCCAAGTAGAGCCTCACATAGCTGCGGCCATGGCAGAGATCGTGGAGTACACGGCCGAGAGGTACTTTGGCAGAGGCGGAAGGCCACGCGTAGTGCAGGACATTCTTGTTTTCCGAGAAAAATAGTTCAGGGTCGGTTTAGGGCACGTGTTTACTATCTCTGTGTTGATCTATCAAGCTATCTTCTGTCTATCTATCTGTGTGTCCACGGTCTAATTACCTATCTGTCCATCTACCTACTTAACTATCTACCTATCCCTGTTTATTATTTGTCTGTCTATCTATCTACCTCATCTATCAGAAACAATGACGCAAACAAGTGTGTGCATGTATATACATATACTCGCAAATTCTCAGTTGTTTTGCTGCCATATGTATATATATATATATATATATATATATACATATATATATATATATATATATCCGTGTTCTTCTTTTGGTTGCTTACGTACAGTATTCACGTTTATGTATATGTGCACGGGTTTATGCATGTGCACATGCATCTGCGTGTTCATGTACATGACCGCGTGTGTGTGTGTATACATACATACATACATACACACATACATACATACATACATACATACTATAATACTATACATACACATATACACACATATATATATATATATATATATATACATAGATTCACACTTATATTTATGTTTGCACATCACGCTTGTTTTAACTTCAGGGTTTTGGTTATAGTAGGTAGATGTCATGGGTACGTTTTTTTTTATGCTGTCAGGGTTTCCGCACCAAGATGCTAGATGTTAAGTGGCTCACGTGGGGCTCACGCAAGTGTTGTTTTGGAGTTTTATGGTTTTCCCCGCTCAGTATTGAGCTCTATGCACCTCAGACGTCCCCAGCACATAGACGCTGGTCCCAGCCTTAGTCAGACCGTCCTAGATGTTTACTAGCTTTTACTAGCTTGTCCAGGACATGCTTGGCGAGTCCCCATGCTGGGATCACCGCACTGACACACTGTACTGGGTGTCTTGGCTTTTCCAGGTACCGATTTGGGATCTTTGCTGAGACCGTAAACTTACTCGATATAGAGCTCTAACTGTCCGTAGCTTTAGAGGCTGTTGAGATCGACGCCCAGTTATCGCTATGATTAAAACAGAACATAGCGTGAGAGCTTCCTTCGGTTAAGGGGTTCCGGGTGTTTTTGGTTTAGGGCTCTAGTCGCGCTGGGTCATTCCCCCAAAAGGGTGCGAGAACTTAAACCAATACATGCTAGGCCCCAAATGTATCTCACTACAAGCCTTTAGGGGTGCTGTTTCTGGCAGATTGCTCGTCGTGTCCTTGCTCATCCTTGGAGCGTCATCCGACTTAGTAACTACAAAATCCTGTATAAGGTAGCTATAGCTTTAATTTAGTTATAGGAAACTCCAGAAAGTTGGAATATGGTTTCATGGTAGGATACCCTATAATTTACCATAGAAGGGTTAGGATAATCATATTCCAACTTTCTGGCCTTTACCTTATAACGTTACTTACTAAGTCCCATGATCCTCCAAGTAGGGCGTCGGGTCCTGGGCTCAAGGATTTGTATTTTGTCTTCAAGCCGCGGAATTGGTGCACCAGTTTCATGTTCGGTTGCGGCATTGCAGGGCGAAGGAGGTAGGGAGTCTGCGGCCACGGGCCGTTTTTTGAGTACTGATTGAGCTTGTTCTAGGCAGAGCTGGTAAATTGCAGGGCGCGAAAGCTCTGCTTTCTGGATGTCTAAGTGACGACCCAAAACCTGAATCCCGGATGCCCTTAAACCCTAAACCCTAAACCCCTAAACCCTAAACCCCTAAACCCGCAACTTGAGGTTGACATCGCCGGCATGGCCATCTGCAGCTATGAGGACCAGCCCAAGCATTTGAGCCGCTGGCAGATTGGCGAACAGCTGGGCTTCGTCGCCGTGACTGATGACCTCAACGTGTCTTGACGGTGCTAAAGCCACACTGCGGGAGGGAATAGACTATATGTGTATGTATGTGTGCGTGTATGTATATATCATATATATATATATATATATATATATAGTTGCGTATTACACGAATAGACATGTGTGTACGTGTATATGTGTGTATATGTATGTATGTACATATATATACACCTTTCCATATATATATATATATATATATGTATATATGTATATATATATATATATATATATATATATATATATTGACATTGATGTTGATATTGACATTTATACAGAGAGGTTTTATGAGGAATGATACCGAGGACTCTTTCAAGGATCCATTCCCTTTAGCACAAGTAAGGTGTTGATCTTCGGTGGTGCTGGTGGTCTGTCACTATTCCGGAAATCCGATGGACACATCACGCGCTTATACCATCCTGAGCAGAAAGTCCACCCAAACAACCGCTTCAACGATGGGAAGATTGATCCTACTGGTCGGCTGTTTGCCGGCACTATGGACATGTACAAGCCTCGCAAGGAGGGTGCCGGCTCGCTGTACTGCATGCAGTGCAACACACTGAAGAAGGTTGAGGCCGTGGGGCCTGTGACAGTGGCGAATGGCTTAGGCTGGAGCCCGGACAGCCTCACGTTCTACCACACTGACAGCCCAACGCGTGCGATCCGTGCCTTCAGCTTCGATATCCGTACTGGTGCTGTCCACGGCCCAGCCAAGACTGCCTTCAGCGTCGCTGAAGGGGTCCCTGACGGCTTGTGCGTGGACAGCGAAGGCTTTCTGTGGGTGGCCAACCTTCGTGCGGCGCAGGTCTTGCGGGTGAACCCAACATCAGGACACGTCGTTGCTCGGGTCCGGCTCCCCGTCCCCCTTGTTACGAGCGTTTGCTTTGGCGGACCCTATTTCCGTACTCTTTTTATTACAACCGCCATGGGCACGACCGATGCCGACATTGCCGAATGCACCGATGCCAATGCCGGATACGTCTACGCGGTGGAGGTTGACGTCCCTGGAATGCCCATGAGCCCATTGAAGCTTGATGGCCGAGGCCATTTATAAGCTTTGAATCGATTGAAGGATCCGTCTTCGAGAAAATTTCGATCGGGATCAGACACAAGACTATGTCAAGCACACATGTCTGGATAATCAGATAGAATGCAACATTCTTCTTTCATCGCAAGCCTACCCACTTGCAAAAGTTCATGGACATCTACGCAGATAGCAGGTCAGTGTTGGAGTAAGCTGTCCAATCTGGGCATGGGAAAGTTGGGAGTATTGTCTCTTTTAGTCCCTTCATGCCTTGCTATGGTTCCCCCGTTCAACCTTATTCATATTTTAAGGTCCCGGCACGACTTTCCTCCAAGGAGTTGGTAGTACTTATCCTGGCACAAATACTCACACTACGAAGTACCCTAACAACCAAAGATGCCTGAATACCTACATTTATAGAGTACAGGGTTGCCTCGGTAGGACGTGCTATCAAACTCTTTGGTTAAGTAGCCCCGATGTAGGTAGTTAAGGCCCATTGGGAAGCCTAGTACCCCTTTGCATGATTCATTTCAGGGAGATGAATACCAGGAAAAAGGTACCTTTACTATTAAAGGGACACGGGGGAACCCTAAACCCTAAAGCCCTAATGGGCCCTAAATACCTAGCTTTTGAGGTCCCCTGTTTTGCTTCCCCTCCCCGCAGGAGTACTTCATGGAGCTCGCTACAACACGGACAGCTCGGCCTCTCTCTGCACAACCCCGTCTATCCCATATCCCTTAATTAAGGGAAATACCCTAACTTAATTAAGGAATATACCCTAACTTAATCATATTGACGTGGTCTATACTATAATTTCAGGTGCATTCATTAATCATGGGATATTGGAAGGGCTGGGAAGCGACTCTGGTGGCTGGCGGGCCTTGCTGACACAGAAACACCTTGAATGAAGTAATGCAGAAGCATGAATATTTACCAATATTTACCAATTTGTCCTTCCAGGGTCCCGTGAGATAGCCAGGTATACCATGCCATACTCCGGCACCGATTTTAGACAGATCGTCAAAGAGAACCTGCCCCATAACAGTGCTTCTCTAGAGTTTAGACACGCAGGTAAACCTACTATCTCAAAGTCGAGTACGTGCCCTAGAGCAATGCAGACTCAGAGGGTCCACGTACCCAAACAGGAGGCTTGTAGGTCGCCCATACTATACTCTGAATTGTTTTTGGTACTTAAAACCTTGCTAACTTACTGTTTGGGCACGTTGACCGTTAGGGAGAATCAACCTCCCGTGCAAGATAGAACTAAAACCCAGAGACGTAAAACACCTGACCTAGTTAGTTCTTGAACCCAGCAGCAAAGCCCTAAGACCCCACCTCCCAAAACCCCAACTTACCACAAACTCTAAACCCTGAACCCTTATCCTTAAACCAGCACCCCCAGTTCATTTCCGAAGAGAGTGCTGATGCGTCTGAGACGAAATTGATTCCAAATCTTAAACCCTGCCTGAACCCAGCTACACTACGTACCTTTTGTAATTTAGGGTTCCTCAGTCTGCTTTCCTCATACAAATCCTGAATCGTAAGTTTGATTTGGTTTTCGTGTAAACACCCCTAAAGCCCAGAACCCCCAATTCCCTAAAATCCCTAAAACCCCTAAACACCCTAAACACCCTAAACACCCTAGCCCCCCCAAACACCCTAAACACCCTAAACACCCGAAACACCCCAAACACCCTGAACACCCTAAACACCCTAAGCACCCTAAGCCCCCTAAACACCCTTAACTTCCTAAACACCCTAAACACCCTACACCGTGAATCCTAAACCCTGGAACCTAATCCCTAGACCCCAAACCCTTTAAAGGAACCCTAAACCCGAAACCCCGAACCCTAAACCCTCATCCCTGAAACTTAAACCCTAAACCCTGAACCCTTTTGCATTCGACAGGCGAGGAGTGGCTCGCTGGGGGAGGCTCGCTACACCTTGGCCGGGTCGCTTTGACAGCGCTTTTTGTTTTACAGTAAACCCAATAAAGTTGGGAACCGGATGAAGGCCAAATACTGCTGGGGTTTCAGCCGTGCATGGCCACTTTTTGTTGTAAAGGGGATTCGGGTATACCCTTAGCCCTACACTGCAATCATCCTTTCGTTTAGAGAACGACAAGTACCGAACAAGTAGTGCAAAAAGTGCGAAACACTGGGTGTGCAAAAACCCAGGCCCCATGACAGTCCCTTCTGTTTGTTCTATATCCTAAACCCTATAACCCTAAACCCTATGCCCCAAACCCTAAACCCTAAAAACAAGCCTTTTGTTTATGGGGACAGCAATGTCCTCGACTAGGACCAGGAGCTTTATCTAAACCTCGGCTTCGATCCCAAATAGAATCAGAAGTCCTGAGTAATGCTATTCCTGTTGTAAGGGCTCCTAATCATAGCTCTGACATGCGTGTTCCCTAGCAGGCCTTATTCTGAAGGCCCCTGCGAAAGAAGCGGTTTCCTATAATGTATTTCTGTGTAGTACCCAGACCCCAGGGAGGATCCAAAAAGTAGATCCGTTAACTGGGTTTACCCTTCAAAAGTATCTGGTTCCAAAAGATGAGATCTAACCCTAAGGGTCCATGTACCCAGATCTAACCCTAAGGGTCCATGTACGCATATAGCATATACTTCGGGCCCGATGTACCTATACAGGGACATGGACCCTTAACCCTGAACCCTTATAGAGCCCTTATAGCAACCCTTAAAGGAACCCTTATCGGATCCCTCAAAGGACCCCTTAAAGGATCCCGAGTACATGGACCCTTGGGGTAATTCCTAGATCCTCCCAGGAGTCTGAGTAGGCCTTTGTCGACGCTGGGTTGTTCAGTGCTGGCTGTGCAACATGAAATCCCTTCCCTAAGACTCCAAGTATACAAATAGTACTTACTTTGTTTGGGCTCTTTGGAGTCTTCGGGCTTATAGATCCCTTAAAGACCCCTTTCTAGAACTACCCTTGTAGAAACCCTGTAGAAACCCTGGTGGGTCCATTCAAGGAGCCCCTAAACCCTAAACCCCAACCCTGAATCCGTAAAACCGTAAACCCTAAACCCTAACCCTAAAAGGGACCCCAAGTTAGAGAGACGTACCGTTATAGCACCCTTGTAGAAGCCCTTCTAGTCGATCCCTTCCAGGAACCTAACATGGACCTACTCTGAAAGGAAGCCTGCCAGACAGGGACGTGAAACGGGACCCAACTTAGAGAACTGCCCAGATCCTTTCAAGGAGCCCCTACAGGGGACCCTGATCTTAAGGAAGTCCCAAACCCTAAACCCTGATAGATAGATCCTTGAAGGAACCCTTAAACGGGATCCCATAAATTCCCTTAAAGGGACCCCCAACTTTTGAGAACTACCCTTATAGCACCCTTATAGACGCCCTTATGGTAGATCCCTTCAATGAGCCCTCAAAGACACCCTAAACGGGACCTACCTTTTTAGGAACCCATAGATAGATCCCGTGAAGGAACCCCCAAGAAAGGGATCCCATGGATCCTTTTAAGGAACCCCTCAACAGGGACCCAACTTTCGAGGGGAATCTAAGACGACGTGACCCTATTTTTTTGAACTTCCCCGGCATCTCAGGTTGGGATCCCATAGACTCTTTTACGGAACTTCTAATTAAACAGGCCTTGATCTTGGAAATTTCCCGCGTCTCAGGTTGGGGTCTACCATAGCCCCATAGATTCATAGATCCCTTTAAGGAGCCCGTACAAAGGACCCCAACTTTTGGGAACTTCCCGCATCTCAGGTTGGGATCTTGGCTCGAGAGGTGATGGCCCTCCTGGGCACCCACGACGCGCCGAGGTCACTGGAGGTCGGCGCTTGGGGGATTTAGGAGATATAGGGCTTGAGGGGTTTGGGTTTTCCAGGGAGGGGGGGGGACTATAAGGGTATTGTAGAGGTACCATAAGGTTACTATAAGGGTAGTTCTCTGAGGTCTCTGGAGGTCGGAGCTTGGGGTATTTTGGGGATTTAGGGGTTTAGGGGGTTTAGGAGTTTAGAGGTTTAGGGGGCATAGGGTTTAGGGGTTAGGGTTTAGGGGGCTTATGTAGGTGTTTAGGGTTTTTAGGATTTAGGGTTTTGGGGTTTTTTAGGATGTAGGGTTTAGGGATTTAGGATTTAATTTAGGGTTTAGGGTTCAGGGTTGCCGAAAGAGTACTACAAGGTACTATAGGGTTTCTATAAGAGTACTGTAAGGATATTGGGTAGTTCTCTGAGGTCTTTGGGGGTCAGTTCAGGGTATGAGGTTTAGGGTTCAGGGGTTCCGTAAAGGGATCTATTTTGGGAATACAGCGCTTTGGGGGTATAGGGGTTAAGGTCACTGGAGGTCTGAGCCTAGGGTTCAGGGTATAAAGTTTAGGGTAAGAGGTTTAGGGCTTTAGGGTTACGGGGTGAATGGAGGTCGGAGCTTGAGGGTTCAGGGATTGGGAGTTTAGGTGTTTCGGGTTTTAGGTTGATACGGGTTGGGATTTAAAGGTTTAGGTGTTTAGGGTTGAGGGTTTAGGGGTTGAGGGTGTAGTTTAGGGTTTGGGGTTGAAGGTTTAGGGTTCATGCGGAGCTTGCCTTTTCGTTTTTGAGGGTTGGGGGTGGGGGGAGGGGGAAAGGGAGGGGGTGGATTATGGGGCCTATGCGGTTCAGGGTGCAGGTCGAGGGCTTCGAATTTGCATAGAAAATATGTACCGATATAGTAGAATGTAGGGTTTCCATATTAGGAATTACTATTATGACTTAGGGAAGTATCCCCCGTGACAGTACATAGGACCCTTTGGGAACATATATCTACATGGTCGGCACGGTGGAGCTTCCGACTTCCAGAGTTGTCGCTCAAGTGGGAGTTTCCGAAGCTTAGGGGTACCTTATCTTGGGGTCCTTATCATAAGGATCCTACTACCTAGGGTACTATGTAAGGGTCTCCCTATTTTCGGAAACTCCCAAGTGCTTAAGGCAGCGTTGGAGCAGCGAACCACTGCCCTGGCCTAGGATGCCCAGTAGTACCCTTATTCCCTTTCTGTAGTCCTAGGTTCCTTTTAAAGGCACCCAATACCAAAAAGGGCGCCCTTTTTTTCTTACTGGGTTACTGGGCATCCTAGTGCCTATAAGGCACAAGTTCCACAAACAAACACAAGTTGAGGGCCTTTCATTCGGGTCTTGATACCCATGAAGCTTTCAATCATCATGCATGCTTGCGAATCTGTTGTGTTTAGAGGTGCTTCGGGTACGTAGATTCAAGACATGTGCGCGAGAATCTGGCAGAGAATCTGACCGGATGTCGTTTCACAGCCGAATCTGTATTCATGTTATTGAAGAGATCCATTGAATACATGAAATTGTACTGACAATCTTTGTCGGTATTCCGTATTCGGAAACTCATGCCAGATGTGTTCGTAATGCGAACAAGTTAGATGAAGTCTCTATGCTGCTCAAACCCTGAACTCCAAACCGCCGGATGTATTTACGTTTTCAGCGGTCTGTCTTCGAGCCAGGACAGCCAGGATGTGCAACCGGTCAGCGAGAAATACGCACTTCGGCCTTACAGCGATCACTGGCTTGCGATTGAGATGCTTACCCCAGCGCCGCAATGTAGTAACCTACCCAGACCTTCCAAAATCCCTTAATTAGGGAATCTACCTTAAATCATATTAGGGATCCTACTATAATTTAAGGTAGATTCCTTAATTAAGGGATTTTGGAAGGTCTGGGTATGTTGCGGTTACGACGCCGCAAGGAGTAGGGGTATAACAGGAGGAATACAGAGAGACCCCGTAAAATGTAATCAACTGCAGCGTGGAGTTGGGTGCCGACGGCAGCAACAGGAATGGTTTGGCGGGGCCAGAGTCCGTACAAGTAGTCAGGCAGTCTATATCACATGGACCCTATAGGAACAATTCCGTGAAAGCAAGGTAGGTGTTCTTGGTGACAAGATACCACGACACCATAGGCGTGAGATGATGCAATCAGTAGTGATCCATCCGCATATGAATGTTTTTCGGGTGCCTGCATTTCTGTGTGCCAATGATGCTGAACGTTCTTTGTTGTTGTTCAGGCTCGCACATTGCTGCTTTGGCTGTGGGTTTGCGAGAGCATGTGGCATGTGGCACTCTATATCCCAGGTGGACGACATCACGCAAGAGCCAGTCTGGGACAAGACTCCCGTGTGTCTGCGCGATGGAGGCATCTTGGATTCGGAACCTTCAGTTCCATGGCCTCGTGTTGATTCGGCGGGATAGGTTTTTGGCAAAGCACCCACCGCTACTGTCATTCTCCGCACCACCAGCACTACCCCACCAACAGCAGCAACCGCAGAAGAGGACAATAGGAACGACCTGCACGATACCACATACCCCCCAAACACTAAGCCCTAAACATCCCTAAACCTACACACTGAACCCATCTGAACCCTATCACGGAGCGCTAAATCCGGAATCCCGTCCCGGCTGCCCTGAGAGGCATCTTGTCCTGGGTACGGCCGAGTAGCGAGCGGCCGACTCTGCAGGCGGCGACTGTCCTAGGCTTAGGGTCCCAAAGGATCCAAAGTACCTTTATAGTAGAACCTAGAGGCTCATACCCTACCCCTTTTTTTAAAGGTACCTCACTTTCTATATAACAGCTCCTAACCATAAAACTAGGTATCCTAAAAAAGGGGTAGGGTATGACCCTCTAGGAATGTAGGGTTCCTATAGCAGGAATTACTATCATGATTTGGGGAAGTATCCCCCTCATAACAGTACTTTGGACCCTTTGGGGGTTGAGGAGCTCAGACTGAGTAATGTAGGGACCTGCTTAAGAAACCCTGGCCCTATAGCCCCCCAAAATAATAGGATTCATATAAGGAACCCTAATAAAAGCCCAAGGTTTCTTAGTCAGGTTCCTACATTACTTAAATAGCACAAAAAAGTATAAACTCAGGCCTCAAAGGGGTTCCTATTCATCAGCTTGATGGTGCGCCATCTACATACTAGCTGTACATGTTGTTTTGTTGTTTTCTCTATCTCTCTCTTTGTCTCTGTCTCCGTTTCTTTATCTCTATCTGTCTGTGTATGAAAGTGTGTATATATATATATATATGTATGTATGTATGTATGTATATATATATATATGTATGTATACATATATATATATATATGCATACATACACACATGCGCCATACATACGTACATACACACACACACGGCTCTCGCTGTCTGTAAATATGTGTATAGATACTAGTTTGGATATCTTGTAACTACGTAACTATGTGTGTATGTAAATGTATATGTAGATGCGTACATCTACATGTTGTGTACGTGTATGCATATGTATGTGTATATTTGTATGTTACGTATATGTATACGTTCATACGCTTGCGGATGTATATGCATATGCACACATATGTGCAGTCGTGAATATGTTAAGGTCTATGTCTATAGACGCATGTGTGAGTTTGTATGCATGCACTTTATGTGTATGTGTATACACAGACACAGAGAGAGAGAGAGAGAGAGAGAGAGAGAGAGAGAGAGAGAGAGAGAGAGAGAGAGAGAGAGAGAGAGAGAGAGAGAGAGAGAGAGAGAAAAAAAGAGAGAGAGCGCGGGAGAGAGAGAGAGAGAGAGATGTGTACAGGTATACGTCCACACATAGATCCTTAGGTGTATGTCGAAGACTGCTTACCCTGCATGGCCCGACAGTGCTCTCAAGGCAATCTGTCAGGCTTGATTGCGGCAAAGCCCTAAACCCTAAACCGTTTGTGAAGGCAGTGCCGGTCTCACAGTTTTGTTACGCCTTTCTGCGCAAGCAACTGCACGCAGACCCCGCTCCCCCCATGACCCTATGAGCCGCAAGTCCCACAGCCTAAGCCGTAAGCTCAGAAAGCATAGCCATAGGCCGGAATCCCCGAAGCCATGATAGCAAAAGGAGTCACTAGGCACTCTGTCAATGGCGGCAAACGTTTCGATGTTGGCAGTAAACCCTGAACCCTAAACCCTAAACCCCACCCTAAACCCTAAACCCTAAACCCAACCCTAAACCCTAAACCCCACCCTAAACCCTAAACCCCACCCTAAGGCCTAAACCGTAGTTGGCAGGAGCGCCACGAAGAACGATCGCCCACCTTGGATGCTCAGCGTTTGGGGGAGGCCGGCAGCTGGAACCTCACTTGCAAAGGACTGGGGCTAGGATTCTCAGCCTCTAACACGAAGACTCCAAAACAGCCCAAAGTAGGTAGTATTTACAGACTTTAGACTCCAAAGTAGGTACTATTTGTATACTTGGAGTCTTAGGGTAAGTAGTAATGCAGGTTAGTACGTGGCTCCCTACAGAATCGGCTCCATAGTAGTTCCTTTTCGGGACTACCTTATAAATAGGATTCTATATATGAACCCTCAAAAGGAACTACTATGGAGCCTTAGGGTAAACCCGAAACCCTAAACCCTTAAACCCTTAACCCCTAAACCCTGAACCCCTAAACCCTAAACCCTTACATTACCCCCACAAAGGAATTACTAATTACTATGGAGCCTTAGGGTAAGGCCAGGTTCAGAGCCGAGATTCGGTTGATGGTATAAATCCTGCATTACCATAAGGACCCTAAACTATGGGAATTATGGTATATCCCTCATTATGGGTAATGCAGGATTTATATCATCAAGCCTATAGATCCCTTAAAGGAACCCTTCCAAGGTACCCTTATAGATCCTTTTAAAGGAACCCAGGATTTATATCATCAACCGTAACACAGCTCCATGGCTCCATGTCGGGGCCTTTTTAAGTCGCCGAGGCTTCGATGTCTGGACTTGCCCACAGGGTCTCTCTCTGTCTACATGTATATACATACGGTATACTTATATAATATCTTGGAAGATAAGAAAATACCGCATAACATAATATAACATAGTATGTATGTATGTATGTGTGTATGTATATATACGTGTATATAGATATATATACATACATATGCGACTATTATGTTGTGGAACTAGGTCACCCGCAACCATTTTTAGCGTGGCCTTTGGGGGCCGCAAACCACAATGGCAGTGTGTTTGGACCCTCTGAATTAGGTCATCCGCAACCATTTTTCAGATGGTCTTTTGCGGCCATTGTAGTGTATTTGGACCCTCTGACTTAGTTCCGTTCGATAACTGGTAAGCTTCGTGCTCCAGATCCTGCAGAGATGCGTGCTAACGCAGCTCCGTCCTTAGATGTTGCTTACGTTGTCTATCGTTTAGGACCCTCTTGTGACAAGTCGGGTAACCGCAAAAGAATATTTGCATGTACTGCTAACCTAGGACAGCAGAGTTCAGGGTGGAGAACTGTGGGCTTGCGCTTCCCGCCTTACAACAAGACAGAGCATAACAGCCTGTAGAGCCCTTGTAGTAGTCTTATCAAAGCCTCATCAAGCCTAGACCTCGATGATCAACGCTGTTCTTAATTTAGCGGGGCTTACATGTATGATTCAAGGTTGAGTATTCGAGTTCGGTGCCTCGATTTCCTTTTGGCAGGTTGGACCTCTTCGCGGCAGCAGTGTGCTTCGGCCAGCGTACTTGGAGGATCATGGGACTTAGTAAGTAAGGCTATACGTACCCTAATTGGGATTATAAGTATTTTTTCTAAATTTGCCCTATTTATAACCCCAATTACTAAGTCCCATGAGCCTCCAAGTATGGTTTAGGGGTTGAGGGTTGGGGGTTTGGGGCTGCTCTCGGGATGTCAGTTCATTGATGCTTGGAGTTGAAGTTTTTATTGGCTAGACCATGGCTGGTACCCAGACCCCCGGGAGGATCTAGAAAGTAGATCCCCTAATATGGGGTCCTATACATAATACGAAGGGTACTTTATAGGAACCCCTATTAATCATTAAGGGATCGACTTTTTGGATCCTCCCGGGGGTCTGGGTACTTGTAGCCTCGAAAAATATTTGCCACAGTTCGTATTATAGTGCCTATCAATACAGGGCCAGAACCATATCCCCAAAGGTCCAAGACCCACATAGTTTAAAGCAGGATTTCGATAGTAGCAATTGCTATGCTGGTTTGGGTAAGTATCGCTCATATAGGTACTTACTTAGGACCCTTTGGGTACAACAGGCTATCCCGTAAGAAGGTGGGAGCCAATGTGGATGCGTGTTTCTTGCCTATCTACGGCTCCATTGTGTTTTCCTATTAGCCGATATTCATATTCACGGATCCTCGCCATAAAACTTGCTAACTGCTAACCAACAAAGGAACTACAATGCAGAGTATAGGTAGACACCCAACCGCGAATATCCTCAAAACTCAACATGCTTAACCCGCCACAACAAGGCCTATGGCCTACAGACTCCTGATGCAGTTCGGAGAACAGCGGTCCCTGCAACGCCTGAATGAAACGCCCTAGGCCCTGAAACCCTCAAAACCCCTGAAACCCTCAAAAACCCTCAAAACCCCTAAGCCCCTGAACCCCTAAACCCCTGCAACCCCTAAACCCTAAACCCGAAACCCTAAACCCTAAACCCCTAAACCCTAAACCCGAAGCCCTAAACCCTAAACCCCTAAACCCTAAACCCGAAGCCCCGAGGTCGAGTACATGGGGCCCCAGCGAAGTCCGCAGACGCCGGGCGGAAGCGACCCAGAGGGCTCTCTCTACGTGCTGCTTTTCTACAACCTAGTAGTCTAGGATGCCCAGTAGTACCCTTATTCCCTTTTGTAGTCCTAGGTTCCTTATAAAGTTACCCAATACCAAAAAGAGAGGCCTTTTTATTCTTAGGTTACTGGGTATCCTAGTAGTAGAGTAGGTAACCTTTGACCTTGTTTTGGGTAGTATAGTCCCTATATAATCCCTGCATAACCAAAAAGGGTTAACCTTTAGTTCCCCATGATACCCGACAAGTAGGGTCACAACGAGTAGTCATACATACATACATACATACATACAAACATACATACAAATACACATGCACACATACACAGGCATTGCGTACATACATACACATAAACATATACACACGTTCGCACATATGACCAGTACAGACCCCTCAAACTAAACCTTTAAAGTTGTAGAAACACCTCATGATGATAGCCCTACACCCTGAACCAGGACCTCTAAGAAACCTGTAAAGTACAGAAGTCCTACAAAACAAAACTCCTTGTAGACTACACGTCCTACAGAAGCGACAACCGCACAACAAGATAACACACCTGAACAACGGCAAAGCATTGAATATCCTCAGGCACCAAGCCCACGGAAGCGACATACACACACTCAAACAACACATAACATCGTTACGTGCCGACGTATGTAGTCGCATGTCTGTATGCGCAGAGACATGCAGGTACACACGTACAACTGTTCTTAAGCAAACACGTCTGTGCGAGCGTGCTGAAGGAAGAGAGAGAGAGAGAGAGAGAGAGAGAGAGAGAGAGAGAAGAGAGAGAGAGAGAGAGAGAGAGAGAGAGAGAGAGAGAGAGAGAGAGACAGAGAGAGAGAGAGACAGAGAGACAGAGAGACAGAGAGACAGAGAGACAGAGAGACAGAGAGACAGAGAGACAGAGAGACAGAGAGACAGAGAGACAGAGAGACAGAGAGACAGAGAGACAGAGAGAGAGAGAGGGAGAGAGAGAGAGAGAGAGCGAGGGAGAGAGAGAGAGAGAGAGGGAGCGAGAGAGAGGGAGAGAGAGAGAGAGAGAGAGAGAGAGAGAGAGAGAGAGAGAGAGAGAGAGAGAGAGAGAGAGAGAGAGAGAGAGAGAGAGAGAGACAGAGAGAGAGAGAGAGAGAAAAAGAGAGAACGAGAGACAGCAACACAAACGGCGGCACAGGATGTAAGGGCAGCAGACTCAGAAGAAGACGGGGCGGCACGGAAAGAGAGACCACAGGGGGCACTCCAGTCTTTCTCCCTGAACCCTGAACCCTATGAAGCCGAAACCTTCCTGAGCTCTTTCTGTTTTTGTTGCCCACGCCTTTCTACACCCTAAACCCCTTAACCCCTAAACCCTAAACCCCTAAAACCCTAAACCCCTAAACCCTAAACCCCTAAGCCCTTATGGTACCCTGCTAAACCTTGCGGATCAACTCTGAGGTTTCGCATCTTTCCGACCCACAACCTCCGCCGCCAACCCTTAACATTTGCAGCAGATCCTTGGTTGCTTTCATGCAGCCCCAAGGATCCAAAGTACCTATCTAGTAGAATGTAGGGTTTCCATATTAGGAATTACTATTATGACTTAGGGAAGTATCCCCCATAACAGTACATAGGACCCTTTGGGTTCATGCAGGGCCCCTTTCAAGTCAGGCGCATAGGTTTCTTATTGTGACGTTCGCAGAGTCAGTTTTGGTAGCTTGCCTTGTTTTAAAGGGGTCAAGGCGGCCCAGCAGCCCAAAATGCACGGTCTTGTGCCCAAATGCTTGAGATCGTGATAAAATAGAGCCTTAGGCCTATCGGTGCAAAGCCTGAGAGCCTTTGAAAGCCCATCATGCTTGCCATCTCATGCGACTTAGCATGAAAGCTCACGATGTACTAGATATACAGGGCTTTGTGCAAACGCTTCGGTTCGGGCGGTTGGTACCATGCAGAGATTAGTTCCTGTTCTTGGTGTTGGCTCATTTTTGCTTATAGGAGGTGAGCCGCCAGATTCAGCGTTGTGGGAGGCTTAGTGACTTAGTGTTTTGATGTAGTTGAGGCAGCAAATACGTTTTCTTATGTATACAGGTGTACATTGCATTTGGACTCCTCAAGGACCGGTCTCGAAGCTGGAATCCTCTTAAGGTAAAAGCCAGGAAGTTGGAATATGATTATCCTAAACCCTTTATGGTAAATTATAGGGTATCCTACCCTGAAACCATATTCCAACTTTCTGGAGTTCCCTTTAGAGCTTCAGGGATCAGCAGTATCTTCATCCGTCGTCAAACGATAACCACACCTTGGTTCAACTTTCACATGCTTAAGCCCCGCCCCCTACGACCATACTACGGTTGATGATACAAATCCTGCATTACCTTAAGGACGCGAAACTATGGAATTTATGGCATATTCCTTATTGTGGGTAATGCAGGAGTTTTATCATCAACCGTAGTTGCAAGATCAGGGGACTTGGTAGCTGTGGTGTGCCTGGTTGATGCACGGTCCACGTCCACATGAAATGCCCCGAGACGGGTCCGGCAAGTAGATCCTTTCTTGCCGTTCTTCTGGTTGGCTCTTAGGACTAACTTTTTGTCCTTCTATATGAACTATAATAAGGAGGCTAAAAGTTTAATTTTTAGGAGGGGTTCAGAAGTCAGCCAAGCTTTTGTCGTCCCGACGATAGTAAGTATGGTATAATCTAACCCAAAACCCTGTCCTGATGATTAAGGCCCCTCTACCCTACACCCTGTCATAGAACCCTTAAAGGGAGCACCTTAAAAGGAGCCCCACTCCAATTACTGACCCCCCCCTCGTGAGGAGAGTTTGGCGGATGCGGAACTGTGGATCGCGAAGCTGCAAGCTGGAATGGCCCCTCCGCGGCCGCCGCCGCCAGCAGCGCGAAGGTCCTTGGTTTAGGGCCGGAGGGTTGAGGGTTTACACAGGGTTTAGGGTTTATATAGGGTTTAGAGTTTAGGGTTGCGGGTGATAGGAATGTCTTTGGAGTTTGGGGTGTCATCAGGGTTGGGGGTTGAAGAAACTAAAGCTCCGAAAACCTAAAGCCCTAATCCCTGAACCCCAATCCCTAAAAGCCCCTAACCCGAATCTCCGAATCCCTAGAAGCCCTAAATTCCGCAGGTGCGCTCGCCTGGTGGTTTCTTAGGCCCTGAACCCTAAACCCCAAAGCCCTAAAAACCTAAACCCCTAATTCCTAAACCTCAAAGCCTTAAAAACCCTACAAAGAAACCCGATATCCCTAAACCCCAACCCCTAAAATCCCTAGTCCTTATAAGCCCCTAATAGGGCTCCCAAAAAGCACATGAGCAAAAAATGGGGTAGGGATATCCCACATGAGCCCCCTTATAATGCAGCCCATGAAGGTAGGGATATCTCTATAAAATACTTATGCGTGCTTTTCTTGGCCCCTAACCTAAAGCCCGCAGGTGCGCCTTATTTCGGGGTCCTCGAAATAAGGATCCGACTATTTAGGGTACTATTAGGGTCACCTATTTTCGGAATCTCCCAAATCTCTAAAAGCCCATCCTTAACTCCCGAATTAAACCCCAAACGTCGCCCGACACCCCAAAGCCCTAATCCCTAAATTTAAGAGCCCTAACTTCCGTATAATAAGGATCCTACTATTTAGGGTACTATTAAGGTCCCCTAGTGTCGGAAACTCCCAAATTCCCAAAAACCCAACCCTAAATCCCTATTCCCCCTAAAACTAAGAGCCCCAAAATCCCCTAAAGCCCCTAAATTCCTAAAAGCCCTACATCCCTAAAAGTCCCTAAATCCCCAAAAAAACTCAAAAGCCCCCTACAGGTGCGCTCGCCTTGTGGAGTTCTGGGAGGCCAAAGGTCCGCCCCCGGAGGCCGAGCCTCCTCCGGCCTGGCTGCGCCTCGAGGCAGCTGGGGTTGAAGTTTAGGGTTTCGGAGGGCTTATAGGGTTTAGGTCTTAGGGTTTAGGGTTTAGGTCTTAAGGGCTAGGGTTTAGGAGCTTGGGGTTTATGTGGGTAGGAGGGCTTAGGGTTCAGGGTTTAGGAGGGCTTAGGGTTTAGGGTTTAGGAGGGTAGGAGGGCTTAGGGTTTAGGGTTTAGGAGGGCTTAGGGTTTAGGATGTTTAGGGTTTAGGGTTTCGGAGGGTTTCGGAGGGTTTAGGAGGGTTTAGGGTTTCGGAGGATTTAGGAGGGTTTAGGGATTTAGCTTAGGGTTGAGCGGATGGTTTGGATTTTAGGGCTGGTTTTGTGCTTTTCTGTTATGACCTTTTCAAAAAAATTGGCGCAATGGGCACATCCGAAAGCTCGGTAGAAGCACGCATCTCCATGCTTTCGCCACCAAAACAAATGAGTGCAAACCGAGCGTTGCGCTGGCTCTTAGAGCACAACCCCGGCTATGCCGGCTGGAAAAGTGCCTTAGATGACCAGCTGAGAACACCAAACAAGCCAGCCACTTTGCCCCCTAGTGCCATCCTGAGCATTTTATAGAGCAGACCCTTCACCAAGGAAGGGCAAGCAGCCGGCCAGCAGCATGCTAGCATGAAAGCAGCATACGTCTCCAAGCTAGTCTGCCCGATCTCGGACATCAGGCCGGGTTCTGAAACTGGTGCCGATGACCAGCCGATCCTCAGAACGGCCTGGATCTCGCCTGTCGTCACCCTCCAGCATGTCGCATTGCATGTATTCCTGTCCCAGCTGTGCTGGTTTTATGCCTTGCTATCCCCACCGCGACTGTGTTTTGCTGCCATCCCTAGCTGCGTTGCTTTTGCTACCCTGATTGCTCCATGGAACCGAGGGGCAAGTTGTGGAGTTTGACGTTGCCTTGGATGATCGTGGAAGGACGGTTCGCAGCTTGGTTTGTGGCAATATGCGTGCATAGGGGCAACGGGTAGCCATCTGCTACCACGACTTCTGCCGTGTCACGTGAAATCCCATCGAATGTTATGGGGGATCATCGCCCTCGTGAAATGTGGAATATCTCCGACGGCCCGAGCAGTGCCGGGTGCAGTGCGTTGAGGTGGCGAAGCGAATCATCACACGAGCTTTGCTGAGACCCGACGATTGGACTGGCCTATGCAGTTAGCTACGCCCTGCTCCAATTTCAATTTGACAGATACATCCTTCGGGATGTGGCCGCTCGCTGGAGCATAGGGCAGGCGAAGGCCTTGCCAGGTGACCGTGCATTTAAGGCCAGGCACTGGAGTCCAGGGCATTGGAGGAGGCATCATCGGCTCCTAGTGGATGTGGTGGAGGTGTTCGGAGAGCCAGATTTGTCACCATCAGCCCTTGAGAATTGTCTTTCCCGTTTCCTTATTGGGTCGAGCGTGCGCATAAGCTGCTCCAGAAAGGACCCACGGACCTTCCCGGGCCTGAGACATTGGCCATAGCCCATGCCCTGCAACAAGCTGGCAGGTTGCACAGGCGCAGGTGGCGCAGCAATCTTTTATCAGGTCCAAGGCCGATGCACGACTGTCCGGAGTGCGTTGCTACTTTGGTCGATTTGAGTTTCAAGACCACGGCCTACAACGGGAGTACGGCAAGGGCCGCGGCAAGCCGCACGTGCATATCCTCGTCTTCTGGCTTGAGCGAATTCCAGGGCTCATGCTCCACCACCAGATCCTCGCACACATGCCGTCCGCGGACCCAGAAGTGACGGAGCTGGCCCGTCGATTGCTAAGCAGCATGACTTGTGCAGGCTTGGCAATGTTTAGCAAGGGTTGACAGGGTTTGGAAAACGGTGCTTGTTGGGGGTTGGGGTTTTTTGGAGCTAGATTGGCAGAGTGCAGATTGTTTGTTTGGTGGCTTGTTCGAGGACTTGGGGAGGTTTCGTTGCAGTGCAAAGGAGGCTTCTTAAGGTGGTGCTAAGTGGTGATTATGTGTTTCAGTGGGAAGTTGGACAAAGTTACATGAACGCAGCTCTAGAGAGTGCGCAATGACGGGATCACAGAGCGAGCCCCAGAGGCAGAGTATGCTCCTATTGGAGCTGTGCGAGTCGTGTCCAAACCTTGTGACCGTTCTGAAATACTGAAGCCATCAAAAGCGAAACAAAATCCGTAATAATTAAAAGCTGCTTTTAAACCCCGGATGCAACCATCGTAGTAGCACGGTTGCATAAATAAAGACCTTATAGAGGACCTTCGAAACCAATGCCCAAAGCCCTATACCTTGAACCCAAGCTTGTCCACTTCTGCCTCTCGTCCCGAACCTGAACCGTAAACCTTTAAACCCCTAAACCCACACCCTAAATTTACAAGTACCCTTATCCAAACCGTTGCTTCTAAGAACCCGTGGAAAAACCATAGAATCCTTATTTTGATGTTAAGAGAGCAACGCAAGAATTACCTTTCTTCCCGAAGCTTCTCACAGGCGAAGCTTTAAATCCTAAACATCCCTAAGCCCTAAATAAACCCTAAACCCCCAAACGAACTTTAAATCCTAAACATCCCTAAAACCTAAGCCCTAAATTTCCTAAATACCCCAAAGGAAGCTGCTCAGAGGTCCTTCGCACGGCTGGCCTGGTGGCATCGTCGGAGGCCGGAGAGGCGCGAAACAGCGGCGCCTCGCTTCAGGCCTGGAGTTAGGGCTTATAGGATATGGGGTCAATGGGGTAAACCTTACCTGTAGCCGAAAGGACCTACCTTTTTCAGGAACTATATATAGAGTCCATAATAAGGTAGGGCTTATATACTTATAGGATATAGGGTTGAGGGAACCCAACGGGTCCTAAGTACTCTTATGGGGGGATATTTCCCTAAGTCATGATAGTAAATCCGAAGATGAAAATGGAAACCCTACATTCTACTATATCGGTACATGGGACCCTTAGGGGGAATTTAGTCAGACTTTATAGGACCATTGTTCACGGTTTGATGCGGCTTGCAGTATCTGCGGGATTTGGCATGGCTTCTTGGGACGGACTTCGTGTTTCGTTTGCAGGGTGTTTATGCTTGTCGGGATAAGGAGTTTCTGGGGCAATGTTACTGTATCGTTCAAGGGTTCAAGAGATTTCCCCGTTTTGGAGGGTGGTTCATGACCCAAAGGGTCCTATGTACTGTTACTGGGGATACTTCCTTAAGTCATACTAGTAATTCCTAATATGGAAACCCTACATTCTGCTAAGTATATCGGTACATAGGACCCTTTGGGTGAGGTCTTGTCTGGAGCTGGTAGTGCTTGGAAACGCTGCTACATCTGCGGTTTTTGTTCGTGGCTTGGTCGCCGCACCTTCGGGTTTCTTGGCTAAGGGTTTAAGTGTGGGATTCGGAACTCTTAGGTTTTGGTATCGACGCCTTGAAAGTTCGCCAATTCTAGCTAGCATTGTTTGGCCAATTCGGAGCGCAGAAAACTGTCGGATTTAGGATACAGTTAGATGGTGGCCAACCCTGCAAGCCAAGAATGTGAGCAACACGGGCCCGCAGCGTCCTGCAAAGTTATGGGTAGACTGAGCAGTTCTGCTCACCCAGCTTCCCTAAGGGACTCAATAACTAGGTACTTGAGTTTAGGATCGCAATAGTGTAGCTTCCATAGTGAACGTTAAGTTCAGGAAAGGAAGCAGGCCGCTGTGAAATCGTATAATAAAGGTTCCAAAAACTAAGCTGCTAAGCTTGTTCAAGACAGGCCGTGTTGGCGGGTTCTACGTTTCAGGCCCTTCAATTTCAGGGGCTTATAGACGCCTTTGGGGATCCATGCTTTTCCACTTCCGACGGAAGTTTCCTCCTACAAGGCCTCCCGAGATCCAGCAGCCAAGAACCGGGGATGTACGGAGACGGATGGTGCAGGGTTCTATACCGAAAATTAGGGGTACCTTATTTTGGGGTCCTTATAATGAGGATCCTACGATTTAGGGTATTATTAGGGTCCCCTATTTTCGGAAACCACCATATTGGTTTATCTTCTTACTGGGTCAGTGCAGTATTTTCAGCAAGTTGTGGCTGGGGGGCACTGGTGTTCCAGTACTTGAATCCGTATAGTCACAAAAGCCGAATGTACCACCCCCCAAACCCTTCGTAATTATTCCGGAGCTCTACATCCTAAACCTGAGAAGCCAAAACGCACTAAAACCCTTTCTTAAACAGCAGTAACTCATACTCTCATTTTTTCAGGCCCCGATATATCGAGGCTTCCCCTGAATCCGCCGGAGGCAGAAGGAGGCCCGGCCCCGTTCGCGTCTGTGGCCGGGACTCACAACCTCTACGCCGCTGCGGATCAAGGTTATGCCCAGTGTGAGGGTGGTTTTGGGTGTTGAGTTTGAGTATTATTTAGGGCTTCAGGGGATTAAGGTCTGGAAGTTTGCAGGGCTAGTGGGCGTTTCAGTGGGCTAGAGTTTTTTTGGTGGTGACGGTCAGACGGTAGGTAGGGTCTGGAGGTTGGGGGTTAGGGTGTGTGCGGGAGGATTCGTGGAGCTTAGGTACTTGAAGGATCATGGGACTTAGAAATTGGGGTTATAAATAGGGTATCTATAGTTATAGTTACTTATAACCCAAATTAGGGTACTGATAACCTTACTTACTAAGTCCTAGGATCCTCCAAGTAGTCCCAAACCCTGAACTAAACCCTATAGCTCCCTGTAAGGAACCCTATAGGTCCCTTTAAGGAGCCCTTTCAGAACCCTTACTAAGTCCCAGGATCCTCCAAGTAGCCGGGCTAAGAGCAGATTGGGGTTTCACTGCTTCGGGCGAGGGCTGATGAGATCTGTGGCTCCGTCCCTTCTTGTAATCAGCAATCTGCATGTGGGTAATAGAGAGGGGCCTGAAGAATTGCCACAATGTTTTCCTAAGGCCTCCTTATTATCAGAACGATGCTACAGCATCCCCCCCAACACAAAACTAGTCGAATCATGGAACCCATAACGACACCTGGGTGCATGGGGCTTTCCTTGCCCCTGAATCCCAACACCTGAAAGACCCTAACTCTAAGCCCTTGAGCCCTAAACCCAAAACACTAAAAACAGATCCATGTACTCAGAGGTGTTGGGCCGCGTCCACAGTAGCTACTTTCGCACTGCCACGCGCCGCTCGGCCAAACGTTCAGTGGGAGCCCCTTCGTCGCGGCTTCGGCTTTGGATTCCAAGGCAGGTGGCTCAATCGGTCTATTTATTTATCTATACATACATACATACATACATAATTGTATATATATATATATATATATATTTACTTACATGTGTTCATTTAGGTGTAGATGGTGTAGGGTTTGAGGCGCATGGGCCGCAGTACCAAATAATGAGCTTCCTGTCGTTGAGGATAGTAGCAACTGCTTAGCATTTTTTGCGGAGCATGCGACTATTAAGTACCCAGGGAGCCCAGTACCCTTCATTAAGGAATATACCTGAACCCAAAAAGTATGTAGAATAATAGGCCCTTTGTAGGTTTGGGTCCATTGTTTTTCCTAATTTGTTGGGTAGGTTTTGGGTATACCCTAAACCCTAAATCCAAAACCTCAAGCTCTAAACCCCTAACCCTAAACCCATATAGTAGAATTTAGGTTTCCATATTAGGAATTACGGCTATGACTTGGGGAAGTATTCCCCATAAGAGTACATAGGACCCTTTGGGGAGATAAGGGCCGTTGTAGTTAAGGCAGTAGGTGGGGCAAAAACCTCTCCGAAGCTCCTCACATAGGGTTGATGCTTGGAGGATCAGGGGACTCAGTAAGCAAGGTTATAAGTACTTTAATTGGGGTTATAAGTAATTATAAGTATAGCTACTTTATAAATATTTATAACCCCAGATACTAAGTCGCATTATCTTTTAAGTGATATGAACCCTGCATTACCCACAGTAAGGAATATGCTGTCCCTGAGGGTCCATGTACCTAAATAGGGATCCTTTAAGGGGTCCTTTGAGGGATCCTTAAAGGGTTCCTTTAAGGGTTACAAAAAGGGCTCTATAAGGGTTCAGGGTTTAAGGGTCCATGCACCCAAATAGTATGTACATTGGACTCAAAGTACTCGCTATAAAGGTACATTGGGGCCAAAGTATATACTATTTGGGTACATGAACCCTTAGGGTTCAATCTCATAGTTTAGGGTCCTTAAGGTAATGCAAGATGTATATCATCAACCGCAGGGGCCTGAAGGATTGATTAAAGCTGCTTTGCCTTAGGGTTTAGGGTTTACGGTTAGGGTTTAGTATTTAGGGGTTTAGGGTTTAGGATTATGGGTTTAGGGTTTCTTATCATACTCCCAAAGGTCCGGCCCAAAGGTATTACATAAATTGCAATTTTGGAAATAGCTCCTGCAACACCATGATCAGAATGCCTTTGTCCGGGGGTCTAGTTCCTTAACCGTAGACCTCTTGGGAATGACTCCATGATATCACACCGAAACTCTGTTCAAATGACTAAGGCCCCGGATACCATTCTGTAGGGCTTGCCGTTTCAGGTAGGGACTGTACCTATTCCCGAAACACTTCCCTAAACCCTTTAAACCCTAAACCTCCCACCCCTAAACCTAAAGCCTGAACCCCTAAACCGTGAACTGCGAACTCCTAAACCCTAAACCATAAATATGCATCTCCAACTCCATAAGCCCTAGAACCCCAAACCCCTCGGCCTCAGAAACTCCGAGCCCGTAGCCTTTACCAAGCCGTGGATCCATTAACCTCGACTTGGACCTAAACCCAACGGGTCCTAGGTACTCCCATGGAGGATACTTCCCTGAGTCAAAATAGTAATTCCTAGGATGAAAACCCTTCACTCTACCATATCGGTACATAGGACCCTTTGGGAAAGAACCTGCCTTTAAGGACCTTTGTAAGGAAGTCATGATAAGGAACGGTAAAAAGGAAGGTCTTATGGGGTCCAGCAGCAACCTTAACCTTAGCCTGATCCCGAAACCGTTTAGGGTTTAGAGTTTAGGGTTTAGGGGTTTAGGGTTTAGAGTTTGGGGTTTAGACTTTAGGGTTTAAGGTTTAGAGTTTAGGGCTTAGGGCTTAGGGGTTTAGGGTTTAGGGGACGATTCCACAAACCTTACGCGCCGATGCACCCAAAGCCTAAGACCAGCACCCTAAACTTTTCATGTGTGGTGAACTTGCAGAAATTTGAAACCCGAAGATGCACAAGGATATGTGGATTGTTGCGCGGTGACGAGCCCTAAGCCCTTTCTAATCCCTAAACCCGGAAGGCCCTAAACCCTGGACCCCAAAACCTAGACGCCTATAATCCCTCCAGACCCAAGGATATGGCGTGGATTGTAGCGGGGTCACGCAGTTCGGGCACTGTTTCGAGCTTCCCCTCGTCCTGGAGCCGCTCGGGCGATAAGGTTTTTGGAGTTCGGGTTTGACTGAGGCTTAAGGTGAGGGAGGAACTTAGGCTGGCAGAGGCTGTGGATGTGAGGGTTCCTTACTTCAGGGTTCAAGAAAATGCCTCCCACTGAAGTTCGAAACTGCCAAAAGAAAACCCTAAACCTGAACCTTTACCTTAACCCCACGTAACCTACCTTTTTAAGGACTTATAGAAAGAAATCATATTAGGGAACCCCCCAAAAAGGTAGGTTCCGTAGGGTCCAGGTAACCTGTAGTCAGCCTCCTCCCCCCCTAAACCCTAAACCCTAAACCCTAAACCCTAAACCCCTAAACCCTAAACCCTAAACCCCCCCCCCCCCCGGTAGTTGGCGCGAGCTATCCTCAGACATAGCTCGACGACTTTAAAGCTTTACGACCGCAGAGCCCGGCAGCCCTTGAGGGTTTAGGGTTTAGGGTATAGGGTTTAGGGTTTAGGGTTTTGAGCCAAATTAAGGTTGGCTAACCCCTAAACCCTAAGGACTAGAGACCTACCGTTTTAAGGACTTATAGAAGGAAGAAGAAATTCGGTAATTAGAAGGAACGCTAAATATGCAAGTTCTTTAGGGTCCAGGCAAACCCTAAACCCTAAAGTGTAGGGTACTGTTTGGCTATGGTTCTGGCGAGGATGGAATCGAGGAGCTATGTTGTTAGCCCTATAAGAGTCGACGGACTAACATCGCACACTATGAAGCACCGGACCTTTTGGGGCTTCTCAAGCTAAACTACAACCCCAACCTATGATTGCAGGGCCCTTTCGTTGTTGTTCGTCTTGTTTTCAGCTCCTAACACAAGAAGAATATAGTGAACCCCAGAAAATTGGAACATGGATCTAGGCTGATTAGTGCTAGGATTCCCTCTACTTTACGTAGGAAAATGAGGATTATAATGTTCCAACTTTCTGGCTTCTACCATGAGTCTTGAGCCTGTATCACGGCGCGGTTGAACCCAGGAATCCGGATGAGCACGTGGAGCTGATGGCATCCCCGTCATGTTTGTCGCGTTGTTACAGGAATTTGTATTGGGTACGCCTGAATAAGCCCTATAAGCACTACACCCTCAACCCTAAGCACCAAATCTTAAATCCGAAACCATGTGTACTTGAGTGCCGAAGCTGCCACACGGGCAAGCCTTTTAAGGTGCCTAGCCAAGTACTTATTTGTATTAGTTTGGATGGCAACAGAGTTTTCATGGGGGTGAGGGGGGGGGTCGGGGGGGGGGGTCAAGTGCTACGAGGGTCTTAATAAGGTGCGATCAGTGCCTATTAGAGCCTTGTCTACAAGATGGAGATAAGAAAGATATTAGGATACTGGGGAGCTTCTGGCAGCCGGGCGCTGTACATGCAAACACTTGTGAACCAAGACCTAAGAGATGCGATCCGTTTTATTTGCTTGTCTGGGGGGTCGTTGCTCAGGCACTGGGATACAACCTGGAATCTTGGGCTCCCACGCAAGGTTTGATTCAGGTTATGTCAAGAATCAAGAGGTGAAGCGCTGCAGCATCCTGAGGACTACCTTCCGTGCCGACTGCTTTTTAGCTTCTGCCGCGTTTGCGGCCGCCCCTCCCACTGGCTGCCCTGCCGCCTGCCTTTGGCATGGCAGCGGTCGCCGATTTGGCTTTCGGAATCCCTGTTTTCGGGGTTGCCTTTGAGCTCGTGCCAGGCTCCGAGCTGAAACCACGGATCACGGCATCAACTTCATCGCGAGTGGGCTGCGAATAACGTGCTGTAACCGACTGCTGATTCATGTAGCACCACATCCACTGGACTCGAGCAAAGACAGGCATGATGTGTTTGACGTCTAAGACTATCAGTGCAGAGGAGGAGCATAACATCATCGGAAAACTTGGGATCGGCGGAGTAATGCCATTCCCAAATCTTCTGGAGCACCAACCAACAAGCATCTGCTTCGCTGCGCTGATGACGCACCCCACCCCAAGTGGCGCACTTGCAGCCGGTCGGGTGAATGGCAGCTGGAACTTAGTTGGTTGGACATGCAACCGCCCTTGTGGTCCAAGAGACAAGCAGTGCAGCAAGCTGCGCTAGAATACTCACCGCAGACACCTGCGCTAAAGCTCCCTGCGTGCCCTTGACAGACCTTAGCGTCCACCGGCCAAGCAGCGACTCCTACAGAAGAACCCACGCACACATGCCGCTCAACCAAGACACCTCTGAATGCCGAAACAAATCACATCCACCAGGTGAGGCGTGTTGAAAGGCGAACTAATCCATGCTGCCTCGGAGTCTTCCTCGGATGGAATCATCAAGCAGTTCATGCCCAGACAAACACAATCACAACATGCCAGCCATAGTGCTGAGGCTCTAGAAGATCAAACCATACATCGCGAAGTTCAGATCTGTCCCGGCCGTCTTGGGAGGTGAAAAAGGACGGGGCTGCCGGAAAGTGCCCTGATGAGGCAATGGTCGTCAACCACTCGTCGTCACCGACCGGTCGTACGTGCAGCTGCAAAGGCTGCTGCTCGTCGGCATACAAAACAGAAAACAAACTCTTCAGACTCTGTGCAGCAACCGCTACTGATTCAGCTGTTCTAGGCGAGGATACAGCCCAACCACAGACCGCGACCAACAGAGACGTCGGCATGGTGTTTTCCAAAAGGACGCCAGAACCGCCAGGGACTTGAACCGGAAGCAAGTCCGGGGCCTGAACTTTCAGCAGCCATGCCAACACATATGCTGGGATGCAAGCACTGTTGCTGCAGAGAAAAGGAAGCTCGTCGGCCAAGCAACTCTCAGGTGTGGCCATATCACCCGATGCCATTCTATGAACTTGGGGAGATGCTTCATGAAGCGTTTCACACTCTCCTTCCTATCCACAGCGAACGCAAAGAGCTGGCTCACAAAACGCCCCGTAGACCACTGCTTTGGCAGGCCCTGTGCAACAGGGCACTGCAAAATTTGATTAACAAGCTGCCCTGCCCGGCACACAATCGCGCCCGAAGTGAGCCTCCAGGTGGTAGACAGCCACCTGCTCCGCACCGACCGCAACATAGCCTCGAACTGTGATGCGGCAACATCAAGCTTAATGCAACGGATCCGTTGAATGACTGGCTGTTGTAAGCAATGGCTAAGTCAACTGCACAACAGAATGACGCACACATGGCGAGACTGTGACTGGATGTTTGCATGACTCCGCTGACGCCGCAACTGAGCAGTGCCGAGTGCCGCGCGTTGTTCAAGTAAATGCGGCTTGTCTACCTCCATCTGAGCAGCAGGTGCTGCGGCACCGCGCGTCTCATCGTCCAGGGCTTATCTAAAACAGCGAGATAAAGCTTCCATCCCTTATCCCTTCACTATTCTCAAGACACACATAAGCCTCGACCCCCCCTCCCCCCGACCCCCCCCCCCTCACCCCCATGAAGTTTCTTGGGATACGTGCAACTCTACCTATCTATAGTAAGCAGAGTTGCTTAATGAAGCTGGAAATTAAAGTAGCGTTTGGGGCATCTGTGAGGGTATTGGGTTGGAGTCTCGGAGAATCCCCACGCCGCAAACCTTGCTATGTGAATCATATTAAGCGTTGATTCTGTGTGTCCACGGGTAAAAGGAGGACCCTTAATAAGGACCCCTAGGTATATACCTTTAGTATTAATATAGCTATTCTATACCCATTATATAGCCCATGATAGGGTAGGGGGTCCCCATTAAGGGTCCCTCCTTTTCCCCTTTGAGTTTGTGCCGGAACACAAGATCCTCTACGTCCCGAGGCCTAAGCCATGCATCGCTCTGCACCGAAACGGTTAACAGAGCCCTGAATCCCAATGAGGCATAGAGACTTCTCATTGTGGACTGTGAGGGTCGTCTGGCTTGGGCATTATGTTAAGGACGAGATGTATCCTGAAAGGGCTTGATTTTCAAATAGCATATAGGGGTTCATGGTATATTGGTATAGGTGCTTTTAAGGGTAATGAACCTTGAACCGCGAAGCTCAGACTCGCAACGGCAGGTATACCACGAACCTGAGTACGATGCTGCTTGCTCGCGATCAGGGATGTAATGCCAGGCTGTTGGTTTCATAAAGGTCGCTGGCGTAGAGATCTGTACCATGAACAAACCCTAAGCCCTAAACCCAATTGCATAAGCGAAGCCAACCAACCAACCAGCCAACCAAAACACCTTCATCCTAAGCCTTACTTTGGGTTAGTAGGGAATCGAAGAAGGGTAGTATAATCGTAGCTACAATTGTACCCCATTCCTCCATTCCCTACTACCCAAAGGTAAGAAGCATGCAAGGGATGTTAAACCAGATTTGGTGCTTTGCCTCCATGGTGTTGGGCCGCAGTGGCTTCGGATTTTAGGGTCTAGGATTCTAGGCTTTACCCATAGGCTCCATAGTAGTTCCTGTTTGGGGTTCATATTTAGAATCCTATAAGGTAATCCCAAAAGGAGCTTCTATGGAGCCTTCGGGTACAAACGCTTGTAGGGCTTAGGGTTTAGGGTTTAGGTTTGTATGGTTTAGGGCTCAATAGGGCTAATAGGGCTTGCAGGGCGTATGCGGCTTCTATAGGGTTTAGGTCCAGGGCTGTCGGGTTTGCGTCTAGGGCTTAGTGGCTCCACTGGCTTAGATGCCGGTTCAGGGCTAGGGTGTAGGATTCAGTACCCAGACCTTCCAAAATCCCTTAATTAAGGAATATACCTTAAATTATAGTAGGATCCCTAATACCATTTAAGGTGTATTCCTTAAGGGATTTTGGAAGGTCTGGGTATCTGGGTCGTATGATTTGGAGGGCCGGAGGACTTATTACGTAGGTAACAAGCAGAATGAGCAGTGCCCTAAGCGGGATCCTCATTGGCTTATGGCATATAATAACTCTTCAACCTAACTACTTGTTAAATCCCCCGACCCTCCAAGGTTCAGTGAGCATTCCGGTGTCGCTTCAGGTTTTATGGCGTCGAAGTGCTGGCATTCAGGATTTGAGGCCTGTAAACTCTACAGTTGCACGGAAGCATCCGCAAGGTCCGAGGCCGTGTTGGCTGTCTGTTGCAGTTGTTCGTTGTCACTTCCTGCAACACAATTGTCAAGAGTCTCTTCGTCTCTGTATGCATACATCTGCACATAGCTTCCTCATGGATCTATGTAGCATTTCGTGGCCTAGGGAAGAATGCCCCAGACAAAATGGCCATGCGCAGTCACTGGTCATCACCGTAAGAGGACAGACCACTAGAATTAAATGACGCTGTAAACGGTGCCGGAAGCCGTGATGGGCAAGTCTTCATGGTTTCCCCGGTTAGCTATCAGATTGATGTTTATACATGTCATGAGCAGTCAGTAAAAGGCTCATGTCTATTTTTGTGAAAATGAAGGGACAACTCCACAGAAACTGCATCTGCCTCTCCTTCTCCTGATGGGGGCAACACCTTTACCAAGGACGAGTATTTTCCTGTATTGTCTACCGATGCGGAGATGTGGATGCAACTCGTGATCAGTAGCAGCAGTCGCATTGACACAATCGCTGCATTTGCAAAACAAAAACGGTAATAAACCGCGTTAGGGTTTCGGATTTAGGGTTTACCTGTAGCCGAAAAGACCTACCTTTTTAAGGGACTATATCATAACAAGGAACCCTAAAAAGGTAGGCCCTTTCGGCTACAGGTAGGATTTGAGTGTTTCCATGTCCCTGCTGTGCTGCACCCCAGGATTCTGAGCCAGTTCTCCTAGGCACGCGGTGACATGTCAGGGTTTCTTGGTGGATCATGGGACTTGTCCCCTGATCCTCCCAGTGTCAGGGTTTCGCATCTTTAAAAGGCGAAATGACGCGTAATAGTGCGGTACTTATGTGTATCTTTATAAATGTGTATATATATATATATCCTTAAAGTACATGCTGCTTACATAGATCGTTAAACTATTAAAGGATATAGGGGCGTAGTGACCGTAGTTTAGCAACCCATTGATTTGACAAGCTCTTAGATGGCAAACCGGATGCTATTTTTAGGGATGCTGCAGGAAGGGGAGCGAGCACTTTAAGGGAAACTCGCTACTTGAAGGATCAGGGGACTTAGTAAGTAAGGTTATAAGGACCCTCATTGGGGTTATAAGTAATTCAAAACTATGGTTACCCTATTTATAACCCCAATTACTAAGTCCCATGATCCTTCAAGTAATGGGAACCCCGAAAAGCGCTAAACCATAGAGCCTCATTCTTATTTCAAGACAGCGGCCTGGTTATGGGCTTTCGAGTACGTTATGTATCGTAGTTACCTTTTTGTTGTCGCTTGCCCAGATTCCGAATGAACACCGTCCAAACGATGAAATCGGTTATCCTAACACAGCAATTACTGCTGCTCGGGTCTAGGTGTAGGCGGAGTGCCATGCGCCATCTTCAACCAGAGAAGGAACAAACTGCAAGCCAGAGACTAACCCTAAACGCTCTTAAATCCTGAACGACGGTTTGAAAATTCCTAAACCCTAAACGCTAGTCTGCACACTCAGCTGTACAGTCCATACCTTAAATCCTTGGATCTGCAACCTTCTGTGTATCTTTTTCTCTGCCTTAACATGTGGTCCCTGATTGCAGGTGGCATTGGGGTGCCCCTCTTCGAACCCTAAACCGAAACTAAACCCTAAACCCTACGACGCAGGTGGCATTTGCGTGCCCCTCTTCGCGTTTCGGAGAGGGAAGCGCCTGTGCCTTCAATTGCCCCTGAAGCAGGAGACAGCTGGCAGAATTCTGCCCTAAACCCTAAACCTCAAAAACCCTAAACCCCTAATTAAACCCTAAACCTCAAAAACCCTAGACACTAAAGGCCCTAAACCCTAAGCCTCAAAGACCCTTAACCCCAAAAGCCTCAAACCCTTAAGGCCCAAAACCCTAGAAGCCCTGAACACTAAAAGTTCCTAAGCCGGGTTGAGGCCTCGTAGTTTACCTTTGTTTTTCCACCTTAAAACCGAGCCTTACTTGGCTGGCACCGCTTGCCGCCATGTCTACGGGTCCATGTGCCCTTTAAGGGTTCTATAAGTCTATAAGGGTACCATAAGGGTTGAGAGTTGTACCCAAACGAAAAATGTACTTTGACCCCGAAGTACCTACATAGCGCCTTAGTTGGGCACGTGGACCCTGAGGCAATGTCTTGACGTGGTTTGAAAGGGTTTTCACGGGGGCATGCAGGAGCGTGATCATTCAACTTATCATGTCTTCCTCTACAATTCCCCTCTGTTTGCTCGTACTGAATACTCCCCCAAGACTCCGCGGATTTAAATATGGGAGTTTCCGAAATTAGGGGACCCTAACATAGTACCCCAAGTAGTAGGATCCTTATCATAAGGATTCAAAATAAGGAACCCCCATTTTCGGAAACTCCCATATGAACTGAGTTGGGCTCCAATGTCCGCCGTCAACGTTACCAGGAAGCCGAGCAGTGCCTGTTTGGACTTTTATCTTTTTTATTTTGCCAAAGGGTCCAATGTACCGATATAGTAGAATGTAGGGTTTCCATATTAGGAATTACTATTATGACTTAGGGAAGTGTCCCCCATAACAGTACATAGGACCCTTTGGGCTTGGAGTCCTCAGCGTACTTGGACAGATGGGTAAATAGCTTTGGTTCTTGGGTTTTGTTGCGGGTCTATGGTGTGTGGCCTGGCAGTTGTGCGTTAGTGGCGCAACCCCTGAGAAAGTTGCGTCCTGGTCTATCGGGCGGATATGATACTACGGTTGATGATATAAATCCTGCATTACCTTAAGGACCCGAAGCTATGGGAATTATGGTATATTTCTAGTTATGGGTAATGCAGTATTTATATCATCAACTGTAGGAGTACCATCTTGTTGAAGATGCAAGAGTTGCAGTGGCAAAGGCAATGCTATACCCCTATACCCTAAACCCCTAAACCCTAAACCCTTACTCTTTAGACCCTGGATGCCGCAGGACGATGCGACTCGAAGGGGCCTTGTTAATGCGACATGGCATTTCTTGCGGTTTAGGGTTTAAAGTGTTTAGGGGTTAAGGTTTAGGGGTTTAGGGTTCAGGGTTTACGGCGTTTAAGGTTTGTGGCTTAAGGGTATTAAGGTTTAGGGCTGGCAGAGGATTTATAAGGCTCCAGGGCACTGGTAGCCTCAGTCGCAACCCGATGTCGTAAAGCATAGTGATGCCTTGCAAACACAGTCTAATTCCAAGGGTTCGCACACCCGCAGCCTAGGTAAGGGTTTAGGTTACATTTGGCCGGTGTGAAGTGCCCTAAATAGAAGCACTTAAGCCAGGATTCAAGATTTGCAGTTGTGGACGGAACGCGCACCGGATCAGCTCAGGTAGCTTTTGGTCACTTGACCATCGCGGTCTACGTGGATCAACCACTAGGCAGCTGTAACATTCGGGTTTGGGGTATGCAGCTTAGCCGTAGGGGTTCAGGGCTGGGGCTTAGGCTTTAGGGCTTAGGGGTTTAGGGGTTTTAAGGTTTAGGGTTTAGGGCTTAGGGGTTCGGGGTTTAGGGTTTATAGGGTTCATAGGGTTTATAGGGTTTATAGGGTTTATAGGGTTTAGGGGTTTAGGGTTCATACGCTTTAGGGTTTAGCGTTTAGGTTTCGTGAGTCTGGGGGGGGCAAAGTCATCCGTCTGAGCAGTCCGCCCATCGTACAGCCGAAGCCCACAACGTCCTTTCGGGGGAACAAGAAGCTTGACATAAGCCAACCTGGTCACCAGGCGTTCACCGGAAACACAAACTGGTACAGACACAGATTAGCAGCATTCTTGATTTGGGACCCTATCAGTAGAAACAAGTACGTTGGTCCATAAGGCAGTTGCAGATTTGCTCAACGCTGGAATAATCCAACACTAAAGGAAACCCTAGACCAAGGAGCAGCGGGACCCAGATCTTGGGAGTGATTGAGAATCCGGGCAGGATGCCCCAAACCCTGAAGCCCAAAGGCCATAAACAAAACATGAATGGGTGGTTGTCAAAATTAGGGTCCCTTATTTTTGGGTCCTCAATATAATACGGCACCTAATACTTAGGGTACCCAAAAAGGACCATAATTTTGACAACAACCCAAATATCAAATCCTAAAGCCCCTAGATCTCAAAATGGATCTCAGGGCAGACACAAGAAGGCCGGAACAAACTTTCACGCCCAACAGACGCTCTGAGTGAGAACCCTTGGCTCCCCAAGAAACCGTAGAAACCTTGATAATGTACCTGACAGGCTTTTGGGTTTATCAGGTCCAGGCGCCTGAGACAACCCCTGGAGTATAGGATGCTTCAAACACTTCACTGGTTTGGGGTCTAGTGTCCTTAAAGTCATTGTAAAGCCCCAATTAAGCCCCTAAGCCCTCAACGTTGAACGCTAGACCCTGAAGCCCAAACGACTCCGCAAAGGGTCCCACTACTAGTATGGTTGGGGTAAGTATTCCCGGTATACTCAAGGGATGCTTGGAGGGTTCTTACAGGGTCGGCTCCTTTCTTCAAGGGCTGAGACGGGCATATCTATAGTTCATCCCTAAGCCCTTAAAGGAAGCCTACCTACTTAGGGATCCCCTTAAAGGACAGGCATAACACACACATATATACATATATGTGTATGTTCTTTATATATATATGTATATATATGTATTTGATATCCTTAACCCCTAGACCTTCATCTTTTAAAGGATACGTACTTAGGGATCCCTCGTTAATCGACTGGCCACCCTACCCTATAATGGGCTATATAATGGGTATATAGTAGCTACATTAAGGGTATATACCTAGGGGTCCTTATTGAGGGAATCCTAAACCCAAAACCCTAAACCCTTTGTAGAACCCTTTTTGATCCCTTAAGTACCCAGGGGTCCTTATTAAGGGTCCCTCCTTTTCCCCTTTGAGGCAGGCCACTTAGGTGCGGCCCCCATACAGTAAGAGTCTATAATAGGGCTATAATTAAGGTCCTACTATATCTATATTCTGAATATTATTCAACTATTATAAGTCCTTTATAGATCCGTTTTAAGGAACCCTAGTTACCAAGTCCCATGATCCTCCAAGTATGGTACCCTTTAAAGCCCAAGTACCCTAAACCCTAAACCCTAAACCCTAAACAGGCCACCTCTTTCTCCCCGTGGAGCCGCCCTTGGACAACGACCAGCCGGCCTCCGCCCAGCGGCCCTCACAGGCGCCATCGCTGGGTTCCCTTTAAAGGGTATCATACCTTAGGGGTACTTAGAAATAATTTTACTATAATCCCTAAGAAACAGCTAAAATTATACTTGTTGCTAGGGTTCTAAGTTCAGTATAGTTTCAAGGGTACCATACTTGAAAGGTCATGGGACTTAGTATCTAGCCCCAAGGGTCCACAGGACCCAATAATTAGGTACTCGGTTTTAGGATAGTAGCTATGTAGGTTAGGATTTTTTGGAACGTATATGATTGTTGGGTACTTGGACCCTTGGGGTAGGGTTATATGTAAGGTACCGATAGTTATAACTACTTATAACCCCACTTGGGGTCCTTGCTTACTAAGTCCCATGATCCTCTAATAGCAGGCCGGGACTCTAGGGTTCTTTGACAGGGAAGGGCTCCTCTCAGGGGACTCGAGGGTTCGAGGGCTCCTTTCAGGACTCCTGGGCTCATTTTAAGGGTACTACGACAGGGACCCTAGGGTTCTTTTAAAGGGACCCTAGGGTTCTTTTAAAGGGAGTCTAGGGTGCTTTTACAGGGACTCTAGGGTTCTTTTAAAGGGACTCTAGGGTTCCTTTAAAGGGAGTCTAGGGTTCTGTTTGAAGGGCACCTCTAAGGGATCCTAGGTTTCTTCTAAGGGTACTCTAATTATAGCTGTAGGCTCTAGAATAGGTCCTTTAAGGGCTGCCTTTAAGGGTACTTTGTGAAGGGTTCCTGTAAGGGCTCCTTTAATCCTGGTTTTGTATAGGTTTCAAGGGCTCTTTTAAAGGGCTCCTTCTCTTGTACTTTTTCAAAATCTGGTTAAGTGCGAAAAATATGGTCAGACTTCAGGGTTCCTGCAAGAGTTCCTCAAGGGTTCCTGCAAGAGCACTATGAGGTTTAGGGTTTAGGCTTTGTTTTTGTCGTAAGATGTTGTAAGTGTTTATACAGTATAGACTTTTAGTCGCCCCGGTATCTAGAACCTTGTGAATCTCGCGAGTTCAGAAAGTGAAGCACAAGGCCTGCATTAAGCCGTATCCCAAGTCTTAACGCCCCACCCTACGGGACCCTAAACCCTAAGCCCTAACCCTGAACAGCAAAGGCCGGCCTAAATTGGGAGGACCTTGAGAAGCAGATCAGTCGCTGCGCCGGAGCAGTTACGGGGAGCTTTTCGTATTTGTTGGGCCTTGTAAGGATTAGAAGCCTCGACCCCCCGACTACCCTCCATCTACCTTGAAAACCGCTGTTGAGGACCACAAGGGCTCTATTAACGGGCACGTGCACGGTCCTGGCATAAAGATTATGAGGTTGTTTTTGTGGATTTCAAAACGGATTGATATTGAGTTTGGGCTTTACTTTGTTTTGAGTCCTCAGGGGCTGATGGGTTGGAGTTGGGTTTGGAAAGTTTAGAAGTTAGTTCGGATTTAGGTTCGGTTCGAGTTTCATTAGGTTTTTAGGGGTAAGCATGGGCATATCAACCCAGACCCCCGGGAGGATCTAGAAAGTAGATCCCCTAATTTGGGGCCCTATACTACTAAGGGTACTCTATAGGAAACCCCATTAAGGGATCTACTTTTTGGATCCTCCAGGGGGTCTGGGAATTCATGAACTCAGGCGAGAAAACCCAAAAGGCTTTGGGGCTGCGGGTGCTCGAGAAAGCCGAGGCCTTTCTTTGTTTGTCCCGGGTGCTTCCAGACGACCTTTAGCGCTAAATCTAAACCGACCGCATCATTTCAGGGTATAGCCTCAACGCCGCAGCTTTTTGGATTCAGCCCTTGCAGCGCAAAAAAACATACGGTTTCTATGGAGTTACATCGGCACTTGATCATGAGTAACGCTAAACAAGTAGGTATATACCAATACAGGCAGGCCAAAGGGTGTGACAGGCTAATAATCATCTACTGTGTCCAAAATTGACCTGCGTTGAAGGGGTCTAGGGGTTCAGTCCCCCTAAACCCTCAGGAAACCCTGAGCCCTATACCCTTTTTGAGTCCTTTGGACCCTCGAAAATCCGATAGCAACCCTACCCTAAGGGTCCAAGTACCTAATTATCATACACTCTCCAAAATAGTAACCTACATAACTACTATCCTAAACCCAAATACCGAATTATCGGATCCTGGGGTGACCCTTGCGGCTAGGTACTGCCCCTTTCTTGCTCATTGCCCAGGTCGACTGGTCGAGCTCATCCAGATGGTCTTCGGACGATGGCGCCTTGCTCTGCTTGGAGCTTGGGCTTTACCTACAACTCCTGTAAGGGTACCATACGGGTGCTATAAGGGACCATAAGTCCTAAACCCTAAACCCTCAACCCTGTAAGGGGGTTTAAGGCTCCATAGTAGTTCCTTTCCTTTTTGTGGTTTGTATTTAGGATCCTGTTGAGGTTATCGAACAAGGAACTCCAAGCTCAACCTTGAAAGAGTCTACGTGAACCCTAATTCCGGTGTGTATGTGTGTATATATATATATATATATATATAATTTACACCACCACCACCACCACCTGAAGAACAGAACCGAAGAGTCTGAAGCCAACAATAGAACCTCAGAAATCGTTCAGGGGTTTAGGGTTTAGGGTAGGAACCTTAGAAATCGTTTAGGGGTTTAGGGTTTGGGGAACAAGTTAGGGCTTGCCAGGCAGATGAATGTCATTTACGTCATCCAATGGGAGTCCTTCTACTACTCGCTCGGCTGGCTGCTGTTTCTGGAAGTTTGGTGCCCTGGACGAAAGGTAAAGCCGGTTTACGGTTACCCAGACCCCCGGAAGGATCTAGAAAGTGGATCCCCTAATTCGGGGCCCTATACTACTAAGGGTACTTTATAGGAACCCTCATTAAGGGATCGAGTTTTTGGATCCTCCAAAGGGGGTCTGGGTAAGTGGTTAAGGGCTTAGGGCTAGGGTTTTGGGAGGGGTTCTGCAGGATTGCAGGGCTCGGGTGTGGCGTCTAGGATTCCATAGCAGTTTGGGGTTTCAGGGACTGTACAGTGGTGTTGGTTGCGAGTTTTAAGGTGACAGTTCCGAGAGCGCCCAGCCATGTCCTGAAACGTAATCCTTAAACACCAAATATCCCCAAATTGACCATGAAACCTTTAAAATTCACGTTCCCGAGAGCCCAGCATACTCTATCTATATATATATATATATATATGTATGTGTATAATATGGAAGCTCAAGGTTTAGGGTTTATGGCTCGCCCGAAACCCTAAACCTAAGACCCCAAACCCAATCTCAGGTTTTTAATCTTCTGGCGCTGGTCGCTGACTGTCCTCATTGCGCTACTCCTGAAGCGTACGCTGGATCTGCGGCCGAAGAAGGACGACAAGGCAACTTAGGGCTTCAGGTCTAGTCTAGGCTTCAGCGAAGCGCGCTTTTCACCCTAAGCCCTACATCCTAAACCCCAAAAAGTTTTGTTTTGGCGGTACGGTCTTTGAAATCAGGGTCAAGAAAAGGGCCACAGGGTAACTGAACGGCTCGGAGGCGCCGTTGTTGGTCCCGAAGGGTCGGAAGTACTTGCAGTACTTGCATAGTAGAAAGAAGACTTCTTTCGTTTGTAGGAACTAGTATGGTTTGGTAATCATTCCCCATGTAGGTACTTTGGAAAATTTTGGGGGGGCTTGAACGCGTCAAGAGATCAACAACAGGATGTTCTCGAGGATTATACCGCGAACCTGCAGCACTAGACCAATTAGGCTCAACCCTCAAGCAAAGGAAGTCCTTTAGATCCCCAGCACACTTCCCCAAACCGCGAGTAACACGGAAACCGGGACCATTGCGGGCTATTCTCCTCCACAAAGCTCCGATGCTGATTGGGTGCGGATTTAACTTTGTATCAACCTGGCAAGCATCATCGGGATCGCCTCGTGGTGTCTATGCTTTTGACTCTACACCCCGAGACATGAAATCCGAAGCCCCAAACCTCCAGTGCGTACCCCAAAGTTCTTGCGACGTCACAGTGCCCTTAGAGATCTGAGAGGCGGTGTGGTGGCGACAGAGGTCGTAGCAGTAGTAGTAGTAGTAGTAGCAGTAGTAGTAGTAGTAGTAGTAGTAGTAGTAGTAGTAGTAGTAGTAGTAGTAGTAGTAGTAGTAGTAGTGGAAGTGGAAGTGGAAGTGGAAGTGGAAGTGGAAGTGGAAGTGGAAGTGGAAGTGGAAGTGGAAGTGGAAGTGGAAGTGGAAGTGGAAGTGGAAGTGGAAGTGGAAGTGGAAGTGGAAGTGGAAGTGGAAGTGGAAGTGGAAGTGGAAGTAGAAGTAGAAGTAGAAGTAGAAGTAGAAGTAGAAGTAGAAGTAGAAGCAGTAGTAGTGTTTGAGGTTGTCGTCGCAGGCAGTAGCCGTGCAGGTTCGCGGTTGTGACAGTATACAGCATGTGCTTCAAAATCTGGATACCTTATGACTACCATAACCCAAGTTTTTGTAGCTTCCCTTAGAAACTTATCAGCCTCATATGGAATACAGGCCCTACAGTAAAGTAGGTTTTGGTAGGTTGACGTACCTACCACAACAATTGCAGGCGCGGCATGGTCATCATACCTTTGCCCAGCAGCGCCCACGCGGAGATGGTTCCCCCGCCCTTTCGCCTCCTGTTTCTATTCCGACTCCTGTAGTTCTACTCTTTCCATCCAGCACCTGCCAGCAACCTGTGATATGACATCGCAACAGCAACCACATCTCCGAGGGCCACTAGACCTGATTCCATTAGACCACCCAGACAGACCCTGCAGCAAACTCACCCCTAAACCCAATAAATCTCAGGCCCTAAACCCTAAATCCTAAAAATGCTCTTTGCATTCAGTCAGGCTTCCGTCGGCTCGTCGGATGTCGAGGCGACCGGCGCTTCTTGGGGACGGCTTGTTTAGGGTTTAGTTAGGGCGGTTTATGGTTTAGCGGGCATGGCTTGACTGGATGGAGGGTTCCTCTGAAGGTTCGTGAAATGTCCGCGGAGGATCGGGGACCGAGTAAGATGAAGGAGGCAATGGCTGGCAAATGTCGTGGCTCGAGCATCTCAGAATCTCAGTCCCTGTCAACGATGTTGCCACCACCAGACCCGAACACTTTTGCGCTCTTGCAAAGTGCTTTGGTTGCAAACTTTAGGGTTGTGATGAACACGCTCATCAACCACCCGTTCTGGAAGTGAATGCAGTACCGGTTGACACTGCAGCATTTGGGGCCACCTGGAGCCTGGCATTTTCACAGTGCACAATGACGAAAAGCCACACGAGCATGCTGGGTGCCCAGTGAGTCAACCAGGCAGGGCAGGCCACCCTTCATGGCACCATCAAGAAGGGTGTTCGAAGACCCAAACGTGAGCGTCGACGATGAGAAGTGGATGAAGCACCTCAACATCGACGGCGCAGAGGACGCCTAATAATTACCTATACTATTTGGGAGGGTTCCTTATTATACTTATAGTGTAACGGGCCCCAAAACCCTATTCTGATTATTAACGCCCCTATAGTAGGTTAACTTCCAGAGGTTGTGGATGCTGTGGCAGCGATAGTTCCTGAGTAGACTCTGGGTCGATCCATGAGCTTATGCACTGGGAAGAGGCAAGTGGCTCCATCCTTGAAGACAACAGGCTTATAAGTGGGATATTCCCAGCTAAAGGCCCGTTTAGCACTACTTATAAACCTACAGAACTCTAAACCCTAAACAGACCCTATACAAAGAAATCCTATAAGTCCTTGCTACGTCCGCCCTCCATGTTCCCCTCAGGGTTCTTTTGAGGGTTCCTGTCAGAGAACCCTTCACGGGCTCCAGCAGCGGTCCATTTAAGGGATTCCTTTAACGGGTCTGAAGGGTCCCTTTAAGCTGCAAACGCTGGAGGACATTTTCCGGAGGGCACCTTTGAGGGTTTCTTAGCTGGCAGGGCTTGGGGTTGCAGGGCCTGCCTACAGTCTCCATTGTAGTGCGTTTGCTGGGCTTATAACCTTTTCGGTGGTTAGGATCCTAGGATGTTATAGTATGAAACTGATTAGCCAGAGGAAGGAACTACAAGGAAGACTATAGTTAGGGTCAGGTTCTTGGGTTAAGCTCAGGGTACGGGTTTAGGCTTCGAGGGTTGTGGATTCCTGCAATGGTTCTTTTGAGGGTGTCTGCAAAGGTCTCGCTGATGGTTCCTATCAGGGCTTCTTCAAGGTCTCCGTTTAAAGAATTCTTTGGAGGCGATGTTTTCAATACGGGCTCTATACTTCGGGTTGAGCAGTAATCCCTCAGCCAAACCCTGACCCCTAAACCTCAAGCCTACGATCCCTACAGTTACACCTTCAACAAGCTCTAAACTCTAAACCCTAAACCCTGTACGTCCTTTCCCAGACGGTCCATATGTACTACAATTATGGAATTAGGTCCCGAGAGACCATCCCAATTATGGTTTTGGGAGCCTAATTCCATCATAGTAGTATATATGGACCCTCTTGATTTAGCACAGCAGAAACTATAGTACAGTTACCTCATTTATAACCCCAATTGCTAAGTCCCATGATCCTCCAAGCGTATGCCCCTTTATTATAGGATCCTTAAGGGGGGGTGGTTCAAGGGGGGAGGGTACTAGGGAGCTTTGGGGAACCTTAGGGAAGCTTAGGGAGTATTGGGGAATAATGGGGATTACTAGGTTACCTACCCCCCTTGGACCACCCCCCCTTAAGGACATCCTAACTTTAGTAAAGCAGAAAATGGCCCCCGAAGGTGCGCCCGAAAGGGTCCGATGCCAAGCCGCGGCGTAGTCCCGACGAGACGACGAGGAGCTCAGAGAGCGAGAACTTTGGAGTCTGTAGGGTTGATAGGGTGTATAGGGTTTATTTAGGGGGTTTATAGGGTTTATATGGTTTATAGGGCTTATAGGGTTTGGGTTTTTGGTTTAGGGTTTATAGGGTTTATATGAGGGACCCAAAAAGCACATAAGCATAAGCGTTTTATGGGGATATCCCTACCTTATTTGGCTTCATTATAAGGAGGTTTACAAGGGATATCCTTAACCTCATTTTTGCTCTTGTGCTTTTCTGGGACCCGTACCCTAAGGCTCCGAAAGGGGTCATGGGCTTTCTTGGGGAGGGTCCGGGCTTTTGAGGGCTAAGGTTTGGGATCTCACTACGAGGGTCCAGTAGCCTTAGGGTAGGGTTTATATAGAGTTTAGGGTTTATGTGGTTTATAGGGTTTGGGTTTTTGGTTTAGGGTTTATAGGGCTGATAGGGTTTAGGGTTTGGGATTTGGAGCCTATAGGGTTTAGGATTTTAGGGTTTGCATTTGACCCAAAAGACTGACATTTTTGTGGATCTATAAAACTATGTATATATATATATAATATCATAATAATTATCATAATACGTACATATATATATATATATATATGTACAGAGAGAGAGAGAGAGAGAGAGAGAGAGAGAGACCGTAATAAGGAACCCTGAAGAAGGGTAGGTCTTCTTCGGCTACAGGTAGGGTTTAGGGTGCTTGACTGGACTCCTTTGGCTGCTTTTAGGGTAATTATCAGGGTTTCTCAGGGTTTTAGGGTAATTATCAGGGTTTTTTTAGGGTTTAGGGTTTAGACTCTCGTCTAGGAGGGGCTCCATAGGGTGTTTTAGGGTTTAAACTCGGGGTGTTAGGCTTCAGCTTTTCAGCGTGCTTTTTGTAGGATTCTAAAATTTAGGGGTATTTGGGTTTTGGGTTTTGGGTTTAGGGCGATTAGCGCTTTGGGCTCTGATTCAGGATTTGGGGTTTTGCTTGTGACCTGAATGCTTCTTTGTTTCGCGGTTTAGTAGTTTCGCTCCTGTTATCTCTACAAGCTATGCTTCACGTCTTTCTTGTGGGTATTCTACATGGCCCGAATACTAACATTATTCCTCACACCCTCTTCTAAGTATTGCCTGATACGTTGTTTACAAGACGGCGGTTAACGATGGACAGGTCTTTCGAACGTTTCTACGTGTGATTTGAAATTGGTGAGTTTCTGTTGGCTGCTGTCCCCAAGAGTTTATACAGTTGTCGACTTCATGTAGACTTTGGTTGGACATTTTCTACCTGGTAGACACGGAAAATCCTAGACCTGGTGTGGGTTTGTAGGATCAGGATTGGCTTCATTGGTAGGCTCGGAAGTGCCCAGATCTGCTTCATAGCTTCCTTACAGGCGTTACAGAATCCTCTTTCCACTGCAGCGGCCATTTTTTCAGGGTCGTAGGAAGTTCTGGGTGTTTTTGCATAGTGAGTAGTACCCACTTGACCTGATTATTTTAGGGTTCCCTTATGAACACCGAATAGTAGGAGAAAAGGGTGCCCTTGTCATAAAGGGGCTACTCGGAGGATCATGGGACTAGTAAGTCAGGTTATAAGTACCCTAATTGGGGTTATAAGCATAATTACAACAACTATAGTTACCACATTCATAACCCGAATTACTAAGTCCCATGATCCTCCAAGTAGTCAGGAACATAGGAGTACGCGTAGCTAACCCTAGACCCTAAACCCCTAAACCCTGAACTCCTACACCCAAAACCCTAAACCCCTAAACCCTAAACAGCTAAGCCCTAAACCCCTAGACCCTAAACCTGCAGAACTCTCTTCCGATACGTAAAACCTTCGTCTGAAGAGGCGGGCCGGGTCATCAGAGAGCACCCAGTGCCTTGGCTTGTTTTATCCCAAAGGCTCCAAAGTACCTGTAATTATAGAACGCAGGGCTTCTATACTAGGAACTACTGTTATGACTTAGGGAAGTATCCCCCATACCAGTACATAGAATCCTTCCGGGCTTCTATAGTATAGGTTCTATATAGGGGCCTTAATGATTAGAACTTTAATTCTAAGAAGGACCCCCAAAATAGTCGTGGCAATTGTGCAGGCCCCTACAATTGTGCTGTCGGGCTCGTGCTTCTTGGGCATCTATATGACCTATAGCACTTCGAGGGTCGGGGGACTTAGTAAGTAGGTAGTAAGTAGACTTATAAGTACCCGAAAAGGGACCCTAATTGGGGTTCTGGTACTTATAAATCCCTAAAATAACCAGTTACTAAGTCCCTAAACCCTAAACCCTTATAGAATCCCTATAGATCCCTTTAAAGGGGCCCTTAAGGAACCCTTAGAATAACCAGCTACTAAGTCCCCCGACCCTCCAAGCAAGGAGGCGGCCCAGTTTTGAATGTCGGAGGGTTGAAGTCGAAGGCTCCATGCATTCAACCCGGGGCGTTCCTCTTTGAAGGGTGCTATGAGGGTGCTATAAGGGTTGAGGGTTTAGGGTATAAGGGTCCATGTACCTGTACAATACTTCGGCCTTGAAGGGGTTCCTCTACAGGTACTTCGAGGCTTCCCTTTTCATCCTATGTAGCTATCTAGCATGTCTTAAAGGAGTTCCTCCATAGGTACCTTCAGGTTTATAAGTATGTACCATGTTGCCTCAGGGGAAGTCAGCCAAGGTGTGATGCACCGGATGTGGTCATCTGGGAAGCTGCACCTCGACTACTAGCTACCCATATGGGTGATGGTCAATATTAGGGTCCCTTTTTGGGTCCCTATATGTAGGGTGCCTAAAAAGGGATCATAATGTTGACAACCGCCCATATGCTCCAGTGTAGTTCCTTTTTGGGATTACCTTATAGGTTCCTAAAGATAAACCACAAAGAGCAACAACCATGCTGCCTTGGGGTTTCAGGGGGTTCAGGGTATACTTAGAAGATCATGGGATTTAGCAAGTAGGGCTATAAGCAAAAGTACTATTAGTCATGACTTACAATTGCTTATACCCCCGATTAGCGTACTTATACACATACTTAGTAAGCGCCATGATCCTATAAGTAGCCTTAGGCGTTAACTATACCCTATTTGTAGTACCCCTAGGATCCCTTAAATAGGCCAGTCGACCTTACTTAATAAGTCCCAGGAATAGTCGAGGACACCTTGTTTTGGAAATCTCCGAGGCGGAGGCAGTATTTGAAGTTTCATCGGTTTGGGAGCCATTATGGCTTCCTCAGGTTATACGGTTGATGATATAAATCCTGCATGACCCTAAGGATTCTAAACCATGGGAACTATGGTATATTCTTTATAATGGGTAATGCAGGATTTTGTCCATCAGCAGTATGTCCTGAAACAGGGAGGCTTCTGTGGATTCAGGCCATTCTGTTTGGCTTAGCGTTTGAACCCAAAGGACGGCTTCATCTGGATGCTTGGTTGTGGCGGAGCCAGTCCTCCCTCTAAGCCCTAAACCCAAACCCTAAACCCTAAACTCTAAACCCTACGCCTCAAACCTGTAGCCCTGAATCCCTAAGAACCATACAAAGAAGCCAGAAACAGGAAGCCTACAAAGCTAGGCTTCTCGAGGCCCTGAAACCCTCCGAGCCTCTTACAGACAAGTCCTACAGTGCCCGAAAGGGTCCTATGTACCGATATAGTAGAATGTAGGGTTTCCATACTAGGAATTACTATTATGACTTAGGCAAGTATCCCCCATGAGAGTACAAAGAACCCTTTGGGTGCTGAGGAGCGGCGGTTCATGTTCGGTGGCTTCAGCTGCGACTACCTGATAGAAGGCGAGGGTCTTTGTACGGTTTCCTGCGGGTTTGAACGGCTTTGTATGGTTTCAACAGAGCAAAACTGGCATTGTAGGATTAATGAGGGTTTTGGAGGGTCCGGAGTGGTTTTATTGGGGGAGAGTTGTAAAATCGTTGGTTTATTTCCGGAAATATGATCCGAGCATAGGGTCTATAGCCAGGTCTTTAGTCTTCACGAACTCTCGTGTGCCTAAGGTTTACCCAAAACTCCAAAAGTGGTGCGAGCTCAGTATTTTAGAGCTGCGGAGGTCTAGCGTCGGTCTAGAGAAGTGAGGCTTCTGAGCTTACTTGTCAGGAGCTTGACTTAGGTTTTAGGTGGCTACTCCAACAGATGAAGAGATTTTATGCATACATTGTATCCTTGAGTCAACCAGTGTCCCGATACTCTTTTTATTGCAGTGGCGATCGGTGGTAGTAGCAGCAGCAGCAGGAGGAGGAGTTAGTAGTTGGCAGTAGTCAGTGGTAGTAGTAGCTGTAGTAGTATGATGATTCTCAGAAGTAGCACCTGTTATACCGAGACCCTAAACCCTAAACCCTAAACCATACACCTTTATCTCGAAGCCCTGGCCTTCAAATTAGCAGCGACACGTCCTGTGCTCTGGGATTGCCTTCTCCCTGAAGTACCCAAAGGGTCCTATGTACCTTTAAGGGCTTAGGGTTTAGGGTTCCTTGCAGGGCTCCTTTAGGGGTTTAGGGTTCCTGTAAGGTTTCCGAAGTACCGATGTAGTAGAATGTAGGCCTTCCAGGTGAGGAGTTACGGTTATGACTTAGGGAAGTATCCCCCATACCAGTACATAGGACCCGGTGGTGTACCTCTAGTACCCACTGAAGTTCCATGTTTGGGATCAACCAACTTTCTGGCCAAGGTCCTACAATAATAAGACATTAAACCGAAACACGAAGTACAGTGAGACTACACGTCCAATATACCTTCTCCACGTTTGTTTCGGAATTCTTCAGCTGGGAGACTTAGCTTTAAGTGTAATGGGTTCTGCCGAAGAGCTCGGATAAATGTCAGACGGAGCGAGAGACACACATGTGTCATGTATGAACTTCAGTATAAACAAATAACTGTATACATATATATATATATATATACATTTACATAGACACTGTACAATGTTATCAGGTTTTGCCGGGCTTAATCAGAGCTGTGTAAGGCTTTTCCACATTACAGTCTCGGTACGGTAGCTGTCGCAGCAAATTCAACAAAGATACCAGCCCGCAGCCATCATGAACAGCTTGCACAGGTTTCGACGTTGCTCCTTTCATGGACGCTTTCGGCAACGAATGTGGTTGGCCGCAGGCAGCATGCATCCATAGTGGAAACCAGGAAGTTAGGACTTAAGCGTGTGCAGGCCCTAAGTAATTTCGACATGTCCCCATGGCAGTATGTCCGGCGACAAAACCCCTATGCAGAAAGCAAAGCTCATCACTGTCAAGTGTGAACCGACTCACCTGCTTCTCTAGTCAAAGGGCTAATTGGGCTGATACGTGGCTTTAACTTACCCTACGATTCTGATTCTGGTTGAAGGCGTACGTCTTGAGGGTTGGGTTTGCAGGCTTTTGGGTTTGTTGTTGAGGGTTTGGGCTACCGTCTCAGCTGTGTTGTATTGCCTCAACTCCCTAAGCCCTCACCCCACAACCCTGCCTCAACATAGGAGCCGAAAGTCGATAAACTCTGGCAAAAACACGCCTTTGGCGGCTTGAAGACTTCTTTAACAAGGGTAATGAAACAAAAAAGTCATGAACACGGTAAACCCTAAACCTTGATAAAGCTTTTCTGAAGCACCCAAACCTCAAGCAGTTGAAGTTCTCTAAGCCAGGCCTTTATCTACCTCGGCGATGTGAGGTATCGCTACCAGTGGGAGGCTGATTGGTGTGACCTTAGCCGTCCTAGCCTAGTCTCGTGGAGCGCAGGTTTTGCTTGTCGTCCGGAGACCGACTGCCCCAGAATCTGCACCTTCAACTTCTCTAAACATGTATGCAGATCGTGGTCAATGCGGAGACCGACGAAAACGGTTGGCAGTATGCCTTCGCCCGGGACCCTAATATATGTTCGACGGATTACGGGACTTCTGGGTTGCGGTGACAGGTAGGGTTTAGAGTTTGTAAGGTTTAGGGTTTAGGGTTACATGAACCATATATCCTCAGCTATTGCCTCGGTGAGGAGGCCTCGGGTGAAGATATTGTTGATGTCCCCTGATCGTGTGAGTAAGTGGTTATCACTGCGATATCTACATATATACATATGTATATATATATATATATATATATATATATACGCCCAGGATAATGAACCTCAGTTAGATCGACTTAGATCGCCCTAGCAAGTCGACCGATCCTTTAGGGGACTGGTCCTTCAAATTTGGACCATGTTTTGCAGTCGTTTTAGTGCCTGAGGTGTTCAGCAAAACCTCCCGAAATTCTGAAACCCCGTACATTTGACCGGGAAACTCCTAAGCCTCCACAACTAAACGCCAAGCTTGGAAGCCTAAACCTTACCGCAAGGGTCCATGTAGCCAGATAGTATATACGTTGGCCCCAAAGGCCCAGAAAGTACCTAAATAGGGTTGCTCCAAGGCCAAAGTATATATGTATAGGGTTTAGGGTCTTGGGTTTAAGGTTATATATATATATATATAAAATTTGGGTGCATGGAGCCTCAGGGTTAGATCACACAAGCAGACATCTTTGGATGACCTTAGCCGGCACAACTAAGTCTCAACACCATCGTCTCGACTCCTGCGACTGCCGGATTCCAGAACCCAAGTATCTACTCAAAAGGTAAAAACCTAGATGAAGGGCTAAGGGTTTAAGGGGTAAGGGTTTAGGGTTACATCGACCCCCCTTCTATCTTCCATCAGACCTTCAAAACCTGCTATCAGGGACCATATACCCTTATTTGAGAGTACACGGAGGGTCCTGGAAAAGTCATTGATATACAGGAACTACCCCGGCGACGATCGATACTCCGATGATGAGGGGTTTAGGGTTTACCTTAACCCCAAACAACCTACCCTTTCAAGGACTGATGTAAAGAACTCAAAAAGGGAACCCTAAAAAGGTAGGTTCTTTAGGGTCCAGGTAGGGCTTATAGATTTGAGCACCTGAGTCCCATTTCGCGAGCAATGTTTCAGATTTGGGCTTCCCGACGCCCTCCAAGTACCCTTTAAAGGGCTCTGGTCTTTCTCTTTAAGAGGTAATTACCCAGACCCCCGGGAAGATCCAAAAAGTAGATCCCTTAATGGGGGTTCCTATAATAGTATAGGGCCCCAAATTGCGTAGTTGGGGGGGTCTAGGTCGAGCTTTCAATCTAAATCCGACCCTTCTCTCGGACGTGCTCGTAACTTCCGCATTGGAGATGCGCTAAAGGCCTCGAGATGGCTGTGAAAGGTTCTTCAATCCCTAAAGGTCCATGTGCCCAAAATAGTATGTACTTTGGCCCTGACATGCCTATGTAAGGTACGTGGACGCGCCGGGAAAGTGAAAGCTGTCCTGCTCCCACCATCTGAATCGAAGGAGAGAGTAGCATGCCTTTAGGGGACAATTTTTCATAGAAACCACGAAATGCCGGCCTGTGTTGCACACATTCCATACAGTGCAGTGCAAAAGCACATAAAACTTTCTCTGTCATTACTAGCTTCAGGCATTCACCTACGATGCGCAGTGGCGGCGAACGATGGACACCGTTTCTCGGATGCCAGAGGTTTGGAAAGATGGCAGTACTTGGGGAATGGGGGATAATGAGCTCCATAAGTACATGGAAGCCTGGGTAACCCTACGGCTCTAAGTATCCAAATTATACGGCCTTAACTATTAAAAGCCATTCAGAGTATAGAATCTGGGACTTAAAACTTTACCATTTCTGGCAGCTATCGCAGTGGGACTTGGTTGGGGTATTCGGGCATAACTAAGACCCTGCGGCACTTCTTGTCTAGTCATTGGTTGCAACATCCTCGTGAGGCACATGGCCTGCCCTGTAACCCGCATGGCGGAGCAAGGCTTTCCAACGCTCCTATATTATAGTAGGAGTTTTCATATGATTCAAGGTACTCGTTACTTAGGGGATATTGGAAGGTCTGGGTGGCTTTGTTCGCGAACCAGCCGATTTCTGAGTGGGATACCAGGGCCAACTACAAACAGGCTACAAGCATTCTATAGTCTAGACATTAATACAGTGGTTACCCCCCAAGCCCCAAACTTTGGAAGAAGACAAGCTGCGAATATAGGGGCAGTTGGAGGAAGCCCTCGAGCGCTCTCCAAGCAGGTTTCCACATGGGTCCGCCGCAGACAGCACCACGGTAGATGCCTGGGTCTCGCTCCTGAGGACACAGGTGTTTTTCCCAAAGGGTCCTAAGTACTTGCACAGTAGAAAGTAGCAGGGTTTCGTTGACAGGAAGTACTATCATGCTTATGGTGAGTATCCCTCATATACGTACCTAGGACCTGTTGCTTTCTGTCAGAGGGCCATCATGTCTGGCTTAGCCTAGAGAAGAACTTTAAACTTTGGTGTTTTTCCATTCCGCACGTCGTCTACTATAGTCTCTCATTTACGAACGACGAAACTGCACGGTGGCGCGAGTCACTCCCTCCAACTCCCTGTGACTCCCTCCTGGTCCGCCGGGTCCCTCGGTTCCAGCTTCTGACGCCCGATGTGTTTCAGTTCTGTTGAAACAAATCAAAACGTCGAATGAATTCAAAGACCCCCAAAACCCTAAACCCTAAACCCATACACCCTAAACCTTAAACCCCTAAACCCTAATCCCTAAAACCCTAAACCCTAAACCCCTAAACCCTAAACCCCTAAACCCCTAAACCCTAAACCCTTAAACCCTAAACACTAAACCCCTAAACCCTAAACCCCGCAAAACCTGAAGTCGGAGGACTTCGTGGGCAAAGGCGATGTTGGGACTGGCAACCTCGGGTCCCTCGGCGTTGTTTGGTGTACTTCAGAAGCCTGACCCTAAAGGTCCAAGTAGTCCTTATTTATGGCTTTTGGTACCCAAAACGGACCCGAAGTCCTATAATGGGGAGTACTTGGATTCTTAGGGTGCACAATTGCCATTATTATTCTTTCAGGTTCGTTATCATATATTTATATATATATATACACATATGTATGTATATATATATATATATATGGGAGCCCCAAGCCCTACTCCAATTATTAAGGCCCCTACATTGCTGACCATAACTTGGCATCGGTTGGTTTACCTACAACTTATGTAAGTAATCACGTATCCACTGGGAGAACTGTAGCCGTTTTGGCCTCGTACGTTTTGGTCTACCGTTCAAAATTTGAACTTTTTGCAGCCCGGTTGCTGAAGAAGAGAGACCGCATGGTCAAGGCTTTACAGGGCCGTCTGTATTCTGGAGGTTCTGAAAGTCAGACTTGTCAGGTTTTTGGGCTGAGGGCTTATGATAGGGGCACTGCCCACCAGATTCCTGAAATAGTGGGCCTGGGAACTCCCATCCACGTTTATAGTATTGCATACTTTGGCCTTTAAAAGTACCTATGTAGGAATCTTGTTTAAGGCCTAAGTATAATACTATATAGATACATGGAGCCCAATACCCTAAACCCTAATAGTGCCCTTAATGGAACCCGTTTAGAAGAGTCTCGGGGTATGTGGCTGGTAGCGAGGATTGGGTCGCCGTCCTTCGACGAAAGCTCGCCTGAGCAAACGCCGCTCGGCTTGGAACATCCGAGCTCTCGAAGCTCTGGGTCCTTCAGCGTGTTCAGGGGTTCTTAGGTTTAGAGTTTAGGTTTTAGGGTTCAGGGTTTTAGGGTTTAAGGGTTTAGGGTTTAGGGTGTAGGGTTTAGGGTTTAGGTTCTTAAACCCTAAACCCTAAACCCCAAACCCTGAACTTGCACCTCAGACCCCAAACCCCTAACACCTCAACCTGGGGCTGATAATGAGAAGCTACAAAAAGTAGCTTGTGGTACTTTTAAAGAGTGGTTAAGGAAATGCAAGTAATTCGCAAAGGCCTGTCTTGACAGAGCGAATTGGATCGCAAGTAAACGCGTAGCATTCGGGCGGTTGGGTTGGGGATAGGTGGTGGCCTCACTTCACACAACGTCAGCATGTGCTTTCTCCTGGGTCGTTTTCATGCCCCCAACAAGAGAGGACAGGGCTGGTTGATCGGGATTTAGTTCGGGATTGGGGTATCGTCATTGTGTTGTGCCGGGCAAGCGGGCTTGTAGAGCTTGGCTACTAGCCGCAAGCATACCTCCAGTCTGAGAGGCTTCAAAACAAACCATCAACACTCCAATTTGCACAAGTTGTTTTTTCGTCGTGCCTGATCCTGCAAACCGAGATCATCTTACAACATGTTAGCGTTTAGAAGCTACCCACCATTCGAACTCAGGCCTAAGCCCTGAAAGCCCACACCTGTAACTGTAACTCTTGAAACCCAAGCCCGTAATGCCTTCCCATAACCTCAGTAAGTCCTAAACCTTTGAACAACAATCCTAAACCCTGAACCTTCAACAGGGACGTTATAGCTACCTAGAGGCTCCAAAGCAGTTCCTTTTTTATGGCTTATATTCAGGATCCCATAAGGTAATCCCAAAAAGCAACTGCAACGAAGCTCTAAAACTACACCTGGCTTGGTCCGATCAAAGGAAAGCTCCAGTGGAGAGCATGCTAACCGAGAACGATCAGTACAACCGCTATATCTCGCTTCCTTGGCTGAGCTCAATATATAGGGGACTAAATAAGAACCTGGACATAATGTAGACTAACGGCAAAATGTAGATGCAGGGCCATTTTTTTTCCTACGTTTGGGGGGTTTAGACAGTACTGATCCTTACCCAGAGGGTCCACATATACTACGATCATGGAATTAGGCCTCACAAGACCCTAAACCCCTAAACCCTAAACCCTAAACCCCTAAACCCTAAACCCTAAACCCCTAAACATGAAAATGTTGGGGGCCTAATTCCGTAATGGTAGTATAAATGGGCCCTCTTGGCGGTGGTTCCGCATCATAATTACTTAGTTCTCCAATACCAAACTTTTAAACTTTTGGGGTTCTCAAAGTTTAGTAGTAATCTGAAAGTTTACCCTTTTATTTCTGTGGCTATTGGGGGAGTAAGATTAGGCGAGAATAGACTCCGAAACCCCATGCTGACTGACTCGGACTCTTCAGGCCCCTGATTTCATAGGGATCCTTAGGGGTGTAGGGGGGAGGGGTGTAGGGGACTATATTTCCTTAAATAGGCCTTATTAGTCCTTATTATGGGCCTTAAGGCCCCCTACCCCCCCTCCCCCTACACCCCTAAGGATCCCTATGATTTTGTGGCTCCTTGCAAAGAGGGGTCCTGGAAACTACTGTACTTGGGTTTCAAGGTTCGGGGAAGAAGGTTCAGGGATTTAGGCCAAGGGGTTTAGGGTCCGGGGTTGAGGGTTAAGGGTTTAGGTTGAGGGTTTTTGGTTTTGGGGTTAGGGTTCAGGGGTTCAGGGTCTTCGAGTTTAGGTTTTAGCCGGGGGGGATTCAAACGGGTTCAGGGCTGAGCGCTAATGTATGGTCCTGATTCCTGAATATGAGTCATATCATTCATAGGCTTCCTTATATGTGTAGGACCCCTACATTACACAAGCCAGGGGTAGAGGGTCTGGGGTCTCAAACTACCCTGCCCTGCATGGACCTCTCTGAACTCGCAGGGTTTGCTGAATATGAGGGTGTCTGTTTTCAGTGTGCCTTAGGACAAGAAACCTAGGCCTTTTGCATTATTGAACTAGTGCACCAACAGCCATAAAGGAGATGGGTTATCCTCTGGGATTTCAAGACTAAAATCACTATCCCCGATCCTTTCTGAACTACTATAGGGGCCTTAATCATTAGAATATGGCTTTGGGGTCCATTATAGTATAATTATGATAAGCAGCCCTCCAAATAGTCTTGGTTGTTATTCAGGCACTTATACTAAACCCCAATTTTTCCCCTTAATGTAATCCTAATCCTCATAGAGCCCTGAAAAGGAAGCCCCAAAACAGTAAATTCTGGTAATTGCTTAGGCACCCATATTACGCCTGCTACCTCCCTTGCAAAACCCCAGAGACCCATCTCCCTCAGGCCCCGAAGACCCCTGAGGCAAACCGGACCACATAAACCCTAAGCCCTAAACCCCAAAATCCTAAACCTTAGGGTTTAGGGGTTTAGGGTTTATTTGGTTCAACACACAAGCTCCTTAAAAAAACTTGAACCTTAAAGCCAACTCGTCAACGCTAATCGCCGTCTTGAAGTCGCCCAGGCTGTACTTGTCCATCCGCAACGATGCCCGGTGCCCAAGGGCTTCCCCGAGTACGGTTTGAGGATTCAACGATGGGACTTTGGTTTCTGGCGTTTTGGGAAGCCCAAAACCCTTAACCCGGGGCGGGGCCCTGGAGAGGACTGTCGCACAACAGAAGTCAAAGGGAACACAAGCACTCAACACAACAAAAAACGAACCTTAAACCCCAACCCCACGAGCCCAAAACCCTACTTAAAGGATCATGGGACTACTATACTTATAATTACTTATAAGCCCAATTAGGGTACTTCTAACCTTACTTACTAAGTCCCCTGATCCTCCAAGTACAGTTTATAGGGCTTCAGAGCCAATCTTCATTCAGTATCTCAGATCTACCCCACGACCAGAGGGCTTTATGTTTTACGGGTTCAGGGCTATTCAGGGTTTAAAATTTAGTTTTGCGGAGCATCGCAAAGAGTGGTCAACATGTTCAGTCAGCCGATGGAGGGGACGCAGAATCGCCGGACTGCGCAAAAGTTCTTCTTGGAAGCAACGGCTCTGAATGGGGAAGCATTTGTCTAGCATGTGGATAGCGAGGTTGGAAGCCTATATGAATTTCCCATATGGCGAGTGCACGTTTGCCAGGCCGCAAATGGGCGCGAGTATGGAAGCATCTCCCTGAATGAGCCTCACACCTGCCACTTGACAGTGGCCAACAGAAGTCTCTCAGGGCAGGCTTGGGTGAATGAACAGGGGAGATCGACTGTCAAGTTGCTTTTGGCGTGCGTGGGTCCTTCGGGCTGGATATCATCGAACGGCTGAGGTCCTACTGTTGATGGACAAAATTCTGCATGACCCTGAGGACTAAGGACTCTAAACTATGGGAATTATGGTATCTTCCTTATACTAGGACCCAGAGTAGGCCCTTATTCCCTTTTTTAGGGTTCAGGTTCCCTTATAAGCCCCTTTAAACCAAAAAGGGCATCCTTTTTATTCCTAGGTTACTCTTGGGTCTAGCTTATAATGGGTAATGCAGGATTTTGTCCATCAGCAGTATCTTGGAGGAGCAGGCACTCTTGGCCCGGCAGAGCAGACCGCGCAACGAATCACTGGCATCTGATTCGCAATGCCCATAGGGTTTAGGGTTTAGGGTTTTGGGTTTAGGGTTTAGGGGTTTAGGGTTTTTGGGTTTAGGGTTTAGGGTGCTGCGACAGCTGGTGTAGCAGCGGGCTGCTAATCCTCAGTCAGCTGAGCTTTGAAGTATGGGGAGGGCCTCTGGTGACGTCGGCTGTTTTGGTTTGGAAAACTTCGTAGGTTCAAGGCTCTTTGTGTTATGCCTGCTTTTGAACCCCAAGCTCGTCTCGTATCTCCGAAGCCCTAAACCCTACGCACAGCCCCACGTCGCGATGCAACAAACCCTGAAGCCCTGAAGCCTGAAGCTCTAAACCCTCATCACCGAAGCCCCGTAGCCTGAAACCCTAATACCCTGCAAGCATACCGAAGCCCCTCAGCGACGAAACCCTAAGATCAGATCCGAGACCCGCTTGTTCACATAACGCAAGCAACAGCTAATTAACTATATAGGGCCAAGCATACGACATCATACGACCTTATGCCCATTGTGTCAACTTTATGGTGTCTGTCATAGCGATCTCCAAACTCCAAACAGGTCGCGTATGGGGGGACTCAGCAAATTCCGATTATGGGGCTGCTTGCTTAGCTACCCCTACATCCCTAAACCCTAGCCCCAAACCATACCTAACCTCGATAAACCCCGCAAACCCCCTAAACCCACAACCGAAAGCCTTTTCTTTAGCCACCCGACTCCCCGAATGAGGTCGACTTTACCTTGAGTTTGTTGGAGAGGCACAAGATCCTCCGGCAGCAAAGATGGGAAGAGGTTCAGGGTTTGGCGCCATGGCATTTGAGATCCCGGAGATTCCAAAATCCCTAAATCGAGGTACAGGCCCCTCAAATTATAGAGTGATCCTCGGTATCAACGGTCGTTCAAGGATTCGGTTCAGGGCTTGAGATTCTTCTGTAGGACCGAAAGCAGGAGAATCCCAAATGGGCTTCTTTTTTAGGTCTTACGGGATACTGTAGGGTTTAGGGTTTAGGCTTCAGGGTTTAGGGTTTGGGCTGCAGGGTTTAGGCTTTAGGGTTTAGGCATTAGGGTTTAGGCTGACGGGGTTGGGGTTTAGGGCTTAGGGTTTAGAGTTTAGGCTTTAGGGTTTATGCTTTAGTGTTTATAGGGTTTATAGGGTTAGGTACTTGTGTAACTCTACTTTTTCTTGCCCACCTACTAACCCACTAAGTCCACAAACCCTCCACCTATTACCCACTTACTTTACACATCTCCGGACGTCTACGTAGTGCACTCTACACTTGCACTCCTGTTTTACCAACTTGACCGAGCAAAGCAGTGCAGAATCCGACAAGGCAGAGGGGAGGCAGCCACCATCGCCAGTGATGGCGGTGGAGCACAGCGACAGGCGAGTGGCATACTCCTTACTCCACCTGTGCGATCACTGCCGCCTCGCTCTTCTCGCGTTTTATAGCGTGATCTTGCATGAAATACCTGATGGCGGTCGGTTTACAGCAACATTTGCCAGAAGACCTCGAAGACGAGGAAAGGGGTAAAGACGTGGCTCCAAGTGCCGAGCTGGAGAAGAAAAAGTCCCCCGAAATCGCCGACACCATACCCAAAGGGTCCAAATTACTCATATAGTAGCCCTATGCCTCCAGGGCCCTTATTATGGGGTCCTTAAGGGGTCTAGGGCCCTAACTATGAGGTCCTTGGAGGGATAGGGTAGAATGTAGGGTTTCTATATATTAGGAATTACTATACTATGATTTGGGGAAGTATCCCCCATAGCACTACGTAGGACCTTTTGGGATAGTGCAGGCGAAGGAGTCCGTGGAAGGCGAACGCAGATGGCATCCCGACGCCCCTGAATGCGAAGCGGCAAGGGAGTCTAGCTTAAATCATGCGTAATATATGAAGCCCTGTATAATTTAAGCCATATTCCTTAATTAAGGGGTGTGGGGCTCTCTGGGGTTTTGGGTTCTTAGATGAAGATGCAGAAGAAGAACCGCTGAGAAGACTGGATCTCCCACTGGCTCACCGTCAGCGAAGAACCAGCGAAGGGTGGCTCTCTAACTGGGTAGTTGTCAAAATTGGGGTCCTTTTTATTTTAGAGCCCTCATTATTCTTGCGGCAACTATTATTTAGGGTACCCAAAAAGGGACCATAATTGTGACAACCACCCAAATTAGGGTCCCTCTTTGGAACCCCCAAAATAATACGGCACCCTTATAGAAAGGACCCCAAACATGGCCCCTAATTTAGAAGAGATCCCTTTAAGGAGCCCTATGATAGATCCCTTCAAAGGAACCCGATTATCGATCCCTTTCAAGGAACGCTTAGAGAACTACCAGAAACCAAGCCGACAAAGCGGGTCGTACGCAGAGCTGGCGGCTGAGCTAAGGCCGGGATCGTTGTCTTTAGGGTCAGGGCTTCGGGCCCGGAGTTTTGGGGTTTTAGTACCTTAAGGATGAGGGTTTAGGGGATGACGGTTTAGGCTTTAGTGGATGATTAGGGTTTAGAGTTTAGGGAAAGTTTAGGAGATTACGGTTTAGGGTTTAGCGATTAGGGCCCGGGGGCATGGGGTTTTTGTAAATTAGGAGGATTCTTTAAAGGGTTCTATAAGGGGTCTATAGGGGTTTAGGGTTGTGTCACTTAGGAGGGTTCCTTAATTAAAGGGTTCTATAAGAGTTCTAGAGGGGTTTAGGGTTTAGTAACTTAGGAGGGTTCCTGAAAGGGTTCTATAACGGGTCTGTAGTGGTTTAGGATTTAGTAACTTAAGAGGGTTCCGATAAGGGGTCTATAGGGGTTTAGTAACTTAAGAGGGTTCTTTACAGGGTTCTATAAGCGGTCTATAGGGGTTTAGGGTGCTGCTTTGACCTTTGGGGCAAAAGGCTACTTTAGATGAGGGCTTGCCTAAAACCCTAGCCTAAGCCTGCATCCTCTCGAACCTCTCATTAACACCACATCACGGGCATCCACGCTGAAATGGGAGTTTCCGAAAATTAGGGGTACCTTACTTTGGGGTCCTTATAACAAGGATCCTACTAATTCGGGTACTATATTAGGGTCCTCTAGTTTTGGCAACCCCCAAATGCCAACTTGCCAATTTGAAAGAAGACCACGGAACTCAAGAGTCTTGAACTCAACGAAAGTTGTTGCATGATGAGCAAAGTTGCTGTCTCTATCCTCAGGACGCACGGAGCTCGCCCCAAACATGTCCCTGAACCCCCTCCGTATCTCGCAACCCTAAGCCGAACCCCTGAATCCTCAGACCTCAGCCCGTAGACGTAAATCGATGTGAAATCCATCGTTCCAGCAACCGCTCGAGTAGAAGAGACCTAAGCTAGCAGCGGTGTGTGTGTGTGTGTGTGTGTGTGTGTCTACATCTTTGTGTGTATACGTATGTATGTACGTGTATATATATATATATACACATGTATGTGTGTATGCATATATACTCATATGTTTGTTGCTATGTTTATGTAATAATTCACCTGTAGACATAGTACACATACAGGCAAGGTTGAGAGTGCATGTTCAGATCCCAGTCGAGCTTGTAGCCTTTCGATGTCTTTTCCGTTACGTGAAAGAAGCGCTTTGCGTGCTCCATGTACCAAATGGGGTGCAACGTCCAGTGCTCGCTTTGGGAAACATCCAAAACCCCCACACATTAAACCCTAAACCCCAAACCCATGAGCCATAGAACCCTAAACCCTAAACCCTAAACCCTAAACCCTAAACCCTAAAACCGAAGCCCTAAACCCTTTAAACCCTAAACCCATGCGCCATGAGCTCCTAAGTCCAAGAGTCTGGGAGCATAGGAGGCCAAAAGGGGTTTTAGCCTAGGGATTAGGGTTCCCATAACAGGGTTATATTAAGGAATCCCTACCCAAAGAATCTTAAACCCCTCTTTTGGCCTCCCATCATAAAGCTTGAGCTTAGTATAGGGGCCTTAATAACTAGGATAGGGTTTTTGGGCCCATAATACTATACTTATAATGAGGAACCCCAAAATAGTATAGGTAATTATTAAGGCCTCTATACCATAGTACCCTTACGGATCCCTTGTAGTAGCCCTTATACACCCCTTTAAAGGAGTAGCATAGGTAATTATTAAGGCCCCTATATTAAGGCTTGGTCTCAGGAACCTCTTCACCTGGAAAGACCATGATGTGTCGACGATCATTGCCTCCAGACGCGCAGATGGTTTAGGGTTTAGTGTCTAGGGGTTTAGGGATAGGGGGTTAGGGTTTCGGGGTTTAGGGTTTAGTGTTTAGAGTTTGGGGGTTTAGAGTTTAGGTATTTATTTTGGGGTTTAGGGGTTTTGGGTCTGGGGGGTGGTGCACCTTCATGGGCGATCCGCTTGAAGGTCTTCGGAGTGCAGCTAAAGGCTTGCAATGAGTCTGTACTTTGAAAGAACCCCAAGGACAATGAATGAATCAACATTGCCGAGGTCATGACTTGTAATGTTCAGGTGTGTATTCCTTGATTACTCAGGGATTCGGATAGCTCCAGTTTAGGGCTTTGGGTTTAGGGTTTAGGGTTCTGGGCTTAGGGTTTAGGGTTTAGCTATGCGAAGCGAGTCCCACTTAAAAACCAAAGGTTACGGTTTCGGGTTTATTTCCAAAGCTTACACTGGCACTCAGTTGCAAGGCTGCTCCGAACCCCCGTTTGGAAGCTATCTGGAAATGTAATTTTTTACAAGGAAGCCAGTGCGAACCCTAAAAATTGTAACACAGTGCCTCGTTTAGGATTATTCATGATTATGTTTCAGGGCTGTAGATTTCTGGGGTTTAAGGCTTGGGCTTGCATTGGCAGGCTCTCATCAGGATTTCGTGTTGTGTGTTGAGCTCCCGAGAGCAGCACAAAGCTCCGGGAGGAGAGAAGAGCTTAATCTATGATTTTCGACATAATTACCCATACAATTTTTTGCTTTAAATCCTATTCTGACATGTAGTATACTATTATGCCGAAAAAATCTACCCAATCATGTCGACCCAGTCCAATCTCGGTACTTGTAATTGCCCTAGGCATCTAAGGACTCACATATTAAGGCGTTTGGGCACCAAGACCATACTATGTAAGGCTTTTGGGCCATTTTGATGCCCAGGGTTAAAATCCTGATTGCAACGTGGTTAGATGTATCAATCTAGAGGCTTCAGACCATTTGTGTTTCCCCATGCACCAAGTGAGCACCGAGGTCGTGCTACTGGCAGCGCTGCTGGTTCTCACTTGGATAGTTCCCACCAGCGCCTGCTGGACGGCAGTTATGGCCGTGTTTGCTCGGCACAGAGAGTCGTAACATAGCGTCGTACACTAGTAGATTCTGGCATCATAGTCAAAATTTTGTACATTCTAGTGTGTTACACTGTTGGTCCAGCAACACCATTTGCGGCGGCAGTTGTGGTAGCCATCGTTGCCGCTGGCCTCGTCGTGGTCATTTTCGAACCCTCGACCCCATGAGAGGAAGATCTCTTAGAAGCCAACAGGCTTCAAACTTTCAAGCTTATGGTTTACGGGCTTCGGTTTCGGTTATCCTGCATGTCCCGCGGTGTGGGGATTTATTTTTTGTTGTCGAGGGACGTCACCTTCAGCACAGCCCTGAACCCGGCAAACTGTAGGAACTGAATGCAAACCCTAAAGCCCTGCAACACATCCACTGCAAACCCCGCACCCCTAAACCATCCTAAACCACAACTTTAACAAAAAAACCTGCAAACCATTACAACCTGCAAACCATTACAAGTTCGAAACCCGAAACCTGAACGAGAATCCATGAGAATCCTAAACCCTTGAATAAACCTCAGGTGATCTTCGCTTTCATCATCGCATTCACGTTCTACATTGGCACCTTGCTGGTGATCAAATTCAAGGATCTGGTGAATAGAGATCATAAGAAGGCTCGATCCTAACACAAGATTTTAAGATGCTTGTTGGAATTCTCTATCTTAGGGATCCTTTCAAAGGTCCGGAAAACTCGTTGAGAGCTCAACGGATCCCCGACAAAACAGCATATTGGTCCGGGAATTCAGAATTAGATGTAGGACTGGTTTGGGGTACAAGCGTTGAGAGTTGAATCTTTCTTGGGCTTGGGATTATTGGATTGATATGGTTTGGGGCTGTGCGTAGGGGCTCGGGTTCAATGGTTTCGGGTTTAGTTTGGGCTATTCTTTAATCCTTCTGCATAGCCGCTCTGAAGCTGCGAAGTCCATAGCGAAGGCACCGACTCTAAGCCGTAAACGCCGTAAACCACAACCTCTACATCGACTCTACATATCCCCAAGGGTCCATGTGCCCATATAGAGACGCATGAGCCCCAAAGTACCTATACAGGGACTACCTTAAGGCCAATGTATATACTATACGAGTACATGGACCCTTAGGGTATAGCTTAAAGGGGCTAAAGCTCCAGTACATGCCTGCACAGCCCTACGATCGTCGGAGCTCCTGCAGACGTTTCTAGGAGGCTCATTGTTTGGGTTTAGGATTTACTGGGCTTTGGGGTACCATACTTTATTGGAACCCTGTTACTTAAAGGGAACAAATTATGAAAACAAAATCTATGCTTGTTTCTCCCTGGCTACTTCAAAGCCCAGTTTAGGGCTTTTTAAGGTCACTACCACTTGAAGGATCAGGGAGAGTCAGCTACTGTAAGATTTGGGTTCCTCAGAGCATCAGGAATTAGCTCCCATAATGTTCTTGGCATCAGGGCCTTAGGAAGTAGATCACAAATAGGGTTAAGTAATGTAGTTCCTTGAAGGCATTGAAGCTCGGTTCCCATTCCCGTCTTAAGGGTAGCGGCTTGTTGATCAGGGCCTTTACATGAGCACTGCCTTAGCCGCCATGATCCTCTGCGTACAAGCCAGGGCTCCACCAACCTTGCATATTCAATTCATCATTCCGAACCCACTACACTATACACCCTTTTTCCCGTCTTTCCCTTTCACGGTTCGATACTTCGGCAAACCAAAAGAACGCCAAATGAAATCCTGAAAAGCGCAGAAGCCAAGGAAGCGCCATGGGTCAGCGGAAGCGACAGCACCGGGAAGACTTCCTGCCTCTTGGCAGCCGGTACTTTAGGCTAAGACTTAGGGATACTTAGGGCACTTAGAAATAATCTTTAGTTTTTGGTTATTATAATCCCATTTTTGCTAGGGTTCTAAGTTCAGTATAGAAGAGTTATTTCAACTGCTCTTGACTGACAAGCTTCGGATCCTAAACCTTGTACACGTTCCGGGTACCTTCGCGGAGAAAAGTATTTCCTTGAGACCTGAGGGTGATCCGGCTTTTCTGCGAGAAGGTTGGGGCTTGCGCAGACTGTTCTAGATTTCCGCATGATTTGAAGAGCGACGGCATGCTCGGAGGGGCTGTGCACTTGTCCTTGAAGGGTAGACCAATCGTAAGTAGGTTACAAGCTATGAGCCGTAACTAGGATTATACTTGAGATAGTCCCACTTAGGCTGACCATTGCTACTTATCTAGTTAGTAGTAGTCTCCCCCCTGATCCGTCATGCCGGTATGGCTTCTTGCTACGACTTCGGTTTAGATGTCCTTGAGATTTTTGGCTACAGGTAGCGGTTGCATGCATCCTATAACGGACCTGCCCTTGAGTCACAGTAGCAAATCATTTCCAAAACCCCGTCTACCGTTATGCGAGGAAAGAGCTCAGCAAGCTCAGCAACTCCATAACCAGCAGCCTGGATGGCTCAGGGTTTAGGGAACTTATGCCACAAGACCTTAGGAAGTTAGGTTTCGCTGGTTTGGAAATGTGCCCTGAATCCCAAAAGGTGTTAAACGCGTAACGTGTTGTACGGTTTCCAAGTCTTGTTGTTTTATTCTGGAACCTGTGACCTGGGCTTAGGTTCCCAAAGGGTCCTATATACTGTTATGGGGGGATACTTCCCTAAGTCATAGTAGTAATTCCTGATATGGAAACCCTACATTCTACTATATCGATACATAGGACCCTTTGGGGTTGGTATTTTTGGTGGGCCTATGACCGCTGCCGACCTGGAACTTTGGAACGCTAGGCGTAAAAGTTGAGAGACAGGCGCTTGCCCCAAGCGCAGACTAGCGGCATAGTTGGTGGTTGTGTGGTTTTAGGGTTTACGGTTTCGTGTTGAAGGACCCCTGGACATAAAGTTAAAAGTTGGCTAGGGACAAAACATTATTACATCTCAGGGCCCAGCCACAAGCCTTGGAGATCAAAACAGTGTCAGTATAGGACTGAGAACCATGCCCCTAAAGCTTGAGATATAAACCCTAAACCCTAAACCCTAAACCCTAAACCCTAAACCCTAAATCCTACACCCTAAACCCTTAGACCCTATAAGCCCTATAAGCCCTATAAGCCCTAAAGCCTTGAATATGAAACCTTGGGTCCACCTGGTACCCGGAGCGAAGCACCCCCGAAACTCGCAACGATGGTCCGGGGCAGGGTTTAGGGTTTAGGGTTTAGGGTTTAGGGTTTAGGGTTTAGGGTTTAGGGTTTAAGGTTTAGGGTTTAGGGTTTAGGGTTTAGGGTTTAGGGTTTAGGGTTTAAGGTTTAGGGTTTAGGGTTTAGGGTTTGTTACAAATATGGGGTCCCAAACGGTGAAGGTGCTGATCTTAACACCAAATTCTCCCGACTTTGTCCAAACCCTGCGCTTTTCTGCGCTTATCTTAGCACCGAATTCTCATCACGTTTTTCCCTAAACCCCCCTCTTTTCTGAGCCTGTTGGATTGTTCGGTGTTGCGGTGGGTTTGGGGTTTCCGAATCTAGGGGTCCGTAGTATAATACCCTAAATAGTAGGGTTCTTATTATAAGGACCCCCAAATAAGGTACCCCCAATTTTCGGAGACTCCCATATAAAACCCTCCCGAAGCGATAAAACCAAGGTCTAGATCAACTCGGCCAGGGGCAGGGTTCTCCTGTTTCACAGGTCCCCCAATGAGGCACCCTAAGCCCTAAACCCTAAGCCCTAAACCCGAAACCCCAAACCTTACACCCTAAACCCTACGCCGTTAATCAAGACCCCACCGATCGGTTAAGGGAAGTTCGTCCTGTGCTCTGTAGTGGGAGGCTCAAGATTAAAACCTGCTTTTTGCAGGACCCCTCTACTTCTAAACAAGAATTGCAGAATTCTTAGCCCAAAACCCCTAAACCCCTAACCCAAAACCCTAAACTACACAAGAATTGCAGGACTAGGGTACATGGTGCCTACAAATTGTGCTCCAACGACTGGTAATGCGATGCCAAAGAAAACTAAAAAATACTCCGAAGCCCCATTGTAGCAATTGAAGCCCATGTCCTGCTTCCGTAAAGGGCAGCCTTGCTTCTGACCAGGCAAGAACATCGTCTTTAACGGCGATGAGCTGTGCAAGGCTTTGGAGGAAGCTTGGCAGTGCAGTCCGTTTAATTTACCAGAAGCTACTACCGTAAAGCTGCAATCAACCCTAAACCCTAAACCCTAAAGTGGAGGTCATGCAACCCTTGGACCCCAAAAGTGTTGACCCTCGACCCCAGTTCTCAAAACTAGTTCAGGGTTCCTTGCATTAGGGATGCTAGCATTTTGTCAGGCCTTTGTTAGGGCTCTTAGGGTCCGTACTCTATGTAATCCCCATGCCCTGCGCCCTCAATGCTTAAGCCACGAAGATGTATACCTAGAAATCTAAGACCTGCAGTTCAAGGCTCAACAATGCTCCCATTCCGAACGGCGAGACGCAGGGCCCAAAAACTCCATGCTGCCGTCAGGTTCAAGGCCAGATCCAGAAGAACCGGTACCTGAACCCCTTTCGGCGCCAGAACTTCCGAAACATCTACTAATAGCCCTCAAACCCTGACCCCGGTTCGAACTTCGTAAACTCCTAGCCCCAGATCCTATCGCAAGAAGCGCCAGAACCAGCTCTGAAGCCTGAACCACTAACCCCAAAGCAGAAATATATGAAATCGATACAGCACACTAGAAACTACGAGCCCCGAATCCGTAGACCTGCTGCAGCTGCCAGTGTAAGCTTTGGGGTTAAGTATTGCTTTAGGATTGATGCATGTTGGGGTTCTGGGCTTTAATTCAAGGGCTTCCAGTCCAGGTGCTTCCCCGCCAATAAAACTCACCTAAGCTCAGGAGAAGGGCGTGACGCGGCTGACTCTGCGCGACTGGTGCAATGCGAACTTCAAGACCCAGTTCAACCTCAAGAGATGCTCGGCTTCGGAAGGGTTCGTTAGGATCTGCTGCATCACACGGGGAACCCTAATCTCTCGATGCCCAAAAGTGAGATCCTCAGTACTCAGTATTTCTTAAACCCTGGGCCTCGAGTACTAAACCCACTGTCGACAGCAGCCTGCAGTGAGTTTGTGGTTTGGTCCAGCACCTTCGTCTTCACTGACTACTGACTCAGCTGAAGGAGAGAAGAAGTGCATGATCTCGTAGAGTTCATAGAGGTCCTTAATGCCTGCAACCTAAACCCGAAACCGTACGCTGTTCCAAGGACGCCTGGGTACTCAGATAACCAAGAATAGCGAGGTTGATTCGAATAAATGTTGCTTCTCCACGATCCACTAAACCTGGACCCAAACCTCCAATTCGAGATGCTTCGGCGACCCAAAAACCCCTCGAACCCAAAACCCCAAACCGCAAACCCGCTTAAAGGGAACTCCAGAAAGTTGGAATATGGATGAATGGTAGGATCCCCTATAATTTACCTTAAAGGAGTTACGATATTGATATTCCAACTTTCTGGCTTCTACTGTATTCGTGGCGCCCGTATGAGCCCGAATGCCCCCTCAGGCTTCGACCCCTGCCGAACATTGGCAGAGCTAGCGGACCTTGCCACTCTGCTCCTTCTTTTTGCGACTTCACAATGATATATAGGGTTTAACGTGTCATTGTTTACGAAGGGCTCCATAGGGGCTTTATAGGGTTTACGGATTCTAATCCGCTCAGCTCCTTTCCCTAAAGGTCCCTGTGCCTACATGGTATCTATTTTGGCTAGGGGAGCTCCAACGAGGCTCCTATAAAGTCAGAGGCTTATGATGTTCAGAAGTTCATATGGGTGGTTGTCAAAATTAGGGTCCCCTTTTGGGTCCCTTAGGGTACCCAAAAAGGACCCTAATTTTGATAACCACCCATATGTAGCTTCAATGTACAGGGTTTCGGGTTTAGGGGTTTAGGGTTTTGGTCCACAGCCGTGTTGTACGGGTTAGCAGAAGGATTCGCTAAGGGTTCCCACAAAAGTTCCGCAAGGGCTTTATCGTGAAAGATGATTCAGATTAGAAGATCCGTTCGGATGCTCGTAACAGGGATCTTCTTTTGCAAGGTCTATAGTTCGAAGCACACAGATGACGTAGCAACATGGTCAACAGCACACTTGCATGCAGTATGTCCCAAATCCGGAGCATGATTGCATTATATTGCATTTAGTTGCGGTCCATACGGTGAAGTCCAAATAGAGGTACCCATAGGCTCCATTGTAGTTCCTTTTGGGGATTACCTCGTAGGATCCTACGTATAAACCACAAAGGAACTACTATGGACGCTTAATTCAGACTCTCCAGGTCCCCCCCAAGCCCTAAAACCCTGACTTCCGAGGTGTTCTATACTGTGCTGTCATGTTGAGACAATCTCCACCCATCACATGTCAGGAGTTTGTCTTTGACGGTTTAGTAGGGTTTGCCGAAGGCTATAGACTATAGCGCGGACTTACCGGTCGGTGTCTTCAGGGTTCGGGTTCTAGTGGGATCTCGCCGGACAGCGATGCTCTCAGGTGGTGGAGTCTTCGCCCTTGATCGAGACGACAGTGAGGCCATGCCGGCTTTGCAGGATCTCGCGTCCCAAATTACTGCATCCGAGTCTTTGTACGGTGTTGTTGTCCTATGTGGTCCTTGATTGAACATCTCTAAAACTTCACATGGGAGCTTCCGAAAATAGGGGACCCTAATCTAGTGCCTACATAAGTAGTAGGATCCTAATCATAAGGACCCCGAAATAAGGTAACCACCCCTAATTTTCGGAAACTCCCACATGGTCCAAAGTGAGTACTACAAGTTCATGGACTTTAGACTCTCAGACGTTGGGTTCTGGATCTTTGTGGGGTCTCTGTTATCTCCCTAAGGGTCCAAAGGACCCAATAATAAGGTACTTGGGTTTAGGATAGTAGTTATGTAGGTTACTATTTTGGAGAGTATATGATAGTTAGGTACTTGGACCCTTAGGGTCTGCGATAGGTGTCCAAACAACTAGTAGTCCTCAGATTCTGTATGGTTATACTGTAATGTGCCACGAAACTCATATTATTCTTCGGATTTGAAGCTTCGGTTTTCGTCTGCGATCTGACAAGTAGTGGCCGAGCATTATGGTAGCCTTGGGCCCCTTTTCAGGTCTATGGCTAGGATCCCAAAATATACAACTGGTTGACCAAAAACCCACAATGGAGACTATATGTAGGTCGCGTCCGTTATGAGAGGAGAGGAGATCATTCGCTCTCACAGTCCATTATGGTGCCAGGGTCCGGGTCTAACCTTCTGGATCAAGAAGACGCCATCTACAGCTTAGCTCCCAACCCTAACTTGTAAACCCGAAACCAGTAACCCCATGAGGCGTGTGGCACATATACCCGAAGTACACTCTTGGCATGGTCAAGCCCCGATCCTCAGTAGACTTGGGACCTTGTGTTTTGTGCTTGAGGTTTGCAGTTTCGAATTCTGAATCATTTGCAACCGCCCTGCTTTGAAGATGCACGTCACGCACTCGTAAGTTAGGGACCCAAAAAGCACATAAGCATAAGCATCATATTATGGGAATATCCCTATATACCTTATTGGGCTTCATTATAAGGGGATTTATATGGGATATCCCTAGCCTAACTTTTGCTTATGTGCTTTTTGGGGGCCCTAGTAAGAAGCCCAGTTCGAATTGGTTTGCCCAGAGACTCCAATGTCCCTTAATTTATACCTTAAATCATATTAGGGATCCTGCTATAATTTAAGGTATATTCCTTAATTAAGGGTTTAGGGTTTAGGGCTTAGGGTTTAGGGGGTGCCGTATCGCCTTGCAGGCGCTACCGTGCCTGGCATTCAGACGCAGCCTGGCGTGCACCTAACCCCAAAAATCCAAAGGACCCAATAGGGTTTAGGGGTCTTTTAAGGGGGTCTATAAGGGGCTACTATAATGGCTACTATAAGGGTTTTAAAATATAGGGGCCTAATAATTAGGTACTCGGCTTTAGGATAGTAGTTATGTAGGTTAGGACTTTGAAGAGTATATGATTATCGGGTACTTGCACCCTTGGGGTAATGATACAGGTCCGCATCATAAGCATCAACGCGACCGAGGTACTGTATTTCAGGTCTACGGCTTAATTAGAGCGATGACCAGAAAGGCCCTAAACCCTAAACCCTAAGCCCTAAACAGGGCATGTGGCATCTTGCAGTGGGTGAACCCCTCTCCCAAAAGACGCCATTCTGAGGATTTATAGATAGAAGTAAATCATAGTATGGAATCCTAGATAAGATAAGGCATGTTTTGTAGGGTTTAGGTATACCCGAAACCTGCCATAGCTCTCTGCTCGGACGGCGCATGCCTCCTTGACTGTGATTTCAAGCTTGCTTTAGAGTGCAGGGAGATTCAAAAAGAAAGACGGCTATAGTAGCTTGTGACTTGCAGCCATGGGGGTGGATGTGGTTCTTGCAGCCAGTTATTTTGCAGGTTGTGCTGGCATTCTGGCACATGTTGCAGACGTCTTGACATGCTACAGTGCTCGGCCAGAGTTGGAACAGCTCTTCCAGACACCTGGCGACATTCTTGATTTTCGCAAAGCTTCTGTCATGATGGCGGAAAAGACGATTTGGGAGCTTGCAGCAGGACACGTGTTGGCGCTGATCTTTATCCCAAGTGGTTTTGCAGGTACCTGCTTACTGTACAAGGTCTTAAAGCCTCACTACAGATGGCTTCGCTGGCCCTTGGTCCTGGTTCTCTTCTCATTCTATGTGGCAGGTGCCTTGATGCACTGCTCCTTTACTTTTGTGGGCCTCCTTGCAAGTGCTCCTGCACGGGGACATGTTGTGCCAGAGGGCCTCTCTGCAGACTTCCAGCCGTTCTTTGAGATTATTTGCCGCCTTGTGGGCGAGATTGCCATGCTCCCAGGCGCGATCTGCAGAAATCATTACATGCACGTTCTTTTTGGTTGTTAACCCACGTATCATCCTTCATGTAAGGGTAGAACGTTGTGTTCATGGAAGCGCACCAACGCGCAACGCGACAATTTCATTCTCCGGGCTAAATGTGCTCAGCCACGAAAGCGTTTCCCAAATGGTCCTATGTACCGATATAGTCAGTAGAAAGTAGGACTCATATGACTTTGGGAAGTATCCCCCATAACAGTACGTAGGACCCTTTGGGTATGATTGTTGGAAGGGCCCCAGTGCCTAACAAAAGGGCCCCAGTGCCCAACAATTATTCGTATACTTTCCCAGACTTTAACCGACAATTTTTATCTTAAGCCTAAGTACATAGCTAATTGTTGGGTCCTTTGCACTTTCATATTAAGGAATTAGTTTGGACCCTTTCTTCTCTAGAGCCGAAATTTATACCCAACCCCAAACGCTAAACCCCTGCAAATCCTTGCACTGTTTCTTAGAATCTGTGTAGAACCCTACCCATAGAGGTAGTCCCTGAAGCCCGAATGACCTTAAACCCTACCCAAAGGGTCCAAAGTACCGATATAGTAGAATGTAGGGTTTCTAAATTAGGAATTACTATTATGATTTGGGGAAGTATCCCGATAACAGTACATCGGAGCCTTTGGGCTAATGCGTCGGAGGCTGCATCTTCACCTTCATACTCCTGGCAGCCGGTGCGACAGAGCTTCCGCGCTGGACCGCGCTCCTCACACCAGGCCCCCTGCAGCTGCTACTGGGCTCTTGTTAAGGAGCTTGGTTTAAGCTACCATAATATGGATTTTTAAGAGCTCTTGTAAGGGTTTAGGGCTGTAGGTTTAAGCTACCATAATAGGGATCTATAGTTACTAATGTGGTTTCCTTATTCTGGTAACGTAAGTTAAATCCGTTAACAAGAACGCAGGCTGGTCGCCGCGGTTGCTCCACACATGGCCTTGAATATCCGAATCTGGGTCATTGCAAGCGATTTGTTTAAGTGACTTTAGTGTGACATATACATATATACATATATGTTTTGTCTGTGGGTGTACCGACTTAGGTATATATGTGCTGGTATAAAGGTATACAGGAACGAATACAACGGCGTCTTGAGTTGCATTCCGGAAGAACAACCAAGGAATGTACATGCTGGTCACCATTTACAACCTCTCTAGTGGCATATGGCACCTCACGCTAGCCACGGCCTACGTGCTTGGCGGGAAGAGGAGTTCGCTGAAGGAGTCATAGTTTCAAGTTGCTTAATTCATATTCTGAAGACTCCCATTTTAAAGCTTTTGCGCCCAAAGACTGTGCTACAGAAGTCTCCTGGGGCTATTCTGTGCCTCAAAGGGGAGCAGGAGGGCCCTTAATGGGGACCCCTACCCTATAATGGGCTATATAATGGGTATATAATAGCTATATTAAGGGTATATAGTTAGGGGTCCTTATTAAGGGTCCCTCCTTTTACCCTTGGAGTGCCGTATCCTTGGACTCTGAGGTACGGAGACCTCAGTGTCCTACCTTGACTCCTTTTAATCATGCAGGTGCCTTAACCATTCGAAAAGGTTTTGGGGGTATCAACCGTATAAAGGAAGCCTAAAATTTAATGTTGGTAGTTATTCAGGCTTCTACCTACATGTATATGTATGTATGTATACTATATTTACATATACATGTATACATATATAAATATATATGTATGTATACAGCTTGCTCGAAGTATGTATATATATATATATATGTATGCTTGAAGGAGGCTCTGGAGACTTAGCAGACTGGCGAAGTAGAGTTGTGCGTAAGAGACGCCAAATTATGGGTACTTCCAGCCTGGCTGACGGTTTTGGGTTTGGGGTTGCCGTTGGATCTACTTATTCAGTCCTCCGGCCTTACAGTACCGTGTTCAATTGAGGAATTGTGGTTAGATCTACGCCGCTTCTGTTGCCAGTTGCCAAGGCTGCGAACCCTAAACCCTAAACCCTAAACCCTAAACCCGTCTTTTGTCGTCTCGCTTGTACTCCCGCAGATAGTGCCTACAGCCCGGTCCCCACTTTTCATCCCCGACCCCGGCAATGATCAATGTTCCTTCATTTATAAGTTACCCAGAGGGTCCATATGTACTACAATTATGGAATTAGGTCCCAAAAGACCATCCCTATTATGGTTTTGGGAGCCTAATTCCATAATCGTAGTATATCTGGACCCTCTTGGTTATATAAGTTTAGGACTTGGCATCCCGAGTAATGCGTACTACTATGCTCCGGGATTCCTTTGAAAAGCTATACCAAAATATACCGTAGAATCTCATATTAAGACTTCTTGAAGGATCCCTAATCATAAAAGACCTCGGGAGTGGAACGATTTGGGTTTTCGTGTGTAGGCTTTCTGGTGCATTACTCCAGCAGCCTCCCAAGATCAGGGATTGTTTCAATTGAGGAACAGACCTTCAATCATATTCTCGCGGCTCCGAACATTACTTGACTGTAACTGTAACGCATATTCTTGGGTTGAAGGGTGTCGACGGTCAGCTTTGGTTACTGTAGCGTCTTACCATACGCATGGGACTGGCTCGAATGACCCCTTGACCTTAAACCCTTAACACTATCCGTGAACTACTGGGTTCTTGTTAATTAAGGCGAGTTACCGTAATGCAGAAGCCATAGTATTCACATTTAGATCCCTATAATGGAACTTAAGTTTAATTCCTTAACAAGAACCCAGACTATCGTTGTATTCTCGTCAAGATTTTACAAAGACTCCTGGGCTTCGTGTCTCTAGGCCGCGTGGTTGGTTCAGCGATGAGAATTTCGATGACAAGCGGTTAGTTGCTAGGGCCCAAAGTTTTGTTTCGAAAGAGATCCCCAGTGACGATTCGTAGCCATGATTAGCACTATCACTTCTACCTCATGAGTGTTATTGTTGAGTTTTGATACTCTTGAACTATTGCTACTAGGGAGCTGTGCACGGGCTGATCCAGTTGTGTGTATGTTTTTGTCTTTGAGCTTTCTGTAAAGTCAAGCCCCGGGTCCTATACAACGCAACTGATGTTCCCACGATGTCTGCGCTTTTGCTCTCCCGAAGGTCTAAACCCTACGACTCCGAGTAGGTCCAAAGTAGGCACTATGTCAAGACTTTGGACCCCAACGTAGGTAATGTAGGAACCTGATTAAGAAACCGTTGTCCTATAACACCAAAATAGTAGGATTCATACAAGGAATCCTGATAAAGGCCCAAGGTTTCTTAATCAGGTTCCTACAGTACTCTTTGTACACCGGGACCCCATGTTTAGGCCATTAACCTGGACCTTCTCGGCCCGAAAATCCCAATTTGGTCAGCCGCCACCGTGAAAGCTACAGCCGTAAGCGCTAACCCTACGTTTTGTGCTCAAGTTTTTTGTCCCTATAGCAGAGCGTTTGAAGTGCAGGAAAATCCAATCCTGGCATTGGCCTTCACAGCCCTAAAGCTTCTGGTTTGAGTCTTATATTATCCTCTCAGTTGAAGCTTTGTCTGGCCGCATCGCATTTCACTCTTTCATGTTTCATTCAATTCAGTAACCGTTTTCGATTATGCCGCCACTACCTACTTTTGATTTGAGACAACATGTGAGCCTACTGGTAAACCATGACCTTTGCTGAGGTCTACGGCAACTTCTTGGACCATGTCCCTTCGGATAGCACCGACTATGACTCAACGTGCCTAGGTCCTAAACAATCGAGCCTCAACTCCAAACCTCAAACCCTAAACCACATAGCCCTAACGCCCTCAAACCCTGAAGTCCTAAAAGCCCTAAACCCTAAGCACCAGCGAGAAACTTCAGCGCTAAACTTTGAACCCTCAAGCTAACCTAAAGCTTTAAAGCTTAAATCCCAACCCTGAGGGCCCAAGTACTCAAAACTTTAGGACTTTTGGGACTTTTTGGGTATTAAAAACCATAAACAAGGACTACTTGGACCCTTAGGGTAATCCCCAAAAACTGCTATGCGAGCCCTGCAGCTTCAATGTATTGAGTTGAAGTTGTTTTCTTCGGATAGCGTCCGTTTATACCGGTGGTTACACGGTTCATTACGTTTTCAAGTTAAGGGGTGCTGGAAAGTTGACGCCGAAACGCTGGATTGAGGAAGCCCGGGCAATCTGCAAGCCATAGTTCAGGGCCTGGGGTTTTAGGCTGTCGGGCTTAGAGTTTTATGGTTTGATGGGCTCTTGTAACTCTGGCACAACACCTTGTGCTATAGATCCTGCAACTTTAGCCACTTACAAGCCGTTGCCAAAGTATGTACTATATTACTATCTAGGTACATGGATCCTCAGGGTTAGGGCTGTTAGGGACTTTGTCGTTGTATGTCTTGGGGTTTAGGGTTATCTTTGGACAGGACCCAATCAAGTCTCATGCATTCCGTAGCTAGGGTTTGTTTTCAACCAGAAGCCCTGACAAAGTGCCGCATTCTGCATCATAGGTCCGTAATTTCGTTTCAGGAGCATGCCTAAGACCGTCAAGTCTATAGCTCTCAACCCAGCTCATGGCCCAAAGTCTGTGCGGTAGAACCCTCCTTATACCCTCAAACATGGATAAGGCTCCTTAATAGTAAGTCTTTAAGGGTCTGATTGGTAGAATAAGGGGGTATAGGTACAGAATCTATGAAAGGCTAAACTCGGGAACCGGAAGATGCTTGAAGCTTCTAATCCTTAAGGCTTTAGGGTGTAGGGTTTAGGGTTTACGGATTAGGGAGGGCTTAGTGCTCCATATCCTTCTAATTTAGAGTCAGGGCTCTTCTCAGGGATCTTAGTTTCATGTTATTATAGCAACCTTTCCTTAGCATGGTATCTTGGTTTACGTTCCTTAACAGGAACCAAGTTTAGGGTCCCTAGGAGGGCAGTTCTCTGAATTAGGGCCCGTTTTGCGTCCCCCCAAATAGTAATTACAGCACCCTTAAAAAAGAACCTTGAAAGGACCCAATTTACAGACAGCTACCTGTATAGGATCGTTATAGAAACCCTATTGAACCTATATGAGTGGTGGTCAAAAAAATGCGGCACCTAATATTTGGGGTACCCAAAAAGGCATCTTATTTTGACAACTACCTATATAGAAACCTGTACAGATCGCTTTGGCCCAGGTGCGTTTGCTACGGCCTGGGTGGTGCTCCGCTGACGGAGGTTCCCGAAGAGCTGCCCGTGAACGAGGAGCCCAAGGGTTTCAGGGTGGTTTAGGGATTAGTTTAGGGATAGGTTGGGAGTTCGCTCTATCATGTTCTGAAGGGGCTTCTTTACAGGGGTATTTGGCAACATTTCCCTTGTGCACTTGGCTACTTTATCCTGCGTACTTGACTACTTTTGTTTTGTGCACTTGGCTACTTTCTCTTCTGCACTTGGCTACTTTTTCTTGTGCACTTGACTGCTTTATCGTCCGACGCCAGGCTCCCAGAAACGGCTCTGGAAGCGGCATGCGGCATGATGGAATCCCAGGGTCCCAGATGAGCCATAGACCCCAAAAGCGGGGTTTAAAGAAATAGCCGCCGCCAAACATCGAGATCTCTCTCCCAAGAATTCACTAATTCACGGCTTGTGTGAGCCATGGCTGATTTCGATTTCTTGTCTGTGTTGGAGCTGGCTTCTGATAACAATCCGCCCGAGCCGGCTTCTAACGACAACGAAGCGCCTTGTGAAGACGAGCTGGCATTGCAAATTCCCTCCGGTGTACTTGCGATTCAAGAAAAGCAGCCAAAGCAGGTTGTTTGCTCTAAATCGTCTAAACCTGTGTACAAGCAACGCCGCAACTTTGCCAGCTTGAAGGGCCGAGTGGGCAAAGGCAGGCATGGTGCATTCGCAGAACGAGCATTGCTTGCTTGTCATATGCGAGACCTGATTGCAATAGGTCAGACGTTTGGATTTACGTAGGTTTGGGGTCTAGGTTTAGGCGGCTGTCCTTGCTTCTAGGAATTTTAGGTTTAGGGTTTGGTCTGGGATAGGGGTTAGGGCGACTTTTTACATAGGTTTGGGGTCTAGGTTTAGGCGGCTGTCCTTGCGCCGCTAGAATTTTAATTTAGGTTTAGGGTTTGGTCTGGGATAGGGGTTAGGGCGACTTTTTACATAGGTTTGGAGTCTAGGGTTTAGGCGGCTGTCCCTGCGCCGCAGGTTTAGGGTCTATAGGGCTTTGGGTCTAGGGGTTGGTAGCCGTCCGGTTCGGTGTGGGTTTGGGCTTAGGGGTTGGTAGCCGTCCGGTTCGGACGATGATTAAGTTTAGGGTTTTGGGTCTAGGGGTTGGTAGTCGTCTGGTTCGGTGTGGATTTGGGCTTAGGGGTTGGTAGCCGTCCGAATCGGAGGTTGTTGAAGTTTAATATTCAGATCTTACGGTTTAGGGGTTAGTAAGTTTAGGGCTTAGGGTTTAGGCTAGGGGTTGGTGGATGTTGATTAAGTTTAGCTTCAGGCGCTGGTAGCCATCCGGCTCGGATACCATTGGGGTTTAGTATGGAACATCGGACGAGTAGTATTCTGTATGAAATTCTTGTTACCCTATATAATATATCCTTAAATCAAGCAGTTGCAATCGAGGTTCTGTCAAAATGGCGAGGCGAATCGAGATGTTTTCCCAAGCCGTGTCAGACCTTTTGACTGATAGTCACTTCACTTATGACTCCAAGATTCTATCATGCCGTGTGGCACGATCATCTGCTTCCTTGGGCTTGGTTCTGGAGCTTACCCAATCCAATGGCCGGGGCAATAGATATAAGAGAAAGCTTCCTTGGAGTCGTTATTTGGAAGCCTCGTTCGGAAGAATTGTCCGGAACTCGTCGATGGCTGAGCATCTGCAGGTTGGGCGATCCACAGTCAGACATATGCAGGTGATGGTGTCTGCAGCATTCATGAACCACCAGGCTCTATTCTTGGCAAAGTTGATTGCATGGTGTGCACGAGACCCCCCACTGCTGTGCATCAGACATGCCAAGTGGGACGAGACCCAACTTCTTTGCAGCATGAACGCCGACAAGTCCCTGCACAGAGTTCGCAGCACTTGGCAAGTCCTGGTTTGCAGGTTGCGACTCGTATTGTCTTGGCAAGATGGCCGGACGATGACTATTCGATTGGTCTTACCTCCTGTCAGTCTTTTGTCGACGGGTGCGGAATGCCAATATTACACCTTGAAGTACCATCCGGCATTCAGGTGTGTAAATGGACTCCTAGGGTTGCTGCGAAAGCATGCGGGTGAGAATCTGGATGTGTGCGAAACGGATGGTGCGAGCAGTAACACGAGGCTGTTGGCCCACATGCTGCAACAGTCTAAGACTTGTGTGTTTGCACCGGAGAAGTCTGGTCCTGCACTTCTTTTTGCACATGCCAGATGCATGAATCACGCCACCCAGTTGAATAATGCTGCCCTGCTTAGTCTTGTAAATCCTGGCATGCTCAATCGAGTTTACGGCATGTCGGTATTCTTGAGGAACCTTGGGTATTGGATGAGGGTGAGACAAGCCTGTCGCAATTGGATAGAGACGAATCTCAAGTTTCGTCGTGAAGCGCATTCAGCAAACATTGCTCAGGAGGTGCAACCACATCCGGCATTGGTCGAACTACTTTCATATCTTCAGATGTGGAAAAGGTTAGAGAAGCAGACTCGTGAGGTTGATGGTGTGGAGCCTAGGGAAGCTGAAGAACAGATCGCCAGCTTTGACAAGAAGGTGAAAGCTTTTCTGGACATGTGGAACGGGGACATCACAAAAGGGCCCTGTCATATCTGCTCTAGTGAATATGTGCCTATGTCTGAGAGGCACTGTCAAACCAGGGCCGATGCTGTCCGAAAAGCGACGGACAGTTTCTTGGAGCTCTTCGCTCATGCGATGCCCGAAGTACCATCGCCCAGCAAGTGGTCCAAGTTGTTCTCGCCGATGGATTTCGTCCTGTCAGGAGTCGTGGTGCACAATTGGCTGGAGGATGTGTTTGGAGCAGCCTTCGCTGAAATGACTTTTCAAGAGTACGACAATGCACCCGATGCTGCATTGGATCCCCGGCTGGTAGAGACGTTGTCGTTCCACATGGTAAATGGGCGGCGGCTACGATCTGCACAAGAATTCTTGCATGATAAGCACTCCAAATGGAGTGCTTGTCTCCTGACTGTGGCCATGGAACCGAATCGAGTCCTCACTTGGTATTGGTTGAAATGCCTTGGTTCCAGCTTGTGCCCGGGCAAACGTCCACCCCTCTTTTCTTTGCTGGATCCACATACCAGTGTCTTGACAAGCCTGCTTCAACATTACAGTATGTTGCTGTCTACAACAACAGGCTTTGGTTTTCGAAACTTAAGCTCAAATTTTGCTATATTCTATTTTTAAGACTCTTGGGCAATATTCGTCTCTTGTAAGACTTTTGGGTTTCATAAGTTATAGTTGTTATAGTTATATAAGTTATATATGGTCGGTTACAAGTTATAATAAAGGTTTATGGTTCAGAAAACTGGTTCTGTCGCTTACCATCTCAGGGTAGCAGAGTCAAATAGTAGTAACTTAGTAGTAAAGCCACAGGTTTTAGATTGAAACCCAAACCCAAAATAGGCTCTGGTCGTGCACGCTTGCTCTGGGGGACCATGGGCTATGAAAGCTTCGGCAGTTTCTGCAGAAGCGAGCCAGGACTTGTTCGCGAGATTCGAAGGGTTTTGATGTTTGCAGCTGCTTGGCAATTCCGTCGTCATTATGATTACTTCCAGGCTGACACATACAGGGTGGCGCTGGTGGGTGATGCACAGGCAAATCCTGCGATGCTGAAGTCTTTTCTGGATTCCTGGGATCGAAAACTTGTTTGCTGCATGCCGCCTGGCATAGCCCGTTCCTTGAAACAGAGGGGCCTGACCTCCTGGGACCTTCAAACACCTCGGTGGAGGAACATTCTCTACTGGTACGGTTCCACCTTCCAGTTCAGCATAGCAGATGTCGAGTCTAAGCATGCTTTGAACCGTTTGAGCACCGACTGCAGTTTTGCTACAGTAGCTGCCAAATTCGTGAATTCTGAATCTCATCTTATTGCCCGCCAAGCCAGACAGCAGATGTGTGGAGACACCAAGTTGTCGCCTCAGAGCCTGTCTGGGAAGAATGGGCATGACATTGCAGTGGCCGACAAGTCTTCCAGGAAGGCTAAAGGCAAGTCTGCTTTGGAGATATTCAGAACAGATTGGGTTAAGGGGCAGCAGAGAACAGGGAGCTTCAATCCATGCACTCACGAAGCATGGAAGCATGTGCGGCGAGCCTGGGAGCAGCTTGCACCTGAACAGCAAGAGGCTTATACAGCCATGTCAACGACCAGCAAACAGGAAGCGGCTCTGTGCAGACGAGCAAAAGCACCTTCAGCTTTGGCAGTGCAGGGTCCGCAGGCGCAAAGCGGGCAATCGGCAGTGCCAAAGCAGGAGCAGGAGCTGTTGCTTGCAAGTGCGATGCCTCTCCAGACTGCTTTTGATGCTGGCAGCATCAAAGATTTGCAGCATCGGATCAGGTCTTCTAGAGGCTCTCACCGTCTCTCCTTGGGCAAACATGGGTACCCCATCTCAGAACAAGCTCTCGAAAACATTGCACAGGCACAAAGGGATCGTGGTGTGTCAGCAAGGCAAGCAGAGCAGCAGTTCATTTGTGAGATGGAACGAATGGCTCGTCCCCCAGACAACGATAAGTTCCCCGATCGAGTGATGTACGAGTCATGTTGCGGCTGTCAGTGTCGGAATACGGGGGAGCAGGAGCTCATTGCTTTGCATACCAAATTGCAAGATGCTTTCTTGGCGATCGTCCAGAGACATGGAAGTCCCATGGATGCCGTCCGAGCAGACGTCCTCTGCTTGTTCACTGTTATCGCTTCAACAAGAAAGCATGTTGTTCGGCAATTCGCCTGGCTAACAGCTGTCTCTGCTAGGAGTGGGTCCCAGAAGCCACAGCAGGTCTTTGTTTTGGCAGAGCCCATAAATTATTGCCATTGCCAGGGAGTTCAGAATGAGTTTCGCGACCTGTTATTGGATCTCTCATTCCAGCCTTATGTTCAGTGCCACAAAGACTACATTCCGGTGCCCCAAGATGGTGATCGCAAAGGTAGTATGTGGATGTTTGTTGCTGATGCTTTCGCCCACTACCTTCTGAACCTTTTCGAGGCGACTGACTACCGACCTGCCCAGGTTGTTGTGCATAAGATGGTTTTCGAGGACATCACTCCTG